TGTATATATGTGTGTATATGTATATTTATACTCAAATTTATTATATATCTTTATACTTACATTTATTATAAGTTATATTTAGGGTAAAATAAGTATGTTAATTATTTTATTTTTTGTAAATTAGGATTGTCAATCAATCAAAAAAAAAAAATAGTTCGCAGCATTACACTTACCTGCACCGTATTGAAATAAACCAAATTCCGCCCCTTGAATGGAATGTCCTGATAACCTAATCTAACGTGTATGCCACGGTACAGCTGCCTGAAGGATTCCTTCCACGGGTTGGCCAGGTCCGATTCTTCAGGACTAACGAATTCGAAACGACACGGAGATGGATTGAACAGCGGCAAGTCGTACTCGTACACACTCTGATAGAGTCGCTTCCTGAAAACCAATAGTTATTTGAGCACCGTGTATCTTCCGGTGATTTAAAACAACTACTTACCATATTTCCGTGTCGTTGGCTATGGCTTGGAATCTCTTACAAACTTGACTGACGCGGCACAAGTCCTGTTCCAATAAGTAGTTGAAAATTGTGAGCAAAACTTCGTCGGGCAGCTCGTACTGCAGATAGTGAGCGGCAGTATTTGTACAATCTGAAAGGCAGTGGTGAAATATATACTCATTCAAAGTCTACATGTCATCACAGACATAATCGTAAACATTGAAAAACGATAATACAAAAAAAAATGTAAATATAAAAAATGTTGCGACCATGGGAAAAAAAATAAAACCGGAAAAACACAATCGTTAACATTAAAAATCGATAATACAATTGTGACAATACAAAAACGATAATACAAAAAAGATACTACAAGACAATACAAAACCGAAAAACAATCGCGAGCATACAAAAACGATGATATATTTAAAATGAAAGACGATAGTACAAAAATGCTGAAACCTTGAAAAATAATACAATCAAGAGAATACAATCGCGAACATTGACAATCCATAATACGATTGAGGAAATACAAAAAATATACTACAAGACAATACAAAACCGAAAAAACAATGGCGAGCAGACAAGAACGAGGATATATTTAAAATTAAAGACGATAATACAAAAAAGCTAGAACCATGAAAAATAATACAATCGAGAGAATACAATCGCGAATATTGACAATACATAATACGATAGGGAAAATACAAAAACAATGATATAATTGTGGAAATACGAAAAAGTTGCTACAAACAAGACAATACAAAAACGGTGATAAAAACATGACAATACAAACGGGAACATACAAAAATACTCACTTTCGTACGACGCGGAGCAAGTCCGGCGTGGTCTCTTCCTCGCCGGCAGCATCGCCGATGTGTAGCCTTGGGCGGGGGCCGTGGGGGTTGCGGGTGAGGTCGGGGAGCCGGCCGTAGCGGCGCTCGTGCTGGGGCCGGGACCATCGTGATGCGAGGGGGATTTCCTTCTGAGGTCGTAGGGCGAATGGTGGGTCGGTACAGCGCCCCCGCCGGCGCTGGTACTCGTGCCGGGGGGGGCGAGAGCTTGGGCCCCTCCGGGAGCCACGGCTGACGGCGCTGGAATGTTCTGGTTTGGCTGGATGGGGCAAGAAGTTTCACATGGTTCTGCTGCGAACAAGAGTATTGAGAATTTCGAGTCGAATCAAATAGATCTGTAATTTTCTCATGAGTTAGTACGAGGTGTCCTCAAATTATACACTTGGGGCAACGATTCGTTACACATGCGTCATCAATACCAGTACCGGATTTAGGCTTGATCAGGGCATAATCTAAGATATGGTCGATATGGGGCCCCGGTCAGGAATATATGGTGAGCAGCGGAGAGGTTGTTCTCTACACAAGCGCCGGGGATAGGTAGGATCGGTGTGTGGCTTGTGTGGCTTATACGTAAATCTGGCACTGATCAAAATAAACAACAATAAATCAAAAACTTTTCATATATCATCCTTATCGTCTACAAGACAAAACAGCTTTCACATATCCGGAGTTTCACAGTTGGTAAATTTTATATCATAAAAAAACAATAAGCAAATTTTTTATCGAAAGGTTAGGTTTTTCAGAAAAGTAGGCACGTCGTTTTGTTTTCATAACCTTGTTGGCTAATTTGGGATGCATATATTGATGATGCATGTGAAAAAATTCTTAGATAGTGCTATAGATAAGTAATGTTAGAACAGAGTGCTTGAGCTATGGTTATTATGGTCAGTGTTTGGTTTTTGAGTTCGTAGAGATTTTGTTATCATCATTAAACTTCTGAATAGTCGTTTATTATTTCTTTTAATAATCATAACTTATTCTAGTATTCGTACATGTCTTTTTTTTATTTGAATTTGAACTTAATGTACTACTTGACAAATGAAAATGCATACCTTTACTTAATATGAAGTAATAACTTGACTCTACGGTTTGTTTGCACATTGATGTACCATTTGGGACTTTCTTACAATTCCGTAATGTANATTTACCAAAAAACCATGTTTCTTGCTAAAGTAGTTTAGAAAATATTAGGCTTAATTCAAAATTTGTTAGAACCAGCCCCCGTCTCCCCTACTCTAAATGTCACATCATTTTTCATAAAATAAGTACTATCTATACTTGAATGATAATATAGAAAATAAAATAAGGAACTGCTCAATTCCTGCTAATTGTGATCGACTGAAAGTGAACATTTTAAATAACACTTCATTTTCAGATTTTCTCTCAACGGTTTACAAAACCACAACACGTGTTTCACGCCTGAAGAAGCTACGGTATAGTGAAACACATGTCACGGTTTTGTTAACTGTCGAGTTTAAATCCCACAATGAAGGGTTATTTGAATATATTATAATGGTGGAAGGTAAAACAGAAACTTCTGGCGTAGAATAAACCCATAACAAGCACTTTCCCAAAACACTAGAACTGCAATACTCTTCTCGACGCGCGTTTCACCAATCAAGCTGGCGTTTTCAAGAGATGAAATAACTAATTCCCAATTCTAAACATGTCATACCTAACTGTTCCTAGACTTCCGAAAGAATCCAAATATCTAGTATCGTGTACAAGTTTTCAACAATTTCAGAGAGTTTTTATATATTCTATAGGCGTTCTTCTAGGCATGTGTTGCTTCGTGTTCTTTGAAACTAGTTTTAATGGTTCGCTTAGTCTGACCTATATATTTTTGTCACAGTACCCAGGCGTATTTCGTACATTCCCGATTTTTCATTTTCCAACTTTGATTCTATGCCTTTTTGAAAAGTTGAGGATTATCGAAAATTCTCATTAAATTTACGTTTCCTAATCAACTTATCTACTATATTCACATTCGCCTACTTAATTCCTGAAATTCACAATTTTTATGGGCAGTGACAATGTTACTCACTTAAAGCAAAATCTATGACAAAAAATATTCCCTTTTCCATTCAAATTGAACTCTCATCTTTTTATGTGCTCATTTTCAACCAAACTATTTGTACCATTTACACTAAAGATTTCACAACGGGTTTTGGTCTCATTCAAAAAAAGATCATTGACTGTGAACCAAATCTTAGCATGTGCCATAATATCTTGATAAATAGGTAAATGATCAGTCCCCTTTTCAAGTTGTATACAGAAAGTTGTGTCGTCGGCAAACATATTTGTTAGTAAATTATTGCAGGATATGGAATCTGGCATATCATTTATGTATATCAGAAATAAGAGTGGTCCCACAGTACAGAACCCTGGGGCACCCCTCTCGTTACAGACATATACGAACCCATGACATTGTCAACAACTACTGCTTGGCTACGATGACATAAGTATGACTTGAAGAAATTAAGACAGGTACCACGTATCCCGTATCTGTTTAGTTTTAATAATAAAATCTGGTGGTCTACACAGTCAAATGCAGCTGATATGTCAGTGAAGATTCCCAAACAGTGTTTATTCTCCTCAAAACAGTTCTCAATGTATTCAGTCAAAGATTCAGTCAAAGATAATTTCAAATGTAACTCAAACATAAAAATACAGGCACATTTATTCCCACTGAAGTCAAATACATTTTGAATGTTTCCTACCTGATGTTTTAACCTTTTGTCCACCCTCAATATTTACCTCAGCTCACCAGACAACAAAGGTGGAATTATTGAGGGTTTTCCTGTATCAAGGTCATTGACAAGTCCAAAATCTCCAATCTTTATTTGTTATAGTATCTTCAGGCCCACTAACAGATGGGAACCCTTGGGAAGATTATAATTTAGGGTTTCACAGGAGAATGTTTTTCCATAAATAATTTTATACACATATTCGGTATTGAAAACTAATACACATGTATGTGGAAATGCAATAATAATAATAAAACGTCTTTATTCACCTGAAGTAAGAACATACAGAATATACAAAAAAATATTGAGGGGAATAGACGAAGTGTCAGCAAAGCTGTTTTTAAACTCAACCTTCGAGAGAGAAAAAAAAATGGAATTTGAAAGGAATAAAATAAAATTACAGTACATGCATACATACATTTAAAAAAATGATTATTATTCAGTCACCAAATCTTTTGTGTAAACGAATAAGCCACGGTCAGCATGAGGAAAGTGAACTACTCTTTGAGTCTTTTTTTAAAGTTTTTCAATGTGTAGGATCTGAATTCACTGAGCAGGAGGTTGTAGAATTTAGCTGCGTTGTATGAGAAGCTATGAGTAATAACAGAGGACCTGTGTTGACGAATGACCAGCACCGACCTGTTTCTAGTGGAAAAGCTGTTAATATTTGAGAAAGAATTCAATTTTTTCATCAAATAATGTGGCAATTCGGTCTTCAAGACCGAAGTTGTAGGTGTTTGTGAGGAGGTGCAGTGTCCTGAGTTTCTCCAGTTGCAGTTGCAACCTGATATTTCATTACCAGTCAAAAGTTGTGTGAATGCAACAGTTTTGGATTCGTTGAAGACGCAGGGAATCAGATTGAAGTAATGCAGGGCCAATAAATGCTATCACAATACAAAACTTTTGAAATGATTAGCGCCTAACATAATTTCAGTTTGAGTTGTTTGGTAAGTAAGTCCCGATTTGAAAACAGTTACCTTAAGATGTTGAAACATGTTCTGTAAAGCGCAGTTCAGAATCAAACCACAGGCCTAAGTTCTTTGTTTCAGTTACAAGGGCAGAACGTCACCATTTATATTAATATGAAGACTATTTTTAGCAATATTTCGCAATCTTTTAGGTCCAAAGATCATAATTGCTGGCTTTTTGGGAGTTTAACTTCAATTTATGAGCTGATGAAATATCAAAGATGGTCTGTAGATCACGATTAATGAGGTTTTGAGCGGAATCAATGTCAGCAAGTTATATAAAAATATGAAAGTATTTAGATACCAGGTATATTAAAAAAAGATGATTGTTCAAATTTCCTCCAATGTTAAACTAATTATATAATGTAGAATTAATTTGTTTCCAAAACTGACGACTGTTAACTTATTATATTTTTGTTAAATATGGATAAAATGACAAGGAATTGTTTCAGTTCAATTTTTTGCTAAATCAAACGGTCACTGTTTTTATGATCCAAAATTTGGACACAAACGATAATAATCTGAAATGCTTTGAATATTACGATGATCAAAACTATTAAAAATTTCTGTATATACATGAAATCACTGAAAAAAACATTTTGTTGAATCATATTACTCCATAATTTTAGGCTCTTATTCCCCCTAACACTGGTTTTCTATGTGTTATCCACTCCTTTACAGTTTTCTTAAATTTAAACTGCGATGGAATACAAAGCTTTGAAATAATCATTAGAAAACATATTTTGAACAAACTTAATTTCCAAATATTTATAAAGGGTCCCAACTCTACAAAATGTATGGATTGAATGCCTGCTTGACTGTATCATTTGTTTATATTATGTTATATTCATATATTGAAATAACTTGAAGCTAAACACGTGCATATCTACAGGATGGAAGAGTATCCTCCGATATCTAACATAATGTACTCAAAATTCAATTTCCAAATTGATATTTTTCAAGAAGAGTTTTATCAACTGCTAGTAATTTTTCCAAAAACTAACCGTAACCTCCTTACAAGGCTTTAAAGGCTCAAAATATGAATTCTGAAATAAATGATGCAACTGAAAAAGATATGCATCCACATAGAAGCATTATAATGAAATATTTTGGCACACCTTGAATTTTTTTAGAGCTGAAAGTATTTCTTCCAATTTCAAACAGGATGTTTCAGTTCAACTTATAAATAGGAAGAAAATAAACAGTAGAAAGCACCAAAACGGATGATATTGAACACCGCAAGAACAACTTTCCATTTTAAGATACATAATTAAAATCATTAGATTAGTGGTAATTTTAATATTGGGTTGGGTATTGCAAAATTTGAAGTAATGACAGAATTCATATAGATGTTCATATGAAAGTAGTTTCAAAAGTATTTTTGAAAAACAATATGCTGAAATAGTTATTTTGGATTGTTTCTCTCTAATTTGTATGCAAAAGAAACATACTTAAGTGGATGATCTACATGTTTGTTTTCTCCCTTCCTTTGGAAAATTTCCGTTTATTACATACCTGTTGAATTAAATCAGTGTGAAGCAAATGATGTGTCTATGTTGTTTCTTCTACATACATTATAACAAATTTATGGTTTTAAGTTAAATTTGCCACCCAATCGGGATTCACAGGGGTGCAATTTAAAGTTGTAATTTTATCCTGAAGCACAGTTCAAGTCCTTGGCTTTTTATTCGTGTCGAAACTTGAGTAAATGCTCGGATTCAAATACTTCAAGAGACAATTTACATTTTTTTGAAAAAAAAAAAATTGCCTTTATATGAAGATATGTATTGCATATATATATAATTTTCTCCTAGTTTTCTAAGTTCAGTTGTCAATGGATTATGTTCTATATTGTTTTAATAACTTTGTATCCATTATTATTAATAATGTCACCTGTTTACCCATATAGAAATGTTTTTACAATATAAACTCAATTTTATTCCAGTTTCAAGCAGTCCAATGGCGAATAATGAAAATTTTAACAATATCTCCAGTGGAAACACAACATTTCAAATAATGCATTTCTTCAAACACCTACAACAAAAGCTGGGAGTGCTGCTTGCCAGATGTATTATTACCAAAATAACTTTATCATCTGATATAAATGAGGAAACCAATTTAACACATCCTGATCGAAAGAACTGTGACCTCCATTATGTGGATAAAAATTCGTTGAACTCACAATTTTACTGACTAAAAATAAAAGCTCATAGAAAAAGTAGCTTGCCGAGGATCCGGATTATTTATTTTTGTTAAAAATAGTTCAAGTCCAATGAAAACAATTCCCATGCAGGAGCAGTCTTCATCCACCATATGAAATGAAAGGGAAATGGCAAGAGGTCAAGTTATTAACGGCAGTTTTTGCAAATGCAGCATCCAAATGTAAATTCGATAAAAGCTGCAACTCCCCTCGCCTGGGAACTGCCGAGGTGTGTGTATTTTATTTTCATGTATATTTATGGGATGACATTTTAACAATTCCCCTAATTGACAAATGACAAATCAACTAGGCAGCTCCCTTATTAGCTGAATATCGAATATTTTACCCGTAAAACCCAATTTTCGCTAAGATCGCGCCAGCACATCAGTTTATTCACGGGAGATAAGCATATTTCGGCTGTTGTAACCGCAGAGAGCAAAGCAACTTCCATATTAAAGTCATCACTTACCAGACGTTGTTCTAGACGGTGTAGGTATTCTGTTAGCTCCTTTCCTTCGGGATCTCCTCACATACGACCTGGAGGCCGTGAATGAGGCGCTGGGCATTTTCACAAAACTCACCAACTTTTCTTTCAAGTCCTAAACAAAGGAAACACTAGCACTACCATGAGCAGCCATTTTCAGAAGATTGTACGGTTCCCAACAAGGCAGGCACTGCGCAGAACAGCTAGATCGACTAATAGTTGCAAGCCGTCGCAGTCACGTGACCCTAAAATGTCAAAATGGAGCATGACTTCGATGTGCTTTTCAAATGTTTCAAATCAATTTTTCTTTGTTTTATGTTGTCTGTGACCTACTTAGCTAGTCTTCATGTGTGGAATAGCCCTTACAGCAGGTGAGTAGAAAATGCACCTTTTTTCGAAACACTAAACACAATTTTTCGATAAAACCTCCGCTGCAGACTGTGATAGGAGGTCTCTCGCCCCTCGCTCAGCACCGCGCACCCTTCACTATTCTACAATCTCCTTCTCTCTCTGTACCGCATGTTGTATAGGGAGACGGTGTGTGTAATAATGTGGACCGTGGGAAAACAAGGCCTACCCAAACTATTCTATAATTTATGAATATTCACCCTTTCACAACGAACTGTACTGCGGCAGTCCTTCTATTCGAATCTTATATGGTTGATGGTCAGTTGAAGAAAAGAACCTCTTTACCATATTTCAACGATTTCAATTTGTATGACCATTCAATCTGAAATTTTAAATACCGATCAATTTCAACCAGGGGACGTCAGAAAATGCATATTACTTTTTGTTGTGTTGGCCATAGGCGTAACACTTGTATTGTAAAGACTAGGTACTTTCTGCTTAAAATTCGTTAATTTTATAATTCCTCCTAATCCCTAATGAATGTAACTACACTGAAAATGGAGAATGGGAGACCACTACTAAATAATCCAAGCGATATCTGTAATTGGCATAATGTTTAAGGTAGGTATTACCTACCAGATTACCATTTATTCAAAAGGTTATCAGGTATATTTTGAAATGGTTTGATGGGCTAATAAAATGCAATAGGCTAAAATATTTTCACTTTACCTAACGATTTTACTGTTACATTTCAGTGGCTTTGGGTAAAATTATTCGAGGTAAAAGTGGTAGAGGTAGAAGTGTCCCTGTCATAGGCGTACGTCATTTTTTTGTTCAGGGGTTACTGACATCTTTTTTTGATATCTTCTCAGCCTAATTTTTTTTTATATGATATTGCTGATATAAAATTACTCTTCTTGGTTGTTTTAAGATCTAGAAATGGCAGTAATGACTCTGATATACTTGAAATAAAAAGAAACTTGAATATAATGTATTGTTGAAAATTGATGTGTTTGATGACTTTTCTTTTTCAGGGACCATCCCTCAACAATCAAGAAAAGATTTATTAGCGTGTTTGCGATGCTCTTCATTTCGCCATGTTTTTTATACATAGGATTAGATAACGAAACTTTGGAAAAGGTACACTTCAGATATTGAATATGTTTACTTCAATTAATACTCAACTATTTTCAAAATAATTTTAACTTCTGCAGATATCTTTTCTGGAAATATTGGGAATTAAATCTCAGGGACTATGGCGTGCAATATTTTTACCATTGTTTTTAACTATGACTCTTTTCTTGGGGCCAATTTCCATGGAAATTTGGAGTGGAGTGTCGAAAATATTTAAGGGAAATAAAGGTAGAAAAACCACATAATCGATTTTCATCATTGAAAGAAATATTTTCTTTTACAGAGGGAAAATGCTGTTTTCCAGACGTAACCAACTTAATATGGATAAGAAATCATGTAGTAGCTCCTATATCGGAGGAATTCACGTACCGAAGCTGCATGCTTCCTATTTTAATGCAGCACTTCAGCGCTTCTACGGCGATTTTTAGCTGCCCTCTATTCTTTGGAGTGGGTAAGATATAAATCTCAGGTTTTGATGAATACATACATACTTACACATAGATGATACACTTACTCTAACAATTCAGTATTTGTCTCTTTTAAGTTGTACCACATTTGTTGAGATGTAGTTTGTTTTTTACTGTCTAATCCTTGCTACATTCTACATCAAACAAACCTTTTTTCTAATCGAGTTCGGATTCAATAATTCAATATTTTATTTTTAGCCCATTTTCACCATTTCTGGGAGAGGAGAAACCACATGGGTATGAGCTTTAAGTCAGCATTGATAATATCATGTAAGCATAAGTTTACTAAAAATTATACATCATAATTTATTACATAGTATTACTTAAAGTATTTCACATAAGTTTAGGAAGATACTGTGAATGAACATATCATTTCTTTTAGCCGTTTTATGGCCTTCATTCTTTGAATGTTTCAAATCTTTTATATATGGACTGAGTATTTATAAAAAGTAAGTAGTCACCACATGGGTGATCAGCTGTTGCCCGCGTATGAACGACAACTCTCAAAAGTTATATGGCAACTTAGTACTTGCAATTTTGTCCTGCATGTTGATTTTGATTCATTCGTTAATGACAGAACATTTTTAGGTTTTCAGTTTACCTACACCACACTCTTTGGAATGTATTCCGCCTTCATATTCTACAGAACCGGCCATTTCGTATCGGTTGTCGCAGTCCACGCCTTTTGCAACCATATGGGCTTTCCAGAAATCAGGGAAATCGGCACTTACAAGCCCGGAAAAATGATGATTATCATAAGCCTATTTTTTATTGGGTTTGGAATGTGGTGCTATTTATTGAGACCACTAACCGAACCGAGTCTTTTTCAAAATGAACTGTACTTATAGCAAAAATAATAGAATGATGATTTTGATACAGCTCTACGAAATTTCAATTCGAATCAATTTTTGGATTCGAGATGTGAGGGAGGGAAAAATAATGACAATAAATTTCATGCGGTGATAAGAGGGCATATTTATAGCACAACACACACTACTTTTTCTATGTGGAAGTCGAACTTGTGCGTTTACTTTGAAGAATTGAAATTTTGGGAGGTAACAAGTACTTATATAAAGACGTCGTATAATTGTTATCTATATCTACCAAGTCACAATAATGACATATCCGCCATTTAGTTCAAAACGAATTTGATAGTCGTTTGAGATGACAAGTGACAAATAATCGGAATTTCAAATTTATAAAGGAAATAGTAACTGATGGACTAAATGAATATGAATCTATTGAGAAATCTTATCTCACGTCAAAACAAAAATGCTGTCTCTTGACTTGTGGTTCGCAAACCAATTTGGTTAGTGAATCGCGCGTAAAGAGACGGTATATAGGAACCTAGGCTTCCTTGGTCGGAGTCACGTTTAGAGAACATAAAATCCAGGCTTTGATCGCATGGACCTTGTAGTACAAAACGTTTCGTCCGCTACTGCGGCAGACATCATCAGTATATGTATGTTGTATGCGAGGCGAAGTCTCAGCATCGTCGATGTCTCAGGTATTGTTGAGACTTCAAGATATATTCATCGTCCTCGCAGTCAATGCACATACCACTGATGATGTCTGCCGCAGTAGCAGACGAAACACTTGGCGTACAAGTTCCATTGTTCTAGTGTGAAGAAAGTGTTTTCAATCTACTTTATTGAACCAATTGAAGTGACTTGTCATTGTGAGTTCCACTGTAACAGAAAAGTTGGGTTAACCAATTTTCAGAAAACTGTATTCGAAATGTAACCAATATCGATTGAGTTTTTGTAACTTCAAATTGATAATCCTTTAGCTTCCTTTATATTTGAACGATTGGTGAAAATTTGTCCTTGTTGTGACGATGTTTTTAATGGACATTATTGCCAAGACTGAATATTACTCTACCGTTGTTATCACTCTAGGAAAATTTGTAAGTAAATCGAAATATTTTCCAACATTAGTGTTGTTCTCAGGGAGAAAGTGATCGGTTTGAACCGCCATAAATTTGCTTAAGTTTTAATTCTACTGATTACAAATATCTTTTTGTTCCAGTCTGATTTTTAGTGCCATTTTTTCAACAAAAATTCGTAATTCTATGTTTTTTGTCAGAAATATCTGGGAAACTAACCACAATTTTTTGATATCTTGATACGGAAATTGATTTCATTCCTGTGTCTTTTAAATGTCAATTATTGTTGAAATAAAGAAGTTGTCTTGAAAATACCTATACGTTTAATTTTCCCCTGTTAGTTTGTCCCAGATGCATAACATTACATCGAATTTATAGGTTGTTTCGAAATTTAGTCTAGTATGATGATTATTCCATATCTGATCTTGCTTGGTTCTACGCATCTGATTGTTCATGGAATACGGACGTTCATTGAAGGTAAATTTATCCTTTTCATTTCATTGGAGGAAAGCATCCAGAAACACTATCATGAGTATAAGAGGTAGGTGAGAGTTGTTAATCACAATGATTCGTTAATTGGCGGTTGTAATAGTATATGTAAAAGATAAGTGCTTATTGAAACATTGTTGAGTGAGCGGACATTTAAATTCACTTCTATCATCGTTTAATTAGTATATAAATTCAAATTGCTCATCATTCCTTACAATTAGGTCATCAAAACCTTTTGATCTGAATATTACCATTTCCTGATCAGATTTACATGATGATTATACTTGAAGATGCTTTGCTATAATTGTAAACAACTTCAAACAAAAAACCAACCATATCTGAAATAAGATATTATCGTGGATGCATTTTTCGGTAACGCTTTGAGTTTATTCTCACCTTTTTATGTATATCTGTAGTTACACAATTCCGATACTGTTCCAGAGATTGCAACTCTGCCATTCATGGGGTATTGAAACAAGAGATTTATAAAAAACAACTTTATTGACAATATAATCATATCTATATGGAGTCAACAATATCGAAAATAATTGCAAAGCAAGCAAAAAACGGCATAAGTTGGCGAAACGTTACAATAAAACAAAACTTATCACTTTCAAGCAAGAAAATAGACAAGGCATATTTCCCAACTTCAAACTACCTTTATTAATATATTCATTTCGTGTACTGATTTAGAATCAGTAATAAAAATTTTACAAAATCGAACACTTTCAACGCAGACATCATCCATGGCCAAAAAATAATAGTAACCCTTGTTCTGCAAGGGTTGTGCCCGTGAGTACCCTCCCCACGAGGAAACGTATTCCTTTATTATAAACCCCATTATCCGGCCCCACGTTGGGTGCCGAATTACCGATCAAAACAGCGTCTAGAGACGAACATTCGCCTTGGGTAGCTGAGGAGATCAACAAATATATTTATTCACATAAATTTGGTGAATTTACTTTACAAAACAATTATCCGAGGTACCATGCAAGGAGAAAATTCATATAGATATCTTTTTTGAATATTCCTGTGTCTGAGGGGACCCTTCGGTAGGGAGATTCTTTTGTCACCTCCAGTCCATCATATAATAAAGCGTTGGCAAATAAGTCCCGCCCAGGGCCTGGTGTCTAAACAACACTCAAAACCTAACTGATTTTGAGTTTTGCTATGAACGATATCATGCATTGAAAGGCCACTTCAAGTGTCGTCAATAAACGGCAATAATAATAATAATCGTCAATAAATTAGGCTGCCTATCGCAAGTATTCGTTTCCAGCCACTAGTTCCTCTCCCACTCTAATATTAATTAGGAAACCCCTTAACAAGGCAAGAGAAGTTTAATTTTTCGCTGAACGCCTCCTCCTTAGAGGCGCACGCGTCACAACCAATCATCACCGACGTCTTTTAGGAACTATGTCGAACTCGAAGACCTTTCCCCTTCTTGGTGCAGTTGCTGGTTCAAGAAAGCGACGTTGCTGGACTTCAGCCTGGATGCCGCAGCCAGGTATGGCGACGGTGACATGCAGGGCGTCGAAGAGAGGCTGTTGCTAATGTCGCACTGGTCCAGCATCATGAGCAGTTCTTCCGTCGAAGGGCCACCATTGGTTTTACCTGACGGGATAATGTCCGTTAGACGTAAAACAGTGAAATTCCTTGAAGTACGGATAAAAAACTCACCTACATCGTTCTTGTAGGAGAGATCGAGGGCTGTGGTCAAATCCCACATTTGTATGGAACCGTTGGAGTGACCAGTGAAGATGAACCGTCTCGGTCTGGAACCCATCCTGCTGGATCCTTCGCATTCGTGGACGCAGAAAGCGCTGACCGTACTGCCATCTACTGCTCTGATAACGCAAACTCTGGAAAGTCGATAGAAATTCAATCTGATGAATGTTCGAATAATTCATTCAGCAAATTCACAAACACTGACAAGCTCAGAGCCCTAAATAAACTTAGATGGAACTAGAGAAGAATATTTTGGTTCATGGATTATGATTAACACACTGCAAGAATGCCTATTGAATGATGTGGCCCAAATCAAAAATATGTTAAATTTTATGAAACAAAGTAACCTCTATCATTAAATCTAACTGAGAGTTAACGCTTCCAGCTGGGAAGTAGCAGCTAATAACCTAGCAGTTGACGCTATCCAATTGAAAAAAAACAAGCATTTCGAACTCAAACTCAAAAATAATCAGAATAGATCTATTCATACCTTTTACCATTGCTGGCTAACCTCACGAACAAATGGTCTGCGTCCGGAACAACTTTTTGAATGAACACCTGTTCGTCGTCTTGCTCTCCAAAGGGCCCGCAATCGTTAGCGGCCCCATGGCTCATGGTAGGTTCGACAGCTTCCAGGGCTACTATCTTGAACGACGCCTCTGGAGTAGAGCCAGGCTGTGTGGAGAGCATACCGCGGAACCTAGTGACACGCCAACTTCGTACATGGTTGTATTCCGAACAGACAGAGACGAGGTACTTCTCGGAGAGCGTAACCTGCCGAATAAACGAGATATCTTTATCATGTCTCTCTAAATTATTCAAAGGATAAATGGAAATACAGTAGACAGTAAGAGATTTGAGCCGGTTCTAAGCCTCCCCCACCACTATGACGTCAAGTGATGTAATTAGGGTGACCTTGAAAAGTATGTCTGGTGCATAGTTGTGACCTTGAACGATATATCTGGGGCATAGCTGAAAATGAAATATTTTCTTTAAGACATTAGGTGTGTGTGTGACGTCATGACAATTGACTTGGACAAGGTGCATACATGGTTTCGTGTGTACTAAGTACAAACTATTTTGTGCAGAGTACACATGGCATTGGAATTTGCATATCCTTCATGAATATGAAGAATAGATTGCATACACGGAATGGGTTCAGCATAATCCTCCATGTGCATACACGGAGTGGGTTTAGCATAATCCTTTATGTGTACTCTATAAAAACTAGTTTGCCACCCAAGATTCACCAACACGACCCATTTTCACATTATTCCCATGAGTTCTTGATGTGCTGTGGCGTCTAGGGCGAGCATCGTCATTCAGATCTTCTCAACTTTCTGTGAAAATCTTGTACTCAGAGTACAATCACCGTATGCCACTGACAACATTACCAAGTGTTTTTGAGAACTCGATTAAATTTTTTACATAAAATTTGATGTCAATGCTTTGATCCATTTTTTTCGATAGTAGAAAATCACTTTACGGCTCTCACAAACAAACTGAACATGCTAAACAGCTGAAATTGTGAACATATGTTCGAAACGAGTTTACCAAAACAAAAAAATTGCTAATCGAATGTACGTAGCCCGCGAAATTTGAACATTCACCTCATTTTCTGAACAGACCTCGTGTGTAAAGTCCTAAAAACTTGATAGATCAAAGAATGTAAACTTTCACGGCCTGAAGTAACTATGCTGAAGCTATTTTCCGGCTTTTTGGTCGTGATCTACAGGTTTATGCCTGATATTTTGTCTACTACTGCGGTAGACACTATAAAAGGCGATGAAGTAACTGTCGAAGTGCTCGAGTTGTTCCCAACGCGAAAGTTTCTACGTTGGGAACAACTCGAGCATTTAGAACGTTACCTCATCGCTTTTGATTAATGTCAACCGTAGTAATAGACGAAACCTGCAGACCATGGCAAAAAAACCGGAACATAGCTTTGACATAACTTGAGAGATGATAAATAGTTAATAGTTTCATTTTGATAATAAATTGTTTTAAATCGTTAGATGAACATTTTTTGTGATAGACATGAATGATGATTTTCCATAATTTAATGATAATTTGTGGTACTTTAGCCATATTATTATAAAACTGTATCAAGATCAGAAAGCATATTATTCTTTATTTCTTGTAAATTATTTTTGACAGATATAATTCAATGTCTGTAATGATATTAGCCAAGGAAAGCAGTCGTTTTCTGCCAGACATTTACTAGATCCTACTGTGTAGGGATTTTGTTTGAAATATTTACTTTCTCAATATGCTGTATTCTTTCAAATAGTATGTCGATAGAGAAATGCCAGGTATGACAATAATAATAATGTTCTCAGAACCTGTCAACATTGAAATAAGTTTGTAAAAAAGCAAGGAGTATGTGGGTGTGTGAAGACTATTACTATTATTGTTCAAGACTGGCATATACCTAATGTTTTTTCTGTGTATTTTAAAAATATCAAGTTTATTTATTCAAGGTAACATCATTTTCGCAACATTTTAACCTGACGTTAAATAATTTTAAGAACGTTGCGAATCATTTGCATGATAAACTTCATTTCTACTTCAGAAAAATTAAATAATTGACTGTAAAAATAAGTGGTAAATCATTGCGACATTTTTTCGTAAAATTAGAGCATCTGTTACTTCATATACGAAGACATTTTGTGGACTTGAGAGTAGTAGTGAGACAAATAGGATAAGAAAATTGTTTATGTTCATTTAATATCGACAGAGAGCGATTGAATGTAAAAAAATTTAAAATCAACTAGGTATTATCCTTTCATTACTGTATCATTTTCATTCATTTGATCAGGCGGTAAAACCTGTTTCAGAAGTTTTTAATAATAATAATAATAATAATAGTGTTTATTTTGAAAAATGCTACAATTATTTGTATAAGAAAACAATTTCAACATGTAATAACATGACGTCACACAAAATGATGTTTCAAAACTGATGTTTTAAAAAAATCCTAGACACAATAGCGTTCTAGATGTACAAGTATCTTTTTTTAAGAGATTGCTGCCGGCGGAATGTCTTACAAGTACTGATAACATGTAAAATTTCATTGCCATATAATAGGGAGATTTTCCAGTAAGTCTCAATGTATGATATGGATAAATGAGGTCATGTCTCCTTGTGTTATATTCGTGTTCTGTGGCATTCAGATTAAAAAGTTCTTTATTTTTAAACAAATACATCAAACATTCAAAAATGTACAGACCATAAAGAGACATGATGTTATTATTCTTAAAAATTGTTCGACAAGAGTTCTTATAATGTTTTCGAGCTTCGAAAAGATTTCCTCTGTATGTTGTGACCAGTTCAGGCCATTCATCAAGTGATATTGGTGAATGATATATCTTTTGGTTTTTCCTCTGCTATTATATACTTTAGTTTTAGACTCGTTCGGTACTAACTTATATGTTTTCAACCAATTTTTTTGTTTTCTGAAAAATGTTATAACAGTTCATGTAACAGGCATATATCATCAGCATATATAGTTATAAATTGATTCTCGGCTAATTTAGATTTGTAGAAATCATTCATAAATATAACGAACAACAATGGGCCCACTACAGTAATATTGTAGAGAATGTTACGATTAATTTTATGAAACCATTGTATATGAAAATAAGTTACAAGATAAATTCGTATTATTGAAGTCACAAATGCTCCAAGCTTGCAAACCAATCAGAACTAAAATCTTGGTAGGTTGGATGTCCTTGTGTGGCATACCAGCAAACCAATATAAACTGAGACTTTGTGCACAAACCGCAAATAAATCCAATAGGAACGATAGAAATCTCTACATTTCCAAACATGACTGGTTCGAAACAGCAAAAACAGAAAACGCAACATTTCGACGAAGTGGTTGGGAAATATAAAGCTTTCAGGTCCGATGCGAAAACAAGAAACTCCATCAAAAAACATGTTCTGTATATGTTGGATAAGATGTGTGTAAAGCTTCAAAAAATAGTGTCATACCTTCGCGACCCCTCTCAGACGCTGGCATGAAACACAAGGCCTAAGTTACTGGGAAATTACCATGAATGTGAAAGAAATATCCGAATCTCATGGTTTACCGAAAAATCATGAAAAATTTGATTTTTTTATTTGAAACCGTTTTTATATTGAATAGCACTGAAAAGGTTATACTACTTGATTTTTAGAAATATATAAAAGCAAACAGAGTATTGAACATTTGTGACGAACAGTACCTATTCACTAATTTGAACTTACAACCGTTTTAGATCCAATACCAGACAAAACAAGAAACACCGCTGACATCTACTGTTTTCTACTTTAGAAATAATGTTTGACCTGGCGTTAAGCTATCTTTAACTTTTCTCTTGTTTGAAATAATCAAAGTTTCTGTAAATATCAGAAAACCGATGCAAAATTCATCAAGTTAAAAACTTATATTACTTTTCAGATCCGAGCTACTTGAGGAGTATGATATATGTCATTTTATTGTTTACTTCTACCCAAATCACTCCTTTAAAGAAATATACTGCACCTAAAACTTATCATTAGCAATTAGAAAAATTAAAATTCACCTCACAGACCTCGTATATATAAAACGCAAGTGTACTCTTACAACATTATAATTCCAATATTTCGACAATGGGGAATGTTCCTCAATTTGAGTTATTACAGCAAATGCAAGTTTGAACTAAATAAAGTTGAGTTGAATTCATGAGTTTTTCAAATTCACTTCAAAAATTATTCAAACTGATGTTTCAAATGTTGGGTTTTAATTTTTAAAGGGATTTATTTCTAATTCACATATTGGCAACAGCGCCTATATCAAGTTGAAATAATTTATGCGTACCTAGATATTCTACTTTAAAAGAGGAAAATTAAATTTATAAATCAACAATTAAGGCAAAATATAAATTAGGGTTCAATACCACCTCCACAAGCCACATAAACATCAGTTGTTTCGTTATTTATTTATATAGAGGAATATAGGTTAGGTGCACAAAATGTCATGTCACAGAATGTCTCGGAACTCGGAACATAAGTAAACAGAACAGCACGCCCCTGAAATATGTCATCTTTGTTTGTCTCATACAAGTAACAGATTCATTGTCCTTTATTAGATATAACCGATGTTGCCAAATGGTGAAATAGAAACGAATCCTTTTAAATGTTGAATGCATTATTTCATTCCTCTTTTTTAAGTATTTAAATAATTTTTTTAAGAAAAAGTTTGAAATGATAAGTTTAAAATGCGTTGTTTTAAAGCTCTTTTATGAAGACTACTTGATTTTCGTCAGGAGGAACATTCCCCATTGTTACTGTCATCATCAGGGAGCTACGAGACGATGATTCAGATTGGAAATTGGCAAAATGAATTTGTCAATACTTACAATATCAATGAGATTGGTCCATGGTTGTTAAAATATAAAACGTTGAAAAATTGTCAGAAATGAAAAACATATAATGGTGAAAACTACTTAAAGAGGACATAATATATTGAAAATGATGTAAAAGCTACAGTTTTTATTGCGATCATATGATAATAATAATAATAAATATGTCAGATGAAATTATCAAATTGAAATATAGGACCATCATACCAAATTAATATTATACAGTAGATTGCCTAATTGAAAACCCACTGAAAAAATATTCTAATCAAACTTCCTATTTTTGTAAATAGTTTAATTTCCTTTCTTTTATTATTATTTTTCTTTTCTATGAACTTGTGAGTTTTTTGGGAAATAAAGCTGTTGCGTTAATCCATTGATAGCTTTTAACTGTATCGTTCTTAAAAAAATTAATTGCCTGTCACAAGAACCATGAGTAACGGATATCATCATCAGGATAAACAATGAAAGCTACGGTGAGTGATTTTAATAATCAAGATTTGCTACCAGAAATACTTACTAGTTTTCGGTGTCAGATACACAGAAATCGCAGTAACTGGTTCGTTATTGGGGTCCCTATAAAGTTCGGTCACCAGCAAATCGTTGTCTTTCATGCGCAAGGGAAACTTTTGCATATCTGCAGAAAATCAAAGATATTACACAACAATAAAAGTTAAGCCATACATTAGAAGCCTACGTGGTCCTAGGATGGACCTTCGAGGATCTGTAATCACCTAGGAAAACAACTTTATAGAACATATTATGACAACCCAGTGTAGTACAGATGGGTAAAAAAGAACTAAAATCAGTTTTTTTTTACCTATGTAATATATACAGCCGTTGTTGCAGCCTAGTAACAGGATGGATCCAGCCGTATCAAATGAGGCAATAGGCATAACGTCTTGCGTCTGCCAGTGTTGGGTCATGGCATGCCAAACTCCTAGTTTTCCCGATGGAGACAGTGCTACCAACTGACTACCGATGTAGAAAAGATATTCTACCCTGACATGGAGGTTGAAAGTACCTATAAGAGAACAAAGGATATAAAACTGAAATACTTTTGCATGAAAAATTGTAGAATGTTTGAATAGGAATCAATCTGTCAAGTCTACCAGATCTTCTTTGTTGGATAGTATCGGTTCTAGTGTTAATCAGGAGTATATTTCTAGTCCGGTTTTTTTTTACTGTATATTAATGCTTGATATGTCACATTTTTCTTTGATTCAGTCACATTCACCCAAATTATATGTGTCCTTCTGAAATTTCATATAAAAAAGGAAAAAAAATTGTATAGTTCAATTTATTGTAGCATCGAGGAGCCAAATAGGTGTAATTTCTCATTAGGGTGTTTTTTTCAGGTCTAGGTATTGTGAGTATATAGTTCCTATTTCGAGTATTATGTACATGCCTTCTTCTAGTCGCTGTTTTTTTGTTTTTGTGTAGATTAAGAACCATTTTCAAGAAGAATAGCTGTCTGACATCCATTACTTTGGTTTCATTATATAACATTTCCGTTGGATAGTCTTGTGGCTTACGGAAAATAACTTTGAGAATTCTCTTTTGTATCATTTCCAGCGGAGACAGAGGATTGGAATATGCTGCTCCCCATGCAATTATACCGTAAATAATGAGGCTTTGCACAAGGGCATAGTATAGTGGTCTCATTTGTTGGATGTTGAGAATATTATTGTAATACCTCATTCTATAAAGCACATACCGGAGTTTCTTTACAGTGGCATTTATATAGTCCTTCCATTTCAAGTGTGGATCTACAATGATACCTAAGTATTTTATATAATCTGCTGTGGATATTTTCACTACTTCCTTATCACTCATAGTAATACTGAGGGATTTATATGTTGGAAGAAATTTGGGGTATGAGGTGAATGGAATGAAAATGGATTCGTCAAAATTTATTGTTAGAATACGACTACTGAACCATTGGATAACTTGTTTGAAATCTGTTTCTGCAATACTCTAACTCTATCCAGTTTTCTGCAGTATATAGTATAGCGGTGTCGTCTGCGTAGCTGATAATATTTCCTTTAACTAGCTGCATATATAAGTAGTTGAGGTAAATGTTGAAAAGGATTGGACCCAGAATTGTTCCTTGAGGCACACCATACTTAACTTCTTTCGATTCACTATACTGTCTATTTATTCTTACTTCTTCTTGATGTTAAATAGTTTTTCATTATTTCATATGGAATTCCCCTGAATCCATTCCCTTCCTGTACTTCCAGTAGTTGCTTATGGCTTACCGTGTCGAAAGCCTTTGCTAGGTCCACAAAGACACATAAACTAGGTTTCTTTTTATCGACATATTGGCTAATTTTACTCAGCAGATAGTTTGTAGCATTTTCTGTTGATCTCTTCTCTCGGAATCCATACTGGCGATCTGATATAATGTCGTTTTTATTCAAGAAGTTAATAATACGTTTTTTCAAAATTTTTTCAAAGATTTTTGCCAAGTTTGAGATAAGGGAAATTGGTCTATAGTTTGACACGTCAGTTCTGTCACCTTTTTTATATACAGGATTTATTACCGCTGTCTTGAATACCGAAGGGCATTGTCCTGCAGAAAATGTGAGGTTAATTATGTAAGTTAGGGGTTAAGCAAGTTCACGCGCTATTAGTTTTAAAGTTTCGAATACCATCGATTCCTGGAGATTTCTTATTTTTTAATTCAAGTATTGTTTTCAAGACCTCAGACTGAGCAGTTTCTTCTAGGAAAAATGAATTACATAAGAATTTTTTTGAGAAGCGGGGTAGTTGTTGTATATATAAAAGAGTAAAAGTCAAGTTTATAAAAAAATAGACATAAATAGTAACAACTATCAGATAGAAATTGTTTGACTGAGTTCCTGAATTGGAAGTCATTTATATTGGCAGATCTTATGTCCATAGGCAAGTGATTGTACATTTTTCCAACGTTGTAAAATATGGAGTCTCTGGTAATGTTTTTAGTTGGAACAGTGAGTTTCAGAGTGTGTCTGCAGTTTCGGGTGTTATAATGGGAAGAGAATGCAGGAAAATTTTATATATGCTTATTTATTAAACACACAGATTTCAGTATAAATAATGTAGTTACCGTTAGAATATTCTGTTTTTTGAAGAAGGTTCTACGGGAGTCTCTTGGTTTAAGGTTTCCTATAGACCTTATTGCACTTTTCTGTAAAATTAGTAGACTTTTGAATAAAGTTGGACTTCATGTTCTCCAAAAGGGTATTCCGTAGCTTAAGTGAGAATCTATGAGTGCAAAGTACTCCATCTTTGCAGTGCTTTTAAATCACTCTTAACCGCATAACAACCAGAGGAGACTTTTCCAGTGAATTGTTCAACATGATCCACAAATTTTAAATTCTGGTGAATGAAGACTCCTATAAATTTAGTTCATGGTCTACTTTTTTTCAAATGCTATGTCTGATAAAACGTTTTTTGTGTCTATTTATAACATTATGTTTGTTGGAACACATTTATGTAAGTTTTGTATATTCCATTATAAATTAAAATGTTTTGATATATGGATGATGCAGAATGTCATGTTTGGTGATGATATGAATTGTATACTTTCGAAAAGAGATATCAAACTACAATGCCCCAAATTTCAGGGCTCCAAAAATATTCAATTCGATTCTGGGAGACAAAAAAAAGCAGTTCAATATTCATTTTCAAAGAAAACTAAAAGAATTTCTAGTGCAACATTGCTTTTACTCCTTAGAACATTTTTTTGAACATCACTTCTGTGGAAAGTACTTATTTGCTTTTAATTATCTGTTATTTATAATTGTTTTTACGTTTTTATGAGGTGTTTACCATTCGTTTGTTGATGTTGATTCTATTCTATTCTAATGTAACAAAAAAAATTGATTTTTCTCACCTATGTTGGTGCGAGCCCCTGAATCCGAGATGCCCCATAATCTAACTTGACTGCCATAAGAAATAGCAACCATCTTAGAAGTTTCCGTCGAACCCATTTTTGCATTGATAGCAATACGTTCGATGCAACTCTCTATGTAAGGACTGGTGAAGACTTGCTGCCAACCGCTGGAATCTTTCAATCTACAAAAAAACACTAATAACAAGTATATTTTTCAAGTGAGAAGAATAAAAACTATCTACCTATAACAGACAACAAAATGCGCGTATGCCGCAACAATCCAGTTGTGGTGTGCTTTGATAATTTGAACTCTGAGAGGATCTGCCCATGTAGAATCTGAAACGAGATGGATTTGACTTGTCCGAATGCATGGATAACATAAAACTCACTTGTCATCCCAAAAACCAGCCCTATATCGTTTCTTATCAGTTTGTTGAGATCAGCAGACGAAGTCCTTGCGTGTCTCAGATCTAAGGAGGCTGCTCTTGAATGGCCTCGGCTTGCTAATCCACGCAAGTCTTGGGAGCTTCTGCTGTAGTTGTTGGGAATTCCTAGTCTTAGTTCCAGCGAAGAATTTCTTGAATGTCCTTGAGTATTTTAAAATTTATGTAGAGAAGTACAAAACTCGTTCTGACAGATATCATTCATTGGTATTTTACAAGTAGATGTACAGAGGATTCACAGACAAAAATTGGGATTTTACTTTAATCACTCTGTCCAACATGAAATTCAAAGATGTTTCATGTTCATTGAAATAATTATTCTCTTAAAAAAATATGATATATTTTGAAACAGTTTTCTTGAACTCAGTGGCAAAATTAATGGTCTTCATGTATTTAGGTATTAATATAAATTGTTATTCCAGTGACATAGTGAATCAGAATTCATAGTATAAGACATATTTTCGATGGACATCATATCTGGATGATGAACTTCCATATATGTACTTCAAATGCCAACATTGTGTGACAACATATTTTGTCTACATCTATTACCTTATCAAATACATTTCCATATATACTGGTCTAGAAGTTTCTGAAATTCAACCAAGTTATACTCACCTTGAGCCCTGTTCTGCACAAACCCGGTTGAAATCGAAGCTTGACTGGAGTTTCCTTGTTGACTTTGTATAGTAGGATTCGTTGAGGTATCACAGTTTTCTGTTCCAGCGCTAGTCGAAGGCTTCCCACCCTCAGCTGCACTTGCTTGTCCATCCGGCAACCTAATGCCTGACCCTGGCCTCACTTGATGTACAGCCGTGGTCTCCACATGGGGTGTGAAACTTGTCGCAGGCTCATGTACTGGAATATCTAGAATTGATAGTTACAATTAATTCACATGGAAGATAACAAAGTACAGGTGAATATTTGTTTTAACAAGAGAGGCTGATACTTTTATCAAAAAAGGTGGTGTAACGAGGAAGTGATCTACCATGAATTCAATTCAATGTACTTGATAAGGAAACTTCATTTTTTGATATTCTGAGTATTTTCATTTTTTTACAACTGACAGTTTAAATTAGAAAAAATACTCATTATGATTTTTGTGCATATAATTACACTGAAATACTAAAGGTCTTTGAAGGATAGTACTGTAAAAAAAGATATTACTTTATCACTTTTCATTACAAAACTAAGTTCCTGAAGTTGAATTTTTGACTTTTGAGTAGCCTTATCATCAAAAGTAGGCTGGAGAGCCAAGTTTTGACTTTAGATTTGTGGTCAGCAGAAAAGAATAAAAAGTGTAATATTTTTTTCAAAAACTAACGCGGGCCTTTGAAACGAATATTTACTGCAGTATCTACTAACAAGGTGCTGGAAGAGAACCGTAGAATAAAACGTCTCCACAAGTTGACTGGGTCAACTCTTCGCACAACATAAGCCTTCTGAGCAAGGGTGCGATATTATAGTATTCTGCTTCATGTCTCAGTGTTCGTAGATCTGTTCCATTTAGTTCTATTTCTCTCGTACGTAAATAATTAAGGACAATGGAAAATATCTTGGGATCCCTATCAATGAATATTGCACCTTTCTCGTCTCTCAAACTTGATATTCTGCCGCTCAATAAAGCAGTAAAGAAGGTGTCAGGAATAGAGGTGAGGGTTTGTCTTGAAGTTGAGAATCTAAAATGTAAAGAATAATAGAATTTTGTATACCCCTGTAGTATATTTTACCTTTTGCCTCCAACATTCAATTGGAGAATATCACCAAAATAACCATGTGGAGGAACTGACATTTTCATTAGTAAATAGTTCTAATTTCTAATTATTAGAAAGTACATTGTCGACTTATTATTGATAAACAATTACTTAATTTGACTGTAAACGATTTGGCAACATTGTTTGAATGTAAAGAAGGAAGAAAACAGCGTTTATCTAATCAAAACTGGCTATCTTCGCACAGTTTAATTTTGAGGAGCACTATTCAGAAAGCAATACGAACTGAGCGACATCTAGACTTGATAATCTGTACGTCAAACTCTAGGGAAAAGTTGATTATTACCGTAAGGAACGTAGTTCCTTACAGTAATAAAATAAAAAAAATGGTAACTTTTATTAATATTTTCCTTTTTTAAGTTTTGCACCACCCATGTTATTCGAAAATTGTTGTTTCAGTTGACAAGAAGATATTACTTGTGATATACTGTTTGGAACCTTTGGTGTAGTAATGAATATTACTGGAGTTTTTTCCCAACGCCAAATCGTTATTTTTACACCTCGACACGTGTTTCGATCACCAAGTGATCATCTTCAAGAAGAAGATAAAACTTCAGTTTTGTATGTCTAAGATAACTGATAGGACGTTTCCTCATGCTGCTGTATCAATAAATTTGATATGTATATTCGGATACGCATTTCAGTTTTCGTCTTCAATAAATGAAGTTAAACAAAGTAACACCCTTCAACTCTTCAAACGCTCCTTATCTCAATATATACGAACACACATTAATCCAACTGAATTGTTCGTCGTTCTTCTCTCTACTAATCTCGTTTACTACTGCTACTTTTTTACACACTATATTCTACTGTATAGGTGTTACATATTTTAGTTCATTTTGTTTAATTACTTTTATATTTGTATAATCTTTATGTACATATAAGTCTAAATATTTTTTTTCAATGTTCACAACACTGAATTTTCTAACTATCAGTGTTGGTAACACGTGGTGTCAATTTCCTTTTTGTCATTTGTCAACAAAACTAGGAAAATATAAGAGATTTAATTTTTACATGAATTCTTTTTGATTTATAAAGTATCTAGATGATTTAGTCATATCTCCAATATCTTTGAAACTCTGAGAATAAAGGTTGTAAATATTGTGCACACTTAGCAGGAAACAGTTGATGTTATAACCTTATATGACCTGTCAACCGAGCTGTTATTCAGAAGAATAACAATTACAATGGTAATTTGATTGAAAGTAGTTATATTTATTCAAGTTTTTAATGACACGTTCATTTCAGATCATTGTTTGATATCAAAATGGTCCAATTAAAGTTCTACCCAGAAGGATCCTTCAAATGATTGTAGTTACAATGCACAGTCGAATTTACAATTCATAAGTAACCTAAAGATGTTCAATTCAGGGATTAAAGGAAATCAAAGGTAATTTAGTCTGTATGTGTAATAGATGAAATTTGAAGAGGAACTGCTACAGTTTCGTGATTTTCAAATGAGTCACTATTAAAGTTACCACGGAGTGACTCTGACTCATAGGACTCTGGGAATTACCAATTTTTTGTTTTAGGTGTAATGGACTAAAAACGTCACCTTCAATTGATCAAATTCATAATAGTAAGTCACTTTATAATTCAAATCACAGTAAGTCTAGAATAGGTGTCAAATATACATTCAATAATGAGAAATATAGGAATCGACAATATCTCGTTGACCCGATGGGTCAATCGAATACTACATTACATGGTAGTTATCCTGAAACCAAGGTGAAAATAGAGCCTGAAAGTTTGGATTTCGAGAATAACGTTACTGCCCACAGTATTATAGGTGAGGATTTCTCAGTATTTGGGATGGTTCTTACATGCAAAATTTTCAGATATAGGTGAAGTTAATGTTGAAATGGAGTCGCCTCCTGTAAATTCTAAAATGAGGGCGAAAAACGGAAAAGCTACACATCATGAAGTCCTGCAGCGGATAAAAACGGACACAGATGTCCACAATCATTATCAGCAACACTGGTTCAGTGCTAGCCTTGAGGTAATTTTTTAATAAGAAATTATAACCTTAATTTGATGAATAAAAGTGAAATTAGGGTGATGTCTGTCACAACATGCCATTAATGTATATCCAGTAGACATTCATGCTTGAACTTAAGAATATATTTTGATTATGCATTTTTGGAGTATACTATGATGTAATTTATAAAGTATACTTTGATGATGTCTGTAAAATATTATTTTCAGATATTTTGTAGGTTTAGTGGTATTAGTTTATCATTCCTATTCTGTAGTTTTGATTGTATATATTCAAAACAATTTCTCGACATCAAAACGTCTATTTCACTAGTTAGCTAATCACTTCCTAAAGATGCTAACTAGCTCAATCAAATGCACGTTGAGACACAGTATTTATTACTGTAAAATAACCAAACCGTTGCTCTTTCAGAAATTCAAATTAGAAGACAGATCCAGGGAAGAGAGGATTGAAATAACTAGACACGAGTTCCGACGCTACATCCAGCAGCTGATCCGAAGCAACGTCGGCAACCCGAACAAATTCCCAGACCTCTCCGACAGGCGATACCGCCTCTCGGCATCCTCCGCCGTCGTCCGGAACAAGCACGCGGCCGGCCAAGGACGGCTCGTGGCGCCGCGCACGTGCGAGGCGGGCAAGTGCTCGCGGCCTGCGCTGCCATGTGCGAAGCACTGCACGCTGCACATCATGATGAACGCAGAGCAGGCACTCTTCGAGTACTGCACGGCCAAGTTCGCGGACAACACGCAATGCTCAACGCCTGTCTTCGACATATCTCACGAACTGCCGCTGTGTGCCGAGCACGCTAGAAAAAGGGTAAGTGAAGGACGTTTGACTGTTTTTATCGGTTATTACTCATTTTCACAATTCACTTATTGTAAATATGACTTCTCATAGCCTTGAAATATAGGACAGGAAAGGTAGAGCTATGCTGCAGTGTACGCAGCGTAGCTCTACTCTTATTGATTATGTTGTAACAAATATTGATTTTAATCGAGCAATTGTTCATGATAATCCAAAACTAACAAAACTTATAAGAAAGTGAGAAATGACTATGTGAATGTGTTGAAAGTAAAGAAAGAGCGTTGTTATGAACAGAAAATTAATGAAAATAAACATAATGCGAAAGAAATGTGGAAATATTTAAAATCACTTATAAATCCAATTGAAAGTTATAATTTTGAAAAGATAGTATTCAATGTCGGTGATCAAATAAAAGTTTGTAGCACAGAAATTGATATTGCAAATGCATTCAATGAATATTTTGAATTGTGATATCTGTCAACTTATTTCATATGTTACATTATTCGTCAGTATTTCATTTCAAGTTTAAAATTCAAATTTCAGTATTCACATTTAGCTTTGAAGTTCGTTAACTATAAGTCTGAAAAATGGATAGATTAACGGAAATGCATAAAATAACAGTTTTACAAATAATTGGTTACGGAGATGAAACTCGAACACAACAGGAAGTAGCTCGCCTATTTCATGAGAAATTTTCNTACTTAGATAATGTCCTATTTCAAAATTGAAAAGATGAAAAGCATAACGTACATTTGAAAAGTGTAGTAAAATAAGTTTTTTTTAAATCATTTTTTCATGAATTCAAAAGTCAAATTCACAGTAAAAATTTAGAATTTAAAGTCAAAATTTTGAGTTCAAAGTCAAAATTTCGTGACTAAAGTCAAATTTTCGAGAAATACACACCCCTTATAATGGATTTTCATCAAGTATAGGTTAGGTTAGGTCTAAAGTGAGTGGGTCTATTCGTCCCTCCACCGCAACCCGCAAGGGTTTATTGTGGCTCACCTATTCCCATTCAGTCAAATAAACCCAGCTTCTTAACGAAGAGGATTAATTTGTATGGGTACGGCTCTGCCGAACTCTAAAAACCTGATTCGTTCCCCAGCGGGGCAGGCACAAAGTATATGCTCTGCTGTTTCATCATTTTCCAAACAGAGGCGACACACACTGTCTTCCGACAGTCCTTCTCTACCTTCTTCTACCCTTGCCATGTATTTTCATACTCTATAACTAGAGATTCACAAAAATAATACTAAGTACCTTACAAATGCTGACTTTCATAATTACCCTACTCGAAGAGGTACACACCTGAGGCCTCATTTTTATAGACTGGATCTATTAGCTCAAAATTCACTCATCTTACATTTATACAATAAAATACCAACAGAAATTACCGGTCTGAGTTATAACCGTTTCAAGCACTCACTATTAAGACACTGTTTCTACTCCATCGATGAATATTTGAATTGTGGGACATTAATTTTTTAATATGTTGAAAGTGTTTTTATTTTTTATTTACAAAAATGACTATTTCAGATGTAATCAGTATGTATAACCACAAATATTGTTCAATTATTGTACATTTTGTAGTTAATGTGATGAAATAACCATATTCTCTTCTATTTTCGAATTTTCGAGATTGAAGTTGAAATTGCTGAAAAAAGAAAATCTTTCCGTACATACAAACAATATAGTCAATAATATATTAATATATTTTTCAACAAATTTACTAGGTGAGGTAATGGTTTAATTATGATGATAATTTTTTTCAAAACAACAAATCAGATGCAGTATCTTTCAATAATTCACTTGGAACATAAAAAATCATAGTCTTCATGGGAATACAAAAAAAAATGGCATTCAAATCTCTTATTTTTTTTGCAAATGTTGCCAACTGATTTTGGTTAATTTGCTAACGATTTCAACCTGTCCATTGTTAGTTGTGTCAGGTTATGAAACATTTAGATCTAACTCGTCATTGATTTTCCAGGATAATTACAAATTGTACCAAGAAGCGAAGCCAAAGAAACTGAGGAAAAAAGTAAAACCGTCTGCGATGATCAGGCCGCAGAAGAGAAGCAAGAAAAGAAGAAAACTGATTAACAAAAGTAACGAAACCCCTGTCTCAAGTGCAATACTTCACATGCCCCCTAGAACTTCATCAGGTTCTGGTGAGTATATACATATACATTATTCATAAAGTTTCATTTTTTTTGTTATTATTTCTGTTGAATTCGCAGATGGTGGTGAAATTATCGAGGCTGGATCTCCGGAACTAGAAGTGGAAGACATGCAAATGGTCGACCAGGTGCTTGGACTAAACGAAAATGGATTAGAACAAGCATTGGTGACGCAAGCCCACTTGTTGGAAGAAACCGATATCAGTACAGTGCTCAGCACCATACAAGTTGATGAATTTAGTGACTTTTTCACAGGTACTTTTTTCATACAAGTTATATCAGTCCTTATTATAAGTAGAAAATCTTCGAGTCCAGAAAGTGGACCTTGTGGTACACCCAAAGTTCAGTGCCTTTTCTTTCAGTTAACCGAAATGGCGAATATGAACCTTCTCGAGAAGAAGCTGAGGAATTAGAGAAAGCCTTGGCAGCTGTTGATAATGACGTGAAATCTCTCGAAAAGTTGAGTCAGACGCAAGGGCTCTTGGACTCTCTCTTGGACGAACACAGTTTAGCCGAAACCCTCGTACAGATACCGGAAATGTTCCATAACGGTTATACGCCGTGTGGGGACAACATGGTGGCCCAAACGTCCTCCTACCTCTTGCCCATAGAACCACATTCACACTCTTAGTAATAGGCATAATACTAGAAACATCAACAACCAACAGTACAACTACCATTTTTATTTGTCACTGGTTTAGAAATGACCATCGATGATCGCGTGTGCCGGTATTTATTTTGTTTGTTGATTGATTTGTCTTTTGGGCAACACTGGAACTTCTCTCATTATTTGGTGTCAGGTGTGGGGTTTTTGTCGAGGTATGTCGATGAAAAACTTTTAGAACTTATTGAGGAAATCAAGTTGATCTTTTCTCAAACAGTAGGGCTTGTTCGATTTTGGTTAAAACAGTTTCGATCGGGGAAGTTTCATGAAGAAGCTGGGCTGTTGAGAAAATGGGGAAATTTCTAAACATTGGAACTATTATATAGGGATTTTTTCGTGAAATCTCGGTTTTTCTTCCCGGTCCAATTGACAGAAAAACTGATGAAATTCTTCTACTTATAGTTCAGACAAATTCAGTGATATTTTGTATTTTTATTTTTTTTGAAGTTCATGGTGCGTATCAAAGCATTTTATACAATGATTAGATTCAATTTTTTTTGCTTATATTATGATTAGCCCTAGGGGGAGGTAGGTCGATTTTCATTCAGTTTCTTTCGTGATACCGACGAGTTAGTATTACGGGTGTGAATGAAAAATATGTTGCTTGAGATTCAGATGTTTGAAAGAGTGTAAATACGTAGGAAACATAGTGATTTTGCTCATTTGATAAGAAAGCTTCCGCGAAGGAGAAGAAGCTCGTTTAAAGTCCAGCTGTTAGAGTTTCAAAGTTATTCTTATGGTTTCGTTGACATATCAAGAAGAGAATGTCTTTCAACAGGGGCACATTCAAGACCAGTTGAATATTTTTTATGAAGCATCACCTCACTTATCTTTCAAACTGCCTTTGTTAGCTCAAAAACTGATATTTCAACCTTATTTCGATAGAGATTTGCTAGAATGAATATTCACGAATGTTTTTGTGTCAAATTTTACACGTTTGAGTCGTTTCATTTCCATCGCATAATTTTAGTGTGAGTTAGTTTGAATAGTACGAGTTACAACAGTTGATATACAAGTTAGAAAAATGGCTAAAATCGAATGTATTTTCAAAGCATCTTCATTATTCACTGATTCCGGAGATATAGCATAAAAAACACAGTGTTTTTGCTTTTACCTTTTTATTGCATGTTTGACAAATTATTAATCAATTCTACAAAAGAATAAATCAACCTAAATCTCTGCTAATACCCTTTTTAAGAAAATACCAAAAAGCTTCAGTAAGAAGCCATGAAGAGACAACTGATAACACTGAACAGCCTTGTTTGGAGGGTCCTACATCTGATGAGGTAATAGTTTGTATGAAGAATGGCGTATTTTCCACGTTATTTCAATGTTTTTCACAAAATCACGATATTTTCAATGATATGAACAGTAAATAATGGTGAAAGCTATTTTCCGGGGGTTTTGACCGTGTTCTTCAGGTTTTTATGTGCAGTGTTTCAAACGCTGTGAGACTGTGTTGTTTCAAATACAGTGAGATTGCATTCAAAACAACAGGAACAACAATTCGGGCCTTTCGTCTTTGATAATGTATATCGCAGTAGTAGACGAAACGTCAGGCGTAAAAACCTGCAGACTACACGGAAAATAGCTTTCACACAGTTGTCTCCGGCCATGAAAGTTTACATTCTTTGAGAAATGATGTGTTTTCTGAAACGTTTTTAGAAATAGAAAACCCTTGACAGATTTGATTTTTGACATAGCTCTCCAACTCATGAATTTGCAGTTTCAAAGTTTTTTTTTCATTTTTGGTGATAAAACGAAACGTGTCGATGGTTCCCGAGTCATTGTTACATTCTCAATTCCAAGTTTTGGCGATAAAAAAAAGTTGATCATGAAGTAGGCGTTTATCTGAAAATAGTGAAAAAGGTCGCGCATATGCCAAGTCTGAATTGAAAGTTGATTTGACTATTGAACTAACTGTACAAATGAATATCTGATGGAATTGAGTTCAAGAATCGTGGGTTACCAATTTTAGTAAAAATTATGTTCAAATTCATGAAAACTGTTACTTAATAGGGAATGAGATACATAAAGTAACTTTCACACAAAAATCTGACTGGATCAGATAGCAGACTGCAGTCAAAACAAATTGAGAGTAACATCATCGTTTTTTTCTCTAGCAACTGATCAAATATCTACTAATTATGCTCTTGGGCGAATCTCTTTTGTTTCGAGTATATTGTGTTTGAGGTGTTTTTTTGCTCGTTATAACAGAGTAGGGTTATGTCGGTGAAGTAGATAGATAGATGTCGTGATAACAGGAAGTATGTTCGATGGCCAGCGTTTTGGAATTGTTCAGTTCCATCAGTCGTTTATTGAGTTATGATGAATTTTAACAATTTTAAAACTCTGGCCTCTACTGATAGAAAAATCGTGTGAATTTTGATTAATTATTAGGAGGTATTTTGAAATTCATCGAATAGTACTTTTTTTCCAAAAATCATCGTATATTTTTCTTATCTTTTTTTATTTATTTAAGTTAATTTGTAGTTGAAGACTGAATAGTATTTTATTGAATGTATATATTTTCTCACTATGTTCATATTATAATTAATTTAATTGTCGCTTTATCATATACCAATAATCTGAGGAATCCTAATGGGTTCAAGACTTTTTTACTAAACCACTAAGAGTAGGAATTTTGTATGCAGACAGAGTAATTTGCTTGGATTCGATGGTTTGTGTACATATTAATTCATACTTTAGGGTCACACAAACATATTAATGCTGAATTGTTTTTTGTATTTATTAATCTTTTTAAGGCTATTGAGACCGATTTTCGCTGAAATGGAGTTGTATTCGAAATGTGCCCCCCTGTTTTTGGAGTCAGAAATCAAATTCAAAATAATTTCAAAGTTGAAATGATTCGAAAAAAGTCTTCAAGTCACCGGGTGGTTCATTTCAAACAGGGTTTTAACACTTACACCACTTTGTGTCTGGTTTCCTTTAAATTATGACTGTATTTCAAACTTTAGAGGTTTTGCCGGTTTTTCTTTTTCGTTCAAAATTTTCTAGGATTAAAAATATTTTCACTTGTATGTGTCAATTTTGAAATAGTTGGATATTAACCATAGTAATCGAGTTAAGGTAAAAAAGTGAGTGGTTTCTTTAAAAAATGTATTTTTTTAAGATCTTGTTTAAAAAAAGTGAAGAATGTCTTTGATTGAAGTCAGATTTTGTGCTTGTGAGTGTCAAATCCCACGGAAGTAGTCGAATTGTATGTTCCTATTTCTTTTGTGATTTTAATTTTTTGTTTAAGTTTTTGATATATGAGTACTTTGTATTAAATTACATTAAGGGCCAGTTTTTAGATGTGTTTGCGGCAGTATCGATAGAACTGAAGATTAAGGAAGGTTTTATACTTCAAAACTAAAGTCTGAGAGTTTTTGACATAGTCAATTTTTGTCTAAAATATGATAATAATGAACCATAAAATAGTTTGTCAATTTTTCCTTTTTAGAGACACCTCAATTATTCAATTCTGGTTGGATTGATTGTTGAAAAGGACTTTCTTCAGATAACTATCAATAACTGCCAAAAATCAATGTTTTCTTAAACTACAACTTATGATTTGATCTCCACAAACTTTTGTTTGAGGAGATCAAATCGTGAGCCATTTTTGCAATGTATTTGCTATTGCAAGTTGAACAGATCCCTAAAAAATAGGTTTTCCCCCTTTTTCAATCTGTCATTTCAGAATTTAACTATTGGAGGTATACCATTTCATTACCTTTCTGAAAAAATTGACGAAATTTTATGTTTACGAAAGGGTTTTGACAACTTTGTTTATGTATGTACGATTCAGAGAACAGGTGTGCCTACATATAAAAAACAGATCTAAGACACTAACAGTAATAGTGAGCCAAAGACAGAATAAGCAGTATCAACATTAATCACCAAAAGTTGAATTTTTTGAAGTTGAATGCTGTTGACGAGTTCTTTCAATTTCTAAAAACGTGACAAAAGATTTTTGAACTGAAGTGTACACTAGAGAAATCCGATGGAGTTGGAATGTGAGGAAAAACGAGAGAAAGTAAAATACGAGAAACAAAGGCAAGTACTTATTACTGTTTCTTTGGGTATATAACCTTCCATAATCTGAAAAATAAACAAAGCTAAATCTGCTGAAGTGTAATAAGGGGCTAACTAAACAGTTTCCCCCCTACTCTTCTTAGTGATCGCAACTGGAGAATTCTGTAAAGGTTTATATTTCCCTTTTTAAAGACTCTTCTTAATGATGGCACGAATATATTCGGATTTTTTTTTTCTAATTTATTCATTTGATGAAAATGTTTGTTTCACGCCATTCTACAGCGTGATCACCAGTCGATTTCAAATTATGGTCCGCTATTCTAGATCCTGCCAGCTGTCTTCCCGTGTTAGAAATCACACGTTAAAAGCTCGCACAAGTTTTCGACGTCTGAGAGTTGTAGCTCGTAAGGGTGCGACAGCTGGTTAACGGAAAAACATTTTTTCTCACATCTAAGGGTATGGAGGTTTCACCTGTATTACTTTTTCCACAGGAACAAAGTATATTGAAAATACAAATACACTGTATTTATACTAATTATAAATATTTCATTGTTTTCAATTGATTTTTTCATACTGTAGGCAAATTAAAGTTACTAATTGAACTCTACAGTAATTTTTTGGGGTGAACTTTTCAGTGTGCCCTTTATTTGACGTCTCTATTGATTCAGCTTTATTTTTCAAATTGTAGGTTATATACAAAAAAAACAGTAAGAAGTATTGAGTCTTCCACAAAAAAATATCTTTCAGAGAATAAAGGCAAATAAATCTTGAAAATTGGAAAAATTAAAATCAATTCATGTGAGAAAAAACTTTGTATTAGAAACAAAGAAGATGAAATATCTATAATTGTTCTATTCATCTTATGTGTTTGTTCTCCAACATTGTTTTCTGACACATCAAACCAAAAGAATTATTTTTATTAAGACGTTCTTTTGAAGGATTCTGGGTTAACTAAACTGCTTAACAATAATTTTACTTTATTACCATATATATGGTTTCCCAAATTATTGACATTAAGCACATTTTCATTTTACTACAAAGTGGAATGTTTCCCGTTTATACCACTGAAGGAACTGTCCCACGTTTTCTGGGGACAATAATGTATTTTACAGTTATCAATATAAACTAAAAAGAATTACAAAATGGCAATATGCTTCAGTTTCATAAGCTGAAGTCTGAACAATTTTTCAGTTTTACATTTTTTGTCTTCTAAGTGTATATACAGGGTGTTTTTTAAACTTGCGGTAAAAATTTAAGGGACTATTCTAAGAATATTTTGTTCTTTGATGATTTTTCGCTTTGTTTCGAAGATACGGAGCAAAAAAAAATTCGACAATAACAATGCATTACCAAAAGTTACATGTAATGTTTCCTAATCTAAAAGAACTGTTAAAAATGACTACCCCCCGCTCGGATGCGAGAATCCAATCGATTCCTGAACACTTTCAAAAACAACAGGATCATTTCAGGTTGCGTTATACCCAGAAATTATCAGATTTTTCAAATCTTCCACTGGAGTCGTTGATAGGTAGGTACCAACAGAATTGTTAGATTGTTTATTGCTTGGTAGGTCCAGTGTAGTACACTATACTTTTATTCCGGCGTAAATTTAAAAATTATTGTCGAAATTCCTTTTGCCCCGTATCTTTGAAACAAAGCATCAAGTCAAAAATCATCAAATGACAAAATATTCTTAGAAAGGCCCCTTAATGTTTTGCCATATGTTTAATGAACACCCTGTATCAAAACTGCTGTGTTCAAGTTGAAAAATGAAAGGGTAATAAATTGACTGCCTTCTCTTATATCCAAGTCTAAATTTAATATTTAATTTTTAGAGTATTCAGATATAAAGTACACTTCTAAAGAATCAGTTTATCCTTTTTTGGTGTGGATTTAAGCATTCTCGGGGGAAACATACGACATTCATACATGGTTTCAGTGAAGTCTTTCAGACATGGACAGAACAAATTACGACAGAATCGAATGACAATATTTCGATTTCTAATATCTAAATTTTTTTCAAAGGTGATTAAACGTTTTCTTTGGGATATTTCATAAAACATTGCTCTTAAAACTGGCCCAAATATTTCTTTAATTTTTCGATTATATAGATGATGAATTGAGTTAAAATGCAATAATTCAATGACGAGGATGCATTAGTGTACCAAACTCCAATTTTGTAAAAATGACCTTTTTGTATGAACCATTATTTTCAAAACATTTATAAGGTATTTGAACCGTTCATTAAGTGTATGTAAATGAATACTTAGATAATGTCCTAATTTGTTTACATGTAATTTTAATTTGTAAATATTCTCAGGTTAAAAATGTTAATAAAAATACCATACATTTTGCGACAGATTTATTATTTCTCATAATGTTATAATTTATCCTCTTTCGTTGGTTGGCAGCTTTGTCGATCCCCAGTTGTCCATTTCCTTCAAAACTTCAAGGCATACTTGCAAGATTGTCATACTCACCTAAGTTTCAAATGATTACAACTATTAATCAATATAAAAATCAACACTTCTGCTTCTTCTCGAAAAAAGATTAAGGTTTACTTGTGAAGGAAGTTTTTTCTCATTACTGTTCTTTTTTTGCATCTTACAAAACGACTATGTAATAATCAATTGTATGGATTTAGCAATTATTTAACGAAGTTTGAAACATTACACTTTTTATTTCATAATTCAGTTCGTTTCTACCGATGTATTGAAGTCGGAAGGAAACAGAAGACACTAAAGACAAATTCTTGAATAGCTGAAAGAACCGTTGAACTCTTGACTCTTTGAAGAAGGATGGAAAGGTTTTGCTTCTGCTTTCTTTGGACTGAAGGCCTTCAAAAAGTTCTTACGGCAAGTGTCTGGAATCCTGTGATTTTTTTTGTAAATGGAAAGGCCGAATGGAAACTTACTGGGCGGTTTAAGACAAGGTTCAGCTTGCTGCTTACCCCTAAGACAAAACGAACTATCAATTTCATGGAAGCCATTTCAAGATACCGATGAGCATTTTGCTTCCAAAAAAAATTCAAGTTTTTTGGTTTCTTGAGATTTTCAGAACCACTTTGTATCAATGAAGACGGTAAAACATTTTTTTTTATATACTCTATTTGTAACTAGTTTTTCACCAACAGTTTCTCAAGTTGAGAACAAGTGAATACAGAGGATGTGTTAGGAATCACACGTTAAAGGTAGTCATTAGCTCGCACAAGTTTCTCAACTTCTGAGAGTTGTCCTTCGTATGGGGGCGACAGCTGATTAACGGAAAAAACAGATTTTTTTTAAACAGATTTCTCTAGCCATAAAACTCGTATGTAGTTTTTTTAATGTATTTGTTTATAACATTCTGTTCATTGAATAAACAAATATTGGGACAGTTGCATCACCAACTTCAGTGAAGAATCCTGCACTGACAACTGTCGGTTATAATCAAACGCCCTTCGTGGTATTAGCCAGGGAAATACTTGTTTCTGATATGTGTCAGTCCATCAACCTAGGGGAGTCGAGACTGACCTAAATGAATTGTTCCTTTAGATGATTTGAAATATGATTTTGTTTTTATCAAATGTTTAGTCATAATATGCAATATCACTTTATATACTTGTGATGTACTGTTTGGAACCTTTGGTGTAGTAATGATTATTACTGGAGTTTTTTCCCAACACCAAATCGTTATTTTTATACCTCGACACGTGTTTCGATCACCAAGTGATCATCTTCAAGAGGAAGATAAAACTAATAACTACTCAAAACTAAAGCTACTTATACTAATCAGGTACATCATACAGGTAGGTAATCAGTAATACCACCCATACAAGTGTACCACCCTAAATTAATTTTACAATTGGCCTTTCTATTAGTTTACAATATGTCCTTATGTATGTTTAAATGTTACAGATATATATAGAACAATTTTCAGCTATATAAAATTAGCTTCACAATATTGCCTATCTAAATATATTTACAATGTGTCTTTTTTGTAGTAATCAGTAAACCCAACAATATTATTTCAACAAGCTATATAATATGCTATTTGGTATTGGTCCGTTATCGTTATTCATAATATTATTATGTTTACTTATTTCTACACTCTCATAGGCATCTAGCTGCCTGTTGTTGTTAACTTGTCTAACTAATCTTAAAGAACTGAAGTCTATGGAATGGTTTTGTTGCAAAATATGATGGGCGACTGCTGATTTTTCAGGTCTTCCATATTTTAAATGTGCTATGGAAGACCTGAAAAATAAGCAGTAGCCCATCATATTTTGCAACAAAACCATTCCATAGACTTCAGTTCTTTAAGATTAGTTAGACAAGTTAACAACAACAGGCAGCTAGATGCCTATGAGAGTGTAAAAATAAGTAAACATAATAATATTATGAATAACGATAACGGACCAATACCAAATAGCATACTATATAGCTTGTTGAAATAATATTGTTGGGTTTACTGATTACTACAAAAAAGACACATTGTAAATATATTTAGATAGGCAATATTGTGAAACTAATTTTATCTTCCTCTTGAAGATGATCACTTGGTGATCGAAACACGTGTCGAAGTGTAAAAATAACGATTTGGTGTTGGGGAAAAAACTCCAGTAATATTCATCAATTTATATATTGTAATATCAGTGGTATAATTCCTAAAATTATTCTATAGCAAACAGAAAAGTGAAGATTCATTGAAAAATGTTTTTTTGATCCACAATGTTTTAAAAGAAGTGTTTGAAAAGAAAGGTCTCTGCTTCCTACTTCTCTATCTTTTTACAAAAAAAGTTGGAGTCTTCTAAAGAAAAAGAAAAGGCAAATGGAAGATAATTCTTTGAGTGAGAGTTTGACCCACTTTCTGATATTTATCATCTGAGATAATTCTTTCTATCAGATCCTTTTTCAATCATAAAATAATATGAATGAATTATGATGAGTAGGTGATACAAACATGGATTCATTTGCTGTTTTTGAATGAAGAATTTCAAACAGAAACATTTATTAATATTATCAGGAATTTCATTGAAGTAAATAGAAATAAGCAGTATTCAGTCCTTGAATATTCAGAATAGACACTGGTGTGTTTGAAAATGTGAATCATCTCACTTAAGAACCTCAAATAAAAAATTATGACCCACTTTCTCTTACATGCTCAAGATGGGCTGGAGGATCTGTAACATTTGGTTTTCTGCAATCTCTGATGAGCTGATATCCTATTTAACCCACATAGCATTTAGAATGTTTCTTACATTTCACTTTGTGAACGTTCCAGTGAGGTTTTCGTTTTTTGATATGAGAAAAATGTTCTTTCCACTATAGTTTCATAAATTTTTCTGGTTGAAATTCTTAGTTCAACACCAGTTGTAATTTGATGAATGTTGTTTCAGTCGACCATATTTTTATTTGTCATCCAAAAATGTCTGCTTACTTGTAAAATACTCTTCAACTTTTACTTACACGAGAAGTTAATTGTGGTGATTGACATCTTATTTTATTGGTTAAAACTTTAATTATTTTGAATAATGCAATATAAAGTGGTTAATATAACTCGCAGTTTAGGTATTTTCTCTCATTATAAACCTCGAAGAAAGGACTCGATAAAGTCCGAAATTTACTCAACAAAGAAGGAAATTTCTTTACAAATTTTTGCAGACACTGTCCGGAACTGGACCCTGAATAAATAATCAGAATCATCATCTTTTGATATAATAGATTCTCAAGGACAGTTGCTACTTTCTTGGCAGTTGCAAATATGAATTTGACTGATTTAAAATACCTCTAACAACTAACCAAAATTATTCTCTCATAAAAATGGAAGATTAAACCAACTAGAAAAAAAAGGGTTCTTACACATCTCCATTTCTGGTTCGTTGAATTTTAATTTGAAGATAAGACGGTTTTTGTCATTGATGCACAACACAGCAAAAAGCTAGTGAGATTCTTTTTCAAGTGCAAGTATCAGTACCTTAAGTCATAATTCATCCCTGCCCAGGTTTAGTTTGGAAAGAATATGAACTGTTACGGAACACCAGCTGAGCGCCATGGAATCCCGGCATACCCTCCTTGAGCTGAAAATCTTGGAATACATTTGGAAATGGAATCATCTTATGGAACAGTTATGGAAATGTCAATTAGCAGCAAATGTCAATCCCGATATCTACTTGGAATATTTTTGGAACTGGGTTCATCTTGGCAGGTTCGGCTCATTGAAAACGGATTGCTGTTAATTCCCCCCCACTGGTTTGGCTCCCAGCCCCCCTGACCTTGTGGATCCATCATTAGGCAAAGTTCCGGGAGATGTGACGTTAAAAAAATTTTAAATCCTCTGTCAAAAGGTAGAGTTAGAGTAATGGCTTTTCGTCTCAGTTACTGGCAGACTCGTACTGGAAAATGGAATTTGGGGTCCCCCGAAACCCAGCCTTGAATGTGAAATGGAACAACCTTGAATGCCAATGTGGAACCAAGGATTTTAACCATATGTGGGTGGTGGGAGCCTGAAAAATATTCAGTACGTGATTTACCAATGTCAATATCATCAGGAATAGCGATTTCAAAAGGAAAATGCAGCAAATAATACAGTGAAAAAATGGTGAATTGGACACTCATTTAATAATTACACTTAGGGGTTACAACAAAAATGGAGGTGAAATTACGTCCTGTCAAATATCCAGGGGCCTTCAACCAAAAAAATAGTTATAAATCAAATAAAAATTCATACAAATCAGAATGATTCATAACGATGAAGACAAAAAATAAATCTAAATATTTTTAGTGTTCACACCGACAACATACTTCTTTCGAAAACTTCTGAACTGAAAGCAAGCTTGCCTCTCAGTTTCTCTCTTCGGATCTGGAGTTGGACCTCTTTCTGTTGTTCTCTTTGGAATGTGACCTAGATCTGGATCTAGAACGGGACTTGGAGCGGCTTCCACTGCGAGACTTGGATCGACGGCGTGAACGGGATCTGCTGCGGCTCGGAGATCTGTTGTTCTTCCTTCCTCCTCGTCTGTCTTCAATCACTCTAATCCTGCGTCCGTTTATCTCAATATCATCCAGTTTCTCGATGGCATTTTTCATATCGCTGTAAGATACGAATTCTACCACCCCTTCGTTGGGGACCAGCTTGTGGGCATCAGCAAAGGTCACTTCGCCAGCCTTACGCATTATGTCTTTGAGGTCTTGCCAGCTGCAGCGGCTAGACAAGTTCTCGATAATAACTCTGTACTCGGTGCGGGTCGGTGGGCCGTACTTGTCTCGGGTCCGGGAATTATCGCCGCCGCCACTGTTTCTGCCGCGAGGAGGGCCGCCGTAGCCCCTTCCGCCCCCGTCTCTTCCTCGCCATTGGTCGCTGCCTCGGGGCGTTCCGCGGGCTCTCTCCACGGTAATTCTTTCGCCCATCAAATCTTTGCCGTTCAACTCATAGCACGCGTCATCGGCGTCCCGATGGTCGTCGAACTCCACAAACGCGTAACCGTTTTTCATGGACACCTCCTTGATTCGTCCATACTTCTTGAAGAACTTTTCTAGATCTCGTTCACGGATTTTGTGGGTGAGCCCACCGACGAAGACGCGGGTACTCATATTACTAACTTTAAACGAAATTGTTTACCATAAAGTCGATCGAAACGTTTTTGCGAAAAGCACTTTAGCATCAGATAAACACGTAGAAATAAAGATGGAGAGACGGAAACTGACCGGGGAACGCAAAATTGCAAGAAAGGACGCGGAAATGACAGGTGCGACAGAACATCAAACCAAAAGGCGCATTCCAGTCGATGCACGCGTGCATATCTCGAATAACTCGAAGCATGTCTTATACAAATTCAGGTTTTCCGATTCATCTATTCTACAGCATTTTTCACTATTCTGATTCTCTTATCCCCATATTATTTTCATGAATAAAATCTATATTTCGATTAGTTCATTTGAAGTATGTCTGATAATATCTGAAAGACTCCTTTTATGATGATATTTGGTCAATATGCAAATGAAAGAGATTTTCAAATTGGAATAGTCGATGAAGAATACTTTTTAGAATTTTTTATTGGATTCAGCGATAAATCTGATGGATTTATCTGTTGGTCCTATCAATATAAATGTTAACAAGCATCTACAGGGAAGTATATCACGATAGGGGAATACATCACGAATCGCCAATCTTGAAATTACATGTCTAAAATTTCGAATATTTGACTTGGTAATAATTGCTTCTAACGAATTCTATTTTTACTTCCCAAGAACACATAATTTTCCAAGTTTGACTTTTTGAAAATATTTCAACACCAAAAACCAACTAATCTTAAGTGAAATATAAAAGAATGAGGGTGGAAACATGTAACCTCAAAAACCATTAGCATCAGCATCAACATCATCACTGAGAAGTCAAAATATTGCTTTCACACATTTTATTTCATGCAGCATGAATTAATTCAACTTTACATTAAGAGTAGATCAACCCTCAGAGTAATAAAAAATAAGTAGAAATGCCCTCCGTATATAAACACAACAGATTTGTAGACAACCAGGATATCCATCTCTCTCACAGTAAAATGTGAGCAAGGGGACTGGGGGAATTGTTTACGTAATCCTCTGGACTGGATCCAGGGGCATGTTAAGAAAATCTAATGACTATCAACTATTAATTCGATCGATAATTCTGGATTACGCCCATGCTCCATTTGTTGTTTACATGTCAAATGTTACATCAACATGCGAGGATTGTGAAAATCCACAAATAACGCAGGTTTTCACCATCTTCAAAATTACTTTTTGCACTACAAATTAATTATATCGGTCAATAAGCGCTCAAATCACCAAACTTCCAAAAACGACGAAATACCGGTATTATTCATTTCTGTTAGTCGGAAGACTGTCGTAAATATAAACAAAGTAATTTGGCTTCAGAAACAAGGACAGAAAGGCATCTCTATTTATATCATTACTCTGAGGATCAACCTTTATGTTAATGTGATATTTTTGACATTTTGGCATTCTTCTGCACACATTCCAATGTGAACTTATGTTCTGTTGTTCTATGTCGTATCTGTCAAAACGAAATAAGTGTGAATTAACAGTTAGTATCAACTCTACATTTAAAATTCAGTTATAACTAAATTAGAACAAGCGTCTGTACACAGCAATCTCATAACATCTACACTTTGCACTCGGTATATAGAAAACAAAATTTCAACCTGTAAATTAACCTAATCAAAGCTATATTTAACTAATGAATTTCAATATGTGATATGTGAGTTCTAGTGCCACTAGTATACTTTGGGTTACAGGTTAGTTTTTGTTCCATCAACATTTATGTACTAAATGAATTTGCAAAAAATGTAACGTGCTGACATCTATTGTACCGAGTACAATGTGTACACGCCAAGAAGATGCAAGGATAGTCTATATATGTCAATGGTCGAAATACAAAGATGCTACCTACAGACGATGATCATAATTTACAGTAAGTTATACTTGTAAATTTACAGTTGTCACGGTGAATTTGACAATTTACAGTCGTAACTGTGAATTCACGCTCATAGCTGTAAATTCAAAGTCATAACTGAGAATTATGAAAAAAAGATATTTATTTTTGTGGCCCTTCAAGGCTTTCGTTCAGAAATATGCTTCAGATCATATTTAGGACAATCTTGAGGCCCAAATCAAATTATAATACACATTTTGTAATGTTACCGTGTCACCAGAATTGTTTGCGTTTAAGTTTTTTTGTATATGGCATAAGAAATTAATTAATAATTACTTTTTTCAATAAGTCCATATACTTACCTTATGTCGATTCATTGCCATAAAAGCGGTATTTAGAAAATCGTGTAACCCTTGACATTTGAAAGCTTTTACCTCTACTAAAAGGTATGTTCATGTTCAAAAACGTATCAATGCTTGCTGCAAAATCCATTGACCAAGTATATGGCAACACATTCCTTATTGAAACCAATAGATATATTATCTGATGAGTGCATTTATGTTCATGTTGATAATCATATTCAAATATATATGTGTGCATATATGTATATGTGTGTATATGTAGGTATATTTATTTTTTTGTGCTCTGTTCGTACTTGGTTATGTTGTAGTTAGTTTTTGATTTTTTTTCCGCTATGAATATAGTATTTTTCTTGGGAAAATAAATCGTTATTATTATATCCATCATTTTTAACATGAAACATGTTTTTTGGTTACCTAAATCTTGGAGCATTGGATAATAGATGGCCCATAATCAACGATAAACATTTATTGATGGACGCTTGCACGAAGTTGGGCCATATTAATACGGCCAGTGTTCTAGGTTATTTTCATGCTCAATAATACATTTTGTATCAGAAAAACAGTAGATTGAAACAAACAACAGTATAAAATATATTTCACCGATACACACTAAATACTATCTGCACTACTATTTGCACTATCTATAGTCATTTAATTCAATTATGATATTCGAAATATTGTGCAGCCTAATTCTATTCCACAGCCTTCTTCTGAAACATTTCATCTTCTCGCGGCATCCTGAATAATGGTGACCTTATGCACACTCGATTAGCAAGTAGTAAGTAACAATTAGGAAGTGACAATTATCAATTATGTATTCGACTCCTCAATTTCCAGTTTGCAGAAAAAATAACAATTATTGAGTAACAAATGACGTTTGAAAGTTGGCATACTTCTAACTTTCATTGTAGCAAAGTTTAATTAGGATCCATCTAGGGCGGAATGATCGCTGATTGGCCCATTTCAGAACACAGACACTAGAAATGGGGGATATCCTAACCTTATAATTTTCTAATTTCAAAACATTGTAGACTGTGTTCTGGTTCTGATTGTTTATAATAATCGCTGAAATGAAAATTGATGTTTGTGTTTCAAAAAGTACACAATAATAAACATACAATAATCGATAAAAGCTTAAGCCCTTGCGTACTATTTCACTGTGAATTTTTTATCAGGACCGTATAAATGCCATCGTTTCTGTTACTTGCATAAATTTAACACTTGTGATGGATCCTGCTGTGTCTGCTTCTATCATGACATTACCAAACAATTATTCATGTGCGCACAATCACAAATGTCACAACATAACCTCAATTATGAATGGAATGACACTATCCCAGATACCAATAACCCAATTTTCACAAACATTTTATTTTCTACCGAGGAAGCGTCTAGAAATTAAAACGTTTGTGAAAATTATGTAATTATTATCATGGATAATAACCTTAATTGTCTCTGCTTATATCAGGACAAGTGTAATAACTTAACACATCGAACGTTGTTTGTTTTTTTTATGTTTTAATAGTTACTCTGCCATTCCGAACGGAAGGAAATGCATGATTCACAAAACTCCAGCTTATATTCTATGTCGATATAAGTTTGTGTTCTGTGGTATGATTCAATCATCAAATATCGCATAACTTAAAAAACAATGTCTTTATTTGTCCTCGACAGTAAAATATGTGAAATGTATTCAGTAGCGTTCAACGATTATGGACATACACGAGTAGCGGTGACGTACTAAAAATGTTTTCGAAGTGATTGGAAGACAAATCAAATGAACCTATCCAGAACTGTCTATATTTTTCACAATTTGCGGTTTATTGCTAACAAAGTTACTTTTCGTGAATTCACTACTCTTCCAATTCCAGGATCATATTCTGACGTGAGAATTTTCAAATCCGAATCTAGAGTAGGCCAAGAAAGGACAAACGCGCATCAACCACAACGTCCAGATTTGGCAGTATTTCAACAACACCCTAACAATGGTGTACTGCAAGGCCCACGTCACGTTCAGTATTAGATTCAATCTCGCCCTTGCGATTTTACTCAACGGCTTCAGTTGTTCGTCGGTGATTTCGGGGTCTGGATTATTCCTCAGTACCATGTGGAGGTAGCGGAGGAAACCTTCTTGATGTAGCACTGGGTTCATGGCTCGCATTCCGTCTATGAGAGCACTAGACATTAAGTCGAAGTCTGGCCCGGTTTTCGCCATTCTGGGGATAAATACCTTTCGTGCTAGGAGCTCGCAGATTTCTTTTGTTTCCTGTACCGATTCCCTGCATAGGTTGAATCTGGAAATTACAGAGGAAATTTTGACTTTACTATTACAAGGTTTTGATTAGTCTCACCTGTATCAGTGTGTGTAATAATATTTTGAAGATTAAATTCAGACCACTGAGCTGAAATTCGGCACACATGTTTGTTTCTCGTGACAATGCACGATTACCTACATGCCGCCGTTTTTATTACAATATGGAGGGCCTTACAACATTTAATATAACACATCATATAACTTGTGTAATGTAATGAATTGATGGGTTTGATTTGTTAATTTAGAGTTCATTTTCCTCTTTTCAAAGCATTTGATAACAGATTGTTTTTGAATTTTTGTTGCTAATACTAACTTCACAATGTTCTATCTAGTTATATAGATGCCAAAGGGACATAAATAATTTTACTGAGAAACTTATTTCAATTCATTCTGAATTCAAAACAGTGACGAGTGGGTAATGGGTTGATTCATTGACAGTATGATTTTTTCAATGTCAACGGCATCGATTGCTATGGTCATTAGTCTAGTCGAAGGTGGATTGATTCTGCTACGTTAAAAGGCCCATGGGACTCGAATCGCTATGCTGTTTTTTAGAGTTTATTACTCGATAATAATGACCGTAGTAGCCGATGTCGCTGATACAAAAAAAAACTATATTTGCTGTGCTTACTGTCCTCACCTGTCCTCAGTTCCTACAAGGTACCCGATGACCCTCCACAGATGGAGGAAACCTTTCCATTCATCGTCTGTTGCATAGTGGATTCCCAACATTTTGCTGCGAATCAGACCCAGTCCCATGAAACCGAATTGAGTTAGAGCCATGTCCATCTGTGTTATCCGGGTTTTGAAGCACAGATTGCTTCTTTTGCTTGCCGCATTGTGCATGTTTCGAACATTGGCGATGGACTTCCACAACCTATCAAAAATGTTGCCATCATCAGATGATAGTATACATTATCCACTCTGGTGTAAAGTGAATCTAACGGAACATTTTTCCACACACATGCTGGTTTGTGCTACATTCTCTAGTTGTGTGGAAAAATGGTTTCATCAGATATGAATTTTAAATCCCAACAAAAACATTTTCATGTAAAGTATCACCAAGACAAGTAGGTAGGCATATTGCTTGCACTATAAAACAGTTATCAGATCTCACAGTGAGTCAAGTTCCTTACGCGAGGGCGTGTAGACACGCCTCAACATTACAAGTTCTACGTCAAAGTTGAAATATGCGGCCGGACCGTTCCATAGTTAGGACTAATGTAGACACTCCCATAGTAATACTTATGGTTTCATTATTCGTTAATTTCGTGCCATCAAATCCAGGAGTGAAGAAACGTCCAAACCACATATTGAACAAAATAGTTTTTGGAGTTGAGAAGTGTCTAGACGTCCTAACGTAAGGTGCTTGGCACTTAATGGGATCTAATTTTTCTAGGGTTTATCAGTGTTACTAGTTACCATCTACATTGGGTGTTGTGAATGGACATAATTTTCGATTGACATTTGTGGTGAATGATAATATACCTATATGTAATTTCAGTTTCAAGTGGTCCTTGAAAATGGATTCAAAGCAGAAGTCGAACAGATGAAAATTATAGACGTCTATAATTTTCATCCCGGTTCAACCCGGACGACAGTACATTAAATTGCTGACCGCATTTTAAATGAAAATTTGCCAGAATCATAATTAGAAATAACTCAATAATAACTTCTAACGCGAATTTCAGAGACAGAGAACGTGCAATCTATTAGATTTAAAGGATGTCATTGGAAGAATGTAAATGGGGTTATAAAAAACGTGTCAACCTGGTTTGGCCAGAACAGCAAGAATATTCAAAGAAATGAGATGCTACTTGAAACATTTGGAAATAATTAGCTGACTATATATCTCGAAAATGACATATTATATTTTCAATCCAACCCATTACGTTCGCGGGAATGATTGCTCAAACATTATTTAAATATGACATTGATGCATTCTTATTAATGGAATCAAGATTGTTAACATTGCAAACTGCCAAGGATTTCTCAACTTGAATAAAAGTCGTAAATCGCAATACAAAAACATTGTTAGGTACTTCGACATTAATATCCATAAAAATTTTATTTGTTTGTTCATGGAATTAACACAGCACAATGATAGATTCAGTTATTACTATTTTACTTTCTTTTCAAGCCAGTACATGTATGAACTTGAACTTATCCACAGCAAATATCGTTTTCATTGAAGACAGTAAGTGGAAGGTACCGAATATAAAAAATTAACCGATTTTTATACAGTATATAGTAATGGTATCACAACGATAATAATAGTACTAGATAATTTCAATTCAATTTTTGAAAGCACCCTACTTCGTAAAGACAAAATATTGAATTACAATACAATTAATTATATTATCTATGGTATTTTGTCACGACATTTTTTTATTGCACTATCTGCTGCATAGTCTAAGGTACCTTGGGATTTCTGACTGCTCTCAAAAGTCTAGTAAATATGCTGCACGGAATTGGAGAAAAATTTTAAAAAAACGTTACTTCTAAAGCGGTACGTACATCTGATATACCACATGAGCGCTCTCAAGAGGAATCAAGCCCAACGAAATCGACTGCAGTAGCATCGAACAAGAGAACCAAGACAGAGGGCTTAGGTCCTCAACAACTTCAAGGTGAGCAGGGCAACAAGAGATATCCAATATGTAAAAGTATTACCAGATCCCAGGCTGGTCTGGAACCAACATCTAGAAAAAGTTAAAAGAAAAGCAGAGGTATCGGCGATTCTGGCTGAACGTACTTACGAAAAGCTGACATCAGATATGATGTATCTGCTCTATATCAATTTGGTAAGACCCGTGATAACATATGCATCTGGTGGGCAAAGATGAAAGAGCTACATTGAAAATATTCCTTTTCATCTTGTAATACTTGAGGAAGCAAGAGTGGGCCGATTCACCAAGCTACAAGGGATCGAGCAAAATAGAATATGTTTTCGGACCACATGACATCGAAATGCATGTTTGGCACAAACCTTGCGGTTGTTATAACTTGCGAAGAGTGGAGGATGAACAGTTTTCCAGAGAACATGCTCAGCTGAAACACCTGGTATACAGACGGGTCGAAAACCGAACAGGGACGGGAGCTGAAATCTGTGCGCGGAGAAAACTATCAAAACAACTACGGGGTTACTTACTGGACATTTCATTGGGAGGAAACCTGAAGAAAATAAGGCCGTACAACGGAGACATTCAGAGAGAGCAGTTTCAATTTTTTTTTAACCGAACATTCAACTACGATATAATTATACAAATGACAAGGTGGATGTAAATGTAACCTGTACTTACTTTGATCCTGGCTGGAAGTCCGAATCATACCAAACACACATGTGGAAAATGGTGCCCATGTACCTCTTGTAAGCCGTCATTGGTGTGCTCGACTTTCTCGTCATCATCAGTATTCGGAGTGACGGTAGCGACAACAGTGCTAGCAAGCCCAGCAATTTGCTCAGGAATAAACCGAAGATGTGTTTGTGAAAAAATGCCTGGCCTCTGAAAAATAGTAGAAGAAATAATTGCGTTCAGTAGACGAATTCAGAGATTGCCATAATTTCACTACTGATTGGCCTATCATTAGACAGAAAAAGAGATAGCACTGCCACCTGAGTTATTGAAAAAAGCATGAAGTACTTCAAATCCAATTTTTTATGGTGCTATTTTCTTTAGTGTTATTAATTTAGTGGTTTTACTAGTTTCTGCTTGGTTAGTATTTTGAATTTTCCTTCTAAATGTGTTAACATGTTATAAAGACACTGCCTATGTTCATGTAGACATAATCGATTTTATTGCAGAAACTAGAGAGACATACATATTTTCAATTTCTTTTTCGAGCGAATCTAAGAAGTCTAATCAATGATGCAAAAACACAGAGCTACATACAGAAATTGAACTGATATGATTTCGAACTGTTCTCAACGCCATTCTGTATTAAATATTGAAACTTTTAGAAAAGCTTCAGAATTTGTCACAACTTACTTTTTGAACATTATCTCGTCATAGTAAGGAGGTAGGTCTTTATTTCCATTGAAAGATTCAGATGTTCCATCACAGGTAATATTAGAGCCTTCTGTTAAAAGTTGTTCCACGAATTTTTCCGCACAAAAATCTAAAAAGAAATAAAAGCAGCTTTTATTGATTATTCAGCTTTAATTTTAAATTCACTGATCAAGCTCAACTGCAACAGAACCATAAGCTAGTCAGAAGCTCGCCGCCGAAGCTAGAATCAGCTGGAGCAGCAGAGATGAACTTTCCTCTAGTTCGAAGGCAATAGCTACACATAAATAGATTCAAGTTAAGCGATCGTCACCCTTTAATCAAGATTTGGAGATAGTTTCCAACGAGCACCACTTGCACAATGAGGGGAAAGGTAGTTAAGAATTCAGAATTGTTTATGAAGGGATTGACTGTTCCTAGTTTTAGAACTGACGATTGGTCAAACTCTTAAGTCTCACATGGTGATATGCCTCAATTTTTGTTGATCACGCTTGTCTAGATTAATTACAGCAATATTGTTTTAAATTAAACCCCAAAAAAATAACGCCGGCCGCCGCTGATCATTGTAAATCGATTGTGACTTGGCCATGATTGCGCTCAACTCGACTTATGCTTCACCATTGTTCTAGTAGTCGCGTCGCTTCAATAGACTTCTAGCGACTTTCCTATCAGCTTCGAGAGACTTCGATCACCATACATAAACACGACTAACACGCATGCCAAGGAAGACTAGTTGACAGTGCGTTACGAAGTGATCTAATAGGGACATTTGAGTATTAGTCTGAAGTTTCAGTTGAAGTATTTGTGTTGTATTGTCAGTGTGGTAGTGAAATAAAATTGAGTTTAAATGTACAGTGTAGTCAATTATTGGCGAACCCATAGGAAAAATGTAACAATATATTCCGTGTTAGGAATCACACGTTAAAAGGTAAGACCTCGTTAATCCTTAGCTCGCACAAGTTTCGACTTTTGAGGGTTGTCGTTCGTAAGGGTGCGACAGCTGGTTAACGGAAAAACAGATTTTAAACAGATTTTAAACAGATTTAAACAGATACAACCCTGTGAACAGCTTAGAATGGGTTTGTTGAGATCCTCCTCCGGAAAGTAGGAAAAGTTATAGCTCGTAAGGGGTCTTTCACCTTCTCAGTGTCTAATAATAACATATTTTCCATAACCATTTCGATCATTTTTGTTATTGGCTGTAGTAGGAGGGCACACCTGACAGCTGAATATCGACTGTAGTTACGATTTATCTATTTCTAACGAGTATTAACTTGCATAGGTACAATATTATGAACGATCTGCTCTATCCCGTATATTTTGGAGAATATCATGTATCGGTAGTCTACAGCACTCGATAATTTCTTTCCGTAAGTTAACTATAGCACTTGGCTGAATCTTGTAGACTTTTGATTTCAAACAACCTCGTAGAAACAAATACATTATAGTCAAATCGGGGAATTTATGTTGCCATTCTGTAGAACCTCGTTTTCCGATCAATCAACCCGAAAAGTTTTTATTGAGGATCCTCATCTTGTTGAAAAACCACCCCCTTTCGCAATAGGGAATCCAAATGGACGTTGTTACAGTTTGAAATATTTTGATTATTCAGCAAATCGAAATATTCTTCGCCATTTGGGTTTACTTGAAAAAAAGACCCTATGATATGGTTACCTAAAAGTTTTGCCCAATCATTTTTTTTTTGGGGATATTGGGTCTGAATTTGGCGTGCCATATTGGGGATGGGATTTCCATTTTGTAAGGGTATGAATAATTCTGAAAATTTTGTACGACTCACTCCTGATGCTTGGGTCAACTTAGTCACAGACTGCGTAATTTCTATCAAGGCAACGTGGCCTGAATCTGCAACATTAATGCCCTCGTTATTGACAATCCTGAACGGTCTTGCCGTCTATTTTATTTGTTTGAAGTTGATTGACAATGTTTCATGATGAATTTCACTAGTTCGGACTTCCATTGTCTACTATATAAAATGATTTGAAATCCCTGAAACAACTAAAAAAGAAGAATTGAAAATGAATAGCTGAAAATAACAATTATAATAACCAAAATAAACCTGAAATGAAATAATAGTGAAAAAAATACAAGTAAAAATAAAACAATTGAATGAATAAAAATAAAGAAATGAAAAAAGAAAATAAAAATAAAAAGTGGAGAGATTCCAAGTCACGTTAGTTCACGACGTTTCGATTGTTAGTATCTACAATCGTCTTCGGGTGATGACTAGACTGATTCCTCCGAGAGATGACTATTTATAGGTCGTTCGAGTACTTTCACTTATCCCCGCTTTCCATTTTCCGCTTCACTGGTTCCGTGGGAGATGACAGTTTTGGCGGGAGTTGGCCATTTTTCGCTTGATGATGGGTTGTTGGACAACATGTATGCGGCTTCCTTGAATTTTCTCCTAAACCAATGTTGCTCTCTGTGCAAGATCTCAGCTTGGGACCACTCGATGTTGTGTTGATGGGTCCAAACATGGTCTGCTATTCCTGATTTGCTGGTTTCCCCTCGCTGTGTGTGTTTCTTGTGCTCGGCAATGCGAACATTCAATGGCCTCTTAGTTTCACCAATATAGGATTTTCCGCACTCACAGGGTATCCGGTAAATGCAATTCTTGGAATCGCAGTCCGCGTTTGGGGGCCTGGTTTTCGTGAGGCTGCTACGGATAGTGTTACCGGATCTGAAGCAGGTTCTGATGTTGTACTTGGAACCAATTCTTCTTATCCTCTCCGATAATCCTCTGATGTAGGGAAGTGCAAGCACTGGTTGTGACGGCTTCTCTTCCTTGTGTAGCTCCTGCTTTCTTTCAGCCAGTCTGTTCCATCATCGCTTTGGAGTAGCCATTCCGTTGAAGATAATTTTTGATGATGTCTAGTTCCTTCTCGAGACCTTCCTTCGTATTACAGAGCCCAAAAGCACGGTCTAATAGAGTCTTGATGATTCCTCTTTTGGTCGATTGATGGTGGTTGGATTCGTGGTTCAGATACTGTCCCGTATGAGTGGGTTTTCGGTATACAGATGTTTCCCACTTAGTGTCGGTCCTCTTCACCAAAACGTCTAAGAATGGCAATTCGTTGTAGATTTCCTTCTTCATTGTGAAATTGATGGAAGGTCTCACGCTGTTGATGTGTTTCAGGAAGGCGTCTAGTTCAGTATTCCCATGGTTCCATATTATGAAGGTGTCGTCAACATATCTCAACCAGACTCGAGGTCTCTTGTGGGCTTCTTCAATGGCCAGAGTTTCAAACCACCCCATATATATGTTGGCTATGGCTATTTTTATTTATTCAATTGTTCTATTTTTACTTGTATTTTATTTCACTATTATTTCATTTCAGGTTTATTTTGGTTAATATAATTGTTATTTTCAGCTATTCATTTTCAATTCTTCTTTTTTAGGTGTTTCAGGGATTTCAAATCATTTTATATAGTAGACAATGGAAGTCCGAACTAGTGAAATTAGTCTATTTTATTATTGATCCACGAATTTATATAACAATTCCAATACAATACAAGGGCCCCTGCTCACCATTTGGAATCGCGAGCCCTTGCAGATTTTCTATGTCCGTAGTAATAAATAACTATTTAAATCAGCTCTTGAAGAATATGAACCAATTTTTATTAAACAGAAGATAATAAACGAAATAATAACAGGAGTTCAAATAGAGCAAAAATAAAAAATAATAAAACTGAGCTGAGCAGTCATTATTTCAGAGTAATTTTGATATAAACATCAACAACTTCGGCAGTACCAAGTGATGAAATTCAGGACCATATTGTGTACTTGAACAATAACTTTCCACCTTGATTTTTTATTTCGGTTATTTTCATTGGTATTATTCAATAGTTTTCAGTTTGAACACTTCAAATAGTGGTTGACCTTCTAGCTTGGAATTGAATAAAATAACATCGTGGAGTCAAAAATGTTACAGGATTGGATACTGAATCGAAAGATCTTTCAAATGAAGTGGCACTAAACCGTTGTTAGTTTGTGCTTCGAATTAGACTAAAAATAACATAAACACTTGTCACTAACGCAAAAAGCCATTTGAAAGGGTGTTTTTGCATTATTGCGACCGTATTCCAAATTTAAACAATCCATGACAAATATATTTTTTGACCATTTTTGTTAAACAACTCATTTAGAAAAATCGATACCTATGTTAAGTTCACATTTACCTCTTCGTCATACTGATTTGTTTCTATGTTAATTTCTATTATTTGGAATCTAATTTGAAAGCGGTTTTAATCGTTTTCGAACAAAATTGTAAAAACCTACAAACTATCATCTTCTGATGATGTTAACTTGGTTAACGGAACGCGCGTCATGGCACAGTGTTTTTGTTCTGGCGTGGAAACAGTGTTTTTTTCAATATTCCAAAAACGGGCTAGTCTGAGCTTTGTGAAGCATCAACATTTTTAGCCGAGGTTTATAAAAGAGCATTTGGGATTGTACAAAAATATCTGTCGAGGTTGAACTTATAAGTTTAATGCATAATTCGATATAAATAGGAACATAATTGATGTGAAACATCAACGAAACTAAAAGTAAATATGCAAAGACCAACAAATATCCATTCATCCATTCAGGAACGTGACTTTTTCTTCTTTTTCTTTCTCTTCTTCTCGTCTTCCCGGCTCTTCTTTAGCTTGCTCTCCAGCTCCATATAGTACAATTTCTCCGTTGACATCGCCTGAGCCTCCACCTCCTCGGGATCGACCGTATCCCATTTAGACGGCACGAAGTACTCCATTATATTCTTCTCTTGCGTCTTCTGGTCCCTATTCCAGTTGGGATCGTCCAGGGTTACCACTTCCGGTCCCATCTCGCCCACCAGAGACCTCTTGAGCAAATTAGCCCCGTCTAGAGGCTCGTCGATGCTTGAATTGTCGTCGTCAAAGATGTCGCTCCTGCTGGTCGGAAACGAAGTTTCGATCTTTTTCAGGGTATCCTCGGAAACGAGCTTATACGTATCCCAGTGGCGGAGCACGCGCATAATTCGTGTTTTGAAGTTGTTCCTGTCCGCGGAGTACTTGATGCTTTCGTGAGTTTCACGCAAAGCCTTGAATAAGTTGAGTAGTTCCTCGTCGCTGTTTTCGTCGACCTTGAGCTTCATTCTCTTCGACTTGCAGTTGTGCATGATATCGGAAAGCAGGTACAGCCTTGCAATCTTCTTCAAGGGGTTTGTTTTAAGGTCAGTAAGCGACTCGAAGATTACTTCGAGAGCGTCGTCAATCGCGCTCTTGTGGTTCATGCAGAAGAGCATGGCTTCGGCGATTTTGGACCGCTGCATCGATAAGTTTCGAATCAGGTCTATGAGGCGGCCGCACTGGGTCTCTGAAAGTCTTGTCTCTGCCTGGAAATCTTCCTTTCGGATCAGTTCCTCCGGCATGCCATCCGCGAAGTTTATAGCCGTCGGAGGGATCCACACGGAGCCGCCTTCGAACATACGGAACTTCTTCATCGACCAGCTCTTCTGGCAGTCTCCGTTCAAGATCGAGAACACTTTCCAGCGGTAGTAGACGTGGACGGGCGACTGGCAGTCGAAGAGGAAGTTGTAGTCCGGGTTCCTCAGCTCCTTATTCATGATGAAAGCTTCGAACATGGGTCCTTCTCTGACGACGAACTCTACCATACGGTGTACGAGCGAGAGTACCTTCTTGTTGAGCGGTATAGTGACTTTGATCGAGCAGAAGGGAAGAAAGGCCTCGTATTCTTCTTCGTTTCGAGGGTGTTTGAAGTCGGTGGGTGGCTGGGCATTGAAAGGTAGGCCAGTGTGGGGAGGCGGTAGGAAGTGTTTGAGGAGCTCGTTGGGGATGTAGATTGGGTGAGCGGGAATTTCAACTGACTTGCCCCAGCCTACTCTCATGTCTTCGCGGTTTTTGTTAGCCTGTTGAGGATAAGTTAGAGATGAATTATATGTCGGAAATGTTAGGTTGCATTATCAGTAAACAAAACAGTTTCTAGAAAATGTGAAAAAACAAAAATGAACATTTTCTCAACTCAGCGAGTGTTGACGACAATAATATATATATCGGTTGATCTAGACATCGTTAAAAAGTGGTGTGATGCTAACAGACTGGCATTCAATACCACAAAAACCTGCATACTAACCTTTAAATGTATATTAAATGAAATTTTTCTAGGGAATACTTTAATTATCTCCGTCTCATCAAGTAAATTCTTGGTTCTCTCTCTCTCTCTCTCTCTCTCTCTCTCTCTCTAATATCTGTAATTATGAAATAAATCTTTTTGAAGAGATTTTTCGACAAAATCTAAACATATTTGAAGGATAGTTGTTTTGAATTGTCTGTTCCTATTCTAATTTATCTGGGATGATTACGCGGATAACCTTAAAATCTTTAAAGAGTCATTCCTTCATTTTGATCAGTGGCACAAGGGGTTGTCCAAAGTAATAATTGAGAGTTGATAGGTTACTTGTATTTCTCGATATCTTCGCTTGAAAACATGAAATATATATCCAATGTGGGGTCCAATGACTTCATTGGACCCCACAGGACATATTTTGGTATATCCTTTCCGAAGCCCTGGTCTATCAGATATATTCCTCACTTTCTTAAGGGGCTGTGGAGAAACAATCATTCCTCAGAGCCGTAGGGGACTGTGTGGTATGGTCAGTTTGTTAGAAATTCAAGTTTCTAAATGCATAAAATGGATGAAATATATATATTTCCAAACAATTATACAGGGTCCTGCAACAGTGGCGCGGTGTTCCATATCTCAATTTAGGAAACAGATAGAAATCTAAATTTCTATAATATCACCTCATTGCACGAGCTAGGGAATATTGGCGGTCACACAGGGTGTTCAATTTTTTCTGGGCGGATCCCAACCGTGTTTTTTTAAATAGCAACCTATACTTTTATTGCTTTTTTGGTTTCTACATAGAAAATAAAAGACACTTTATGTTTAAATTCACGTTTTTAGAGATATCTAGCATGACAGGTTTTTTTTCCAATATTCCTTACTCTGAATATTTGAAGTTATAAAGTTGTGCCAAGTCCAATTGTATTTTTTTTGGTCAAATATTCTACAGTGGTAACTCTCTCAAACGATATACCTGAAGTCGACCTGTGATATACAGGGTATGAAAAACCGCTTGCCACATATTGTAAATGAAAATTTGCAGTCTTCCTTATTTTAAATGGAACACCCTGTATATTATTGATCCATAAGTAGCGTCAACGAAACCTCTACAAATTTCATTGAGTATTCCCTATGGCTAGGTTCAATAGTTTTTCTTAAAAAAGCATTTTTTTCGAAATATGGCCGTTCTTCCTATTTCTATGCCATAAACTCGATGAACGACTTTTTTCAAAGCGTAATCCATTTGACGACAGACAAGAATGTACGAAAGATATCTTGTTTCAATTTTGAATATCATAGCGTGTCCAAACAAATATTTTTTTACGAAATAAATGTTTGTACCTCATTTTTCTAAATGGAAAATTATTTTTTTCGTTGGATGCAGAATTTTTCCCATAAATCGTGCGATATCAAATCAAACAAGATTAAATGAAAAAAAATTGTGAATATTACTATTTTTTTTTTCATGTTATGGTGTATATTCATGAATTATTCAGGGCTTAAGTTCTAGATATTTAAATTTGACTCCTACTAGGATCTTCTTCAACAGCAAGAAGATCTTGCAATTAATTATCATCATTAGTAGCTGGCTTGATGCGCTCATGTTTAGAATAATTGATACATCCAGTTTCAACAAATCGTTTAATTTTATTTTATTCGCTGAAGGTTGTTTTAGACCGAAAAAATAAGGCACAAACTTCGAAATTATTGTTTGGCACAACTTTATAATTTCAAATATTCTGAGTGACGAATATAGGAAAAAAAAAACTTGTCATGCTAGATATCTCGAAAACCGTCAACATTTTCGAAGTGAAGATATACATGAAGTGTCTTTCATTTTCTATGTAGAAACCGAAAAAATGATAAGAAATATAGGTTGCCATTTGAAAAAACACAGTTGGGATCCGGCCTGAAAAAATTGAACACCCTGTGTGACCGCCAATATTTTTATTTTGTCGAGCTCGAGTGATAAGGTAATATTATAGAAATTTAGATTTCTGTCTGTTTCCTAAATAGAGATATGGAACACCGCGCCACTGTTGCAGGACCCTGTATATTATGAAATAATGTAAGTTCATAATGAAGCGCACTCACTAAACTTTTTGTTTAGACCATGTTGACAAAACAATAAGTTCAACAACTATTTTCGTATGACTTTCTTTCAATTTGACAAATTTTCGGCTGATGTAGAAAGGCTGATGACTTCTAAGGAAGACATGCCGAGTCATTCTTCCTGTTATTTTATTCAGACCCCCTAAAACGGTATTTATTCAGTATATATTCTTTACCGTGGGGAAAACACAAAATAAATTTTGAGTAGTGGTATTTCATTACAGAAAGAAAATGACAGCTGACTGGCAGATATTGAACTATCAGCTAGCAAATGAAACGTATGAGTTTAAAATTTTGCAACTTGCAACAAAAAAACGATGAGCATGCTAGAGCCTTAAAGAGCAGCTTTAACCACTGTAAGCTGGCGGACGCAAACAGTGTTGCAGAATTAGCATTTTGCATTATTTATCAACATTGGGTTATCAACATTATATAACGAAATCGGGTTGGCCCCTCAATTGCATCGAGAGCTTTTGACCTTCCTCTCCGATCGCGACAGGGAACGGTTGTGCTGATAACGACCGGCCACAAAGATGCCACGTGGATGTCGTGATCGGAGTGAAGTCTGAAAGGTATAAGCTTAAATTAAAGTGTAATCTAAAATAAAGTTATGTTTGAATAAATATTGAAATGAAATATGAGAGTACCGGCAGACCCCTACGCCAGTAACCAGACTGGATGTTGACGGAACAAAACATGAAATGTTTTTGTTAAAAAGAAGTGAATGAAAAAACTTAGGGTGGCAGCATTGCCTCGAGCAATACACCTGCGCCCCCGGACGAAGCCTCTGTTCACTATGAACAGGAGGAGCCTGGCCAAATGCGCTCGAATAAGAAGCAACGGCCATAGAAATAAGAGAGAGAGCTTTTGACAAAACAAAAACGAATCGAAAACATCTTGACTTGGATTATTACCGCAATCGTCCTGTTTTGTTTACGATAATGCACAAACTACACATTATGTCTACCTTCAACGCCCTTTCGGCATCCTTCCTGCTCATAAATGCGACGAATCCGCAGTTGGAATTCCTGACTTTCTCATCGCCTCTCGGCCACATTATCTTGACGCTTGCCAAAGGACCGAATGCGCCGAATTCCACCATCAAATGATTCTCGGTGACATTAGAACGCAGGTTCGCAACAAAAAGGTTCGTAGAATTTGGATCGCCACCTGTTTGGAACAAAAAAACTGTAGTGCATGGAGGTGGAGTCATGATAAAAATTACCTTATGAATATCGACCTCTGGTAATGCAATTTTTTGAGGGGCAACAAAGTTTCTGAGGTTGTTTTTTGGGGTAAATATTCGTTTTAATGACTTGCCTGTTTTTGAAAAAATTTTCATAACAACCATATATTTTTGTTCGCTGATCACGTATCTTGGGTCGAAACTTGGCGCTCCGGTCTACTTTTGGAAATACAGCCTCTCACAAGTCGAAACATTGATTGCATTTAAAACTTTAATATGACTTCATAAAATGACACCTTTTCTCCACCATCGCTTGCTGTTGACTTTTATTTACTTGCCATTATAATTTTTCTATACAAAACGTTCGATTTCCTAAAAGATGTATCTGATCCACTTAACTCTACATTCATTACCGGTATATTTAAATTCGCCAACTTCATACCACATAATGTACCTACTGCAATTAAAAATGAACGCGAACCACAAAGTAAGTATTTACTGTCAGTAAAGTTTACTACTCCTAAGAAACAGTTTAGTAACTATGAGTTAACAGAAATTAGATCTCCGAAAATAGACCGGAGTGACAAATAATAATTTCAAATTCATTATAAGCGGTCGGAAATACGTAGATCCGACAAGCCGTTAAAACGAATAACCACCATACTATTTTTTGAGGGACAACAAATTTCCTAAGTACAGCTCTGGTGCCAATTTGACTCACCTTCAAAATAACTCAACGCTGGGGATGGTAAGTCGAACTCCTCCTTCAGCCTCCCTTTTTCGGCACAATCGCTGTGTCTCAATTTCAATTCCTCTTTTAAAAGTTCCAAATTCGACTTGGGTTTCTCCTGCTTCTTCGTCTTTTCGGGTACGTTGCCTTTGAGAATTTTTGCGCATTCAATAGCGCTGGTGCTTATGTCAACCTTTTCTTGCTTGATCACCGGTTTGGGCTGGTAAATTTGCCCTACGTTCTCGTCATTTTTTTCGGAATATAACACGCCCGAACGCACGAAAGTTTTATTTCCGATAGTAGACGTGGGATTCTGGAAGGTTTCGATGAAATCTTGGAAAACGTGTGCGGCGGCTTCTTGTTCTTCTTGTCTTTTTCGTTTGTATTCGCGTTCTCGTTTCGACATTGCGGGAAGAAGGGTTGGCACAGGTTGCGAATTGTTGTGGAAGGCGCGAATGTAGCTCGTTATGTTCAAAACATGTTGGGGTTGCGAGAAACGTCAGTGCGCAGAAAGGGTACAGTGTTGCCAACCGTGCTTTTTCAGATATAACGCCTACTACATTCGATTAGCTCATCTGGAGGAAATGTCACTATAATATAGTTCATTTTTTCATTTCCAGTGTTTTGTTGTTATATAATTTTGACTGAATAATCCTCAGAAATCCCTAGAAATCTATATGAAGAGCTTTCGATTAAATTTGATTTCACTATCAAACGTCTAGCCGCCATTGAACACTGAACAAACACATCATGTTCTGAAGAACAAAATCTACGTCACCACACTGAAACAATATGGACATGAAACTAACATATTTTTCTTCAGTTTTATTCATCTTTGTTGGACCATTGAATTTAAATGCAATTTAAATATTTTTTTTGAATAGAACATGTGGAAACTGCAAAACAAAACTGCAGCATCTGAATAATGAAAGTACAAAACAGAATTATTAAGTTTGTGAACAACAGAGAATAGAAATAACTTTCAAGGTATCGACCTCTTCTCCTATAAAAAAAATAAAAGATGGCTCTGGAGTGTATAGAGATAAAGGAATAAAGTCAAGAAGACTCACTGTATACCAAAATGAAGTTTCCATGATATAAACTTGGACTTGTTCCGCTGTTTTTGGCTACAAAATGTATTTACTAAGAATTTGAATGTAAACTGTTTTCGATGGATTTCATTAGATCGAACTTCCATTGTCTAAATATGATATATATGATACTAAGCACAGATTCCTCTTTACCAGTGGACACTTTGGGCAAGTGCCCAAGGCCCCGCGGTCGATAGGGGCCCCCCTCAGATCAAATACAAAATCCCTAGTTCCTGTCAGATCACCAAACGATAACCAATATTTATTACCAAAAACTTATATAATTCGAAGAAATCGAACCTAAATTACTGACTACAATACCAACTTACTAGCTTTTACATATGCGAAGTTATTCTATTCTCGCCCAAAAATTAGGCTTTCCGACTTCAGCATGCTTAGATAAATTCAAATATATAATGGTATACTAAGCACATACACATTTTAAGGAAAAATCATCAGTAGTATACTCATCATTGTGACACGCTCCATTTAAATTGAGCGAACAAAGCGAACTATGAAGCAAGCTCCAAGTTTGAATTAGTAGGTGTACATGCTGCTGGGTGTGTATCGGAAGCAACAAAGTTTTTTTTTTCGGGCTCTACTTGTCGATGATATATTGACAGAACATTTAGGTTCAAAAAAAGTTGTTAAAAGTCTCTCACAAACCAGATGGTCAGCCCGAGCAGATGCAGTAAGCGCCTTGTATGAAGGTAATGAACAAGTTATAGAAGCTTCGATATCCATCGCAAAAGATACAGAACAGGCACGAGAAACTAAAGACGAAGCCCTTAGTCCGCCCAGAAAAATGGAAAATCTCGAATATATTAATACTAACAGAAATTGAAATTGTATATTGGAAAGAATAGACAAAATAAGTAATTATCTTCAGAAAGAAACAATAACATTGGACGTTGCAACTAATGTGTTTACTTCACCTCAAGGATAAATTTGATTACTTCGAATCGTCTGCCAAAGAAAGAAACCCAGAATCTGACTACAAGGACCTATCTGAAAGAACAAAACGTAGAAGTTCTCGCCAGAGTTTTTTTGATGGCTCTGCACCGTCAGTCCAACTGAATGGAAGAAATTAAAAATAGAAACCTTTCTTCCCATAATTGATACCCTCAGCTTTCCATTTAAAACAGCGATTAAGTTCGTATAAGAATATCAGTAAATGTTTTGATTTATTTTTTCGCTTGAAAACTCTGAATTCTGAAGAGTTGAGACAAAGTTGCAAATAATTTGCTGAATTGTATTATGAAGATGTTAAAGAGAAAGGGTTAGAAATAGAATGTTTGCATTTAACAGAATACTTGAAAATTGTTGACAGTGAAAATGAGGATTGTATATTAAAATATATCAACTTTTGAAAGAAAAGAAAATTGATGACACATTTGCAAATGTAGAAATCGCATTGAGAATCTTTATAAGCATGATGGTAACTAACTGCAGTGGGTAACGATTCTTCTCAAAATTAAAAAGAATTAAAAATGAATTAAGAAGTACAATGCTTCAAGAGAGATTAACCAGTTTGTCGCTGATGTAATCTTTTTTAATTTTTTTTACAAATTCTTTCAGGTATTTCAAATCAATTTATATCATGTTAGACAATGGAAGTCTAAACTAATGAAATGCAACACGAGACATTGTCAACTACCTTCAAACAAATGTTTTCGAAGGGACACCCCACTTTAATATTATTTACTGAAAGTGAATTATGATGAAATGAATGTATTACTTTTCAGAAACATAACTTTGAAGATAAAGCTGTGTTATTTTTTGTAGAAGATTAGGATATGTCACAACATTCGCTGAATTACGACATTTGCAATGGTATATATATTAGATTGAAATCAAAATATAAATATTTATAAATGTTGTAAGTACGTAATAATATTTTTTAGAAATAACAAATGTGACATCACCCAGTGGACAATCGCATTATCAACTCCAACAAAAACTTTTTCAAGAGAGATTCTTCATTGTAGAAGTTATCCTGTCTATTAAAAAATAAAATATACGAAGAGTCACTTTTTAACTGTTTCGCAATTATAAAGGCTATATCTTAAATAAATGGTGTCATTAATTTCAGGTGTTGATTACTTGTCATACTTTATGAAAAAAGCACCAAAGGAAAAACCTTAAGGTACGCTAAGAGCGGTGCCTGTGCGAGAATAACGATTCAAGTTGCATTTGAATCGCTGGAGATGGAATTTATTTGGAAAAACGTTATCAAGAAGTTTATTCCACATACAGCGAAGAAAAAAATTCAATTTAAAAACCCCGTATCTCCGAAACGAAGCATTTTCGGACACAAGTTTACATAGACTTTTTTTCTTAAAATTGTCTCAGGAATACGTCACTCGAATATTTTAACGTACTTATTTTACACCCTGTGTGTAGAACAATGGTAAAGGTTTCGATTTGCACCACTTGAAGTTAACCATTTTCAACCCACAGAAATTACACAAACACAGGGTGTTTGGGGGCAGAGCTCCATACATAAGAACAATACTCCAAAGAAGATCTGATCTGAGCTTTATAAAGCATCAAAAGTTGCTGAGGTGTGTATAGTTTTCTGGTTCAGAACAGTGTTCCAAGCTTTCGAGAAGCAGCCTTTGCAATTCCAGCGACATGATTGTGCCAAGACATATTTGTGTCTATTTTAACCCCCCAACAAACTTATCGTAGCAGAAAGCGGAATTGTCTGTCCTGGTTCAGATATCTTTATCTTCTTGGAGACAACCGATGCCTGGGTTTTCGTGGCATTGAATTGAACCTGGTTACTTTAACCCCAATTCAAAATCACCACTAGATCCTCATTAAGCCTGGAATCCAAATGGAATGACGAGACAAGTGTGCTGTCGTCAGCAAAGCAATATATTGTGTTTTTTTAATAAGTCTTTGATATACAATAAAAAGAGGGTTGAAGACAATATGGATCTCTGGAGAACACCAGCGTTGTTGGTTGAAGATATCCATCGACGGCCACTTGCAAGGAAAGTTCTTTCAGGAAGCTGGAGAGCCATACATAAAAATTATCCGACAGTAGTTGAACACTACTTTTCAATGCCTTTATAACCAGATAATAACTTGACTTTGAGAACATAGGATCCCTGACAAAGTTGTCGTTTCTCTTTGCAAGTTGCCTTGCTTACTTTATGAAGGTAAAAATTTGTGATTTTTTGTCTCTAAAAATTGAATTAATCTATTTTATGGCTTGGTTATATAGTTTTCAGTCAATGAATAAAACAAATGAAATTCACATCATCTAAAGGAAAATTTTATTTCTTGTTACTAAATGTGTCTTTTACGGATGAAACTTGTACTTTTTGAATCAATATTTTGTGTACTAAGTGTACCTACTATCATTAGCCATTCATTCCAATATGCTACCTCTATGGATTTATTAGGAATTGGATTTCCACTTCAACTTTTTTTTATTTGGAATCGATCCAATATCGCGAAATTTTGCTGCAAATTCGAAAACAATTTTTTTAGAAATGACTCTGTCAGGATGCTGTTGATTAAATATCCCATAACTGATAAATTTGAAAGGGTATAAATCACTTCACCACAATTCATAAGACAGCAAAAACCCAATACTCGGGAAACGTCAAAAACTGCAAATTGTTCCGAAGTAACTCATTTGAATAAATACTATAGGGTTTTATTTTGAATAGATTCAATTTTTGCAATGTTTGTGAAAAGTTCTTTTCCTGGCAGTGCTGCTTTGGGGAACGACATCAATGACCACTCTGTACAACCTCACATATACACTTTCTTCATTTACCGCGCTCTGAATAAATCCAACAACTTACTGTATGCATCAACAACGTTGTCATCAGTTCCACTAATGTTTATTTCTCGAATGGAAGTCTCCGGTTCACGTTTTTCTAAACTTTCGTAGGCATCACTTGTTACGTCCGCTGAATCCAAGGAGGCCCTGCAAGCGGCGCCGAGAGCATGCATATCGCGATATGGTTAACCAGAAGACACTGTCCACACTGAAAACCGCAAAAAACTCGAATGGTATCATCTGCGCGATGAACGACCTTCTAGGGGTATGGGATTGTCAAGGCTGACTTTGTTTCCGTTTAGGAAACGTAGGTAGTTGACTTAGTTATCTAGAGCTAGAGTGTTATTTTGAAGAACAAAATAATAGCGATGGTTTGTTTCGCGATTTTACATTGCATCAAATATTTTTTTACTGGAGCCGTCTGACATGCCAAACACTGCAACCTCATGGAGGTTGATGAAAACAAAAAATAAATGACTAAATACTGCTCCATATCACTCCTATCCTATCCTTCAAAAGTCCTGGAAAAATAATTTATGTCCTACATATCCAACCAAAAAAGACTAAGCTCCTATAATCAATTGGGAAAAATCAACAAAAGATGCTATCCTGTCACTAACCGGCGAATTTGGGAGATATCGATGTAAGTGTCCCTCCCTATGCATTTTTTAGATTTAAAATAGGCATTTGATACTGTAATGTCAAGATAAAATTACCTATTTTTCTTAGTGTATGAATCTCTCCGCTACATGTGCCTGGAATGTTTCTTGTGAAAATAAATATAGTTCAAAAAACTAAAAAAACACACATTTAAAGAATATCGAACTAAAAAGTTGAAAATATTTTTTTTAAATATAAGCTTGAAACAATAACGAACGAAAAATACTACTATTATTGTAAAAAAAATGGTACAAAGCGCCCTAATTTTGGGATCAATCAGCCGTATATTATTTAGAAAAATGACCATTGATCTGCTTCGTCCTTGAACAGGGCTCTGTGATTCGGAATTTCATTTAGGTAATATAGTTTTCAATGAACCTGGAATGTGTTTAATTGACCCTTATCAGATTCGAGTTATTACATATACTTTTCTCACTTATTAAAAGCTATTTCGGTAATTGAAAGTAGTGTGATAAAAATAAGGGGCTATACAGGGTGTAACTGAATATGTGTGAAACTTTTAAGGTGATTCCTCGTCGAAAAAAAGATAGGATCCTTCATATAAAGAAACTTCATTGGAGCATGCCTTGTTAAGAAACAGCACCTTAAAGGGTGTACATAAAATTTGTAAGTATAACAATTTTTTTCACAAGCACTGAAAAAGTTACAATATCGAAATTAACCTGACGTTTTGTACTACCAAAAAGACACTTAGCCAGTAATTCATTTGGTGTACCCCATGGTTGTAAGGGGTGGAAAACGCAACCCCTAAAATTTATTTCCAATGTAACTTTTTGTCTAATTATTTGTTTACCATTTAAAAATTAATTTCCGATAGCCCGTTTCATTCTAAACACAAAATGTCTTCTGGGTTTTTTGCCCAAAATAAACCAATTCGCAGCAAAAAATTATTTTACATACATATGTAGGGCCAAATCAGAAGACCACTGCAAACCACTTTTCATCAGTCAGAAAATTCTTACTGTACCTTATGTATTCCTGTTAGAAACTGTTTGCTTAATTCACAAAAAAATACTCCTACTCAGCCGTAAATAATGACAGACGTTACCACACGAGAACAAGTCGGAATTTACCCTTGCCAAAACCAAAATCAGCAATTACGATTTTTTTTTTGATATATGAGAGCAAGAAAATATATAACCAACTTCCAATGTGCTATAGGGAAATGGCAAATTTAAAAACATTCAGAAAATTGGTTAAAGGAGTACTTCTGCAAAAAGCCTACTATGACGATGATGTATTTCAACTCTTAGTATTTCAGATGCTTACATATCTAACGTATTCTGAAAACACTTTATTGTGTGATTTTCACTAGATAGTTTTACAAAAACGCAACACATGTTTCGCCATACAATGGCTTCCTCGGGCGTGTCTTAATAACTAATTCTACACATTAAATGCTATCTCAAAATTATTTCCAGTTTGACGAAAAATTCTATTCATGCAATGAAGGACTAATAATGAGAAACCCTTATGAGTCCCTTGCTGGCGGAAATTTTCATGGATAACATAGAGTATGAAATCCATAATAATCAGTTAGCTAACAGTTTTTTGTACTGGTACAGATACGTAGATGATATCTTAGTATTTGCAAACCACCTATTAGCAGAAGGACATGAGTTCAATTAGGAATACGATGTGTTACATTTAGAAGAGAAGAGTTTGAAACTCAATCTTCTAGAATGTTTAGAAATCAATAGATTCAGGAACTCAGGAACGTTAGTTATGGATTTTCATCAAGTATCGGCCGATTCCATCATATAGCTTACATATCTGTAATGATTTTTTTATTTATTGTCTATCTGTAATGGTATATATAATATTCTATTTGTGTGTATTCGTATATGTACATTTTTTAAACTTATAATGATTGTTCACTGTATATCATGATTTTAATATTTTAAAAAAAAAACTTTAGCATTGTTGACTTCATGGAGTTTCACTAGCTTTGTCAATAAACATTTCTTGGACAATAAAGCATGATTGATTGATTGATTGACTTGTGTCTGACTCTCAATACAGTTCAAGTAATCAATATTGGCAATTTTTAAAATACATTATGCCACTGGCTATTTTCGTAAGGTGTTGTATTGTGCTAAGTGAATACAAACTGTTGCTGTTATCTTTTTATGACCTATTTTGTTACATATACATATTATATTCCCCCAAAATTGTTTTTACTTTTTAATTCCAATTAAAATTTTCTTCTCTTTCTATGAGAAACACTTTTTTTAATGTATCACATATCTGCACAGCTTACCTGATTAAATCAAGCACACCTTATATACTTTCAAATTTTGCTGGAAAAGTGGATCACGTCATGATTTGTTCTGATCTAATAGTGCTTTTATTGGGTACTTTATTACCTGAAGAATGTGCGTCTTAATCAGTGTTTAGTAAGCATGAATTAAAGTGGCTACCTCAAATTTCTCACCAGTAAAACGAATGAGCAAATGTGTTTTTTCTGTTTACAGGAATATCCGACGTCGCTATGAATTCGAAAACGAGAGAAAAGGTTCAGATAAGTATGAATTGTAGAAACAATTAGCAATTTGTTGACTATAGTCTGTTATACATCATTGGGATCTGTTGACAAGACAAGTTCATTTATACATGGTATTAATATAATATTTGGTTTAATAAACTTGTTTTTATACTGTTTGAAAGGTAACTTTATTCAACTTGACAAATTCTCAGAATTTTATTTGGGCAGTTCCAAGAAACTTTAGATAACAATTACTCGAGTCCAAAGTGTCTATTTATTCTTGTAATCACGATGCCAATGTTCATAATTGATACAAAAACAATCAATTTTGATTTCTCCGATTACTGGGTTTTGTCCTACTGTTCCACTGCAATCAAATGTTTGTTTCGCTATTTATCAACCATGAATATTTTTCTTGTTTTCATTACTTTTCAACTTTCTGAATTGTTCTTGGCGAAATGGAAAATGTTTTTGTATGCATGACTACGTAGTATTCTTTATAGATTGTTTTTTTCCTGGATAGTCTGGAATGGGTCACAATTTGAATATTTTCTTAAGCCTTTATTACAGCTGTATTTCAAGTCTTATGCGTGTCCAGTCAAAATTATCTATCATTATTCATTGTATTATTATTTCATGATTCAATAATTATTATTTTATAATTCAATGACCAGAGTGGTATTAGCCGGGAAAGTAGTCGTTTTCCGGCAGGCATTTATCAGAACCTACTGCATAGGTAAGCCAGGAAAGATTAATGTTTCGAGATTTCTATTTCGAAAAACTTATTTTCTGATATGTATGTATCTCTCCCCGATAGTCTTCAGAATTATTATTCATTTGATGAAAGGGTGTACACTTTCCTGGCCGGAGATATCTTCAACTTTGAAGGAATTGGTTGTGCATAAAGTGAAAATATCAACAAGTGATAAACTGAAGAACAGAGAATTGAAACTTTTGGACACTCAGAAACCACCGCAACGTAAAGGCTGATGAAGGTGCTCGACACTGATCTTCATCTCCATATATTGGCCATGAACCAAATGAGGGGCTACCAAGTCTTTGGTACACAACCAGATTAGGTAAGTACTGAAATAATATCACTCAGAAACCACCGGCTGATGGAGTTGCTTGACTCTGATCGTCATCTCCATATATTGGCCATGAACCAACTGAGGGGCTACCAAGTCTTTGGTACAGGACCAGATTAGGTAAGTACTGGAAAAATATCACTCAGAAACCACCGGCAACGAAAAGGCTGATGAAGTTGCTTGAAACTGATCGTCATCTCCATATATTGGCCATGAACCAACTGAGGGGCTACCAAGTCTTTGGTACAGGACCAGATTAGGTAAGTACTGGAAAAATATCACTCAGAAACCACCGGCAACGAAAAGGCTGATGAAGTTGCTTGAAACTGATCGTCATCTCCATATATTGGCCATGAACCAACTGAGGGGCTACTAAGTCTCTGGTACAGATTAGGTAAGTACTGGAAAAATATCACTCAGAAACCACCGGCAACGAAAAGGCTGATGAAGTTGCTTGACACTGATCGTCATCTCCATATATTGACCATGAACCAACTGAGGGGCTACCAAGTCTTTGGTACAGGACCAGATTAGGTAAGTACTGGAAAAATATCACTCAGAAACCACCGGCAACGAACCAACTGAGGGGCTACCAAGTCTTTGGTACAGGACCAGATTAGGTAAGTACTGGAAAAATATCACTCAGAAACCACCGGCAACGAAAAGGCTGAGGGGCTACCAAGTCTTTGGTGCAGGACCAGATTAGGTAAGTACTGGGAAAATATATCATGTAACATACACGATAATTTTTTTAAAGGACTATCAGTACTCACAATCAATAATTACAGGACCTCACAGGGCTACTCATTGTCCTTTGAGGGGACATCTGAATGAAGTAGGACTGTATAAGGAAGACTTCAGCTGATCATGTTTTATGTTAACGGATCACAAGAGACAAGCAATTCATGAACTCAAATTATGTCCAAAGGAATATAACAAGCATCCAACATAGGATCTGTATAAACTAGAACAGGGAATGAGATTGTTGGAATGATGTCCCGAGGTTATGGTGCTTTCCGGAAACTTGAAAAAAAAGGTCTTCCTACGTCTCCATATCTATGCAAAAGAATGTGGAAATATTCCAAAAAGAAGAAAGCAATTAATTTCAAAATAAATTCTTCACTAAGATGGGATTGCCAAAAACGACTCTCCTCGATAGGAATACTTAACAGATTGTCTCTGGTCTGGATTCCTAACCATACTGGCCTGGAAGGCAATTAAGCTGCTGACTCCCTTGCAAAGGAGAGTACTGCAAGCAGCTTCATCGGACCAGAACCTGTCAATGGCATCGCTTTGGGCTTTGCCAAACAAATATTAAACAGCTGGATAGCAAGAAAATTTATAGACTTCTGGCAGAATCTTCCAGAATTGGCTCACTTCAAGGCGTTTATTCACCCTTCGAAGCTTGATACCAAACAGTTGTTGGATAACAGTAGGGATGAACTACAATGTCTAACAGGCCTTGATTTGATGAATGAATTTAGTACTTCATCTTGTAATGTTATCCAGAATGGTGCTGAAGAGGCAATAAAGGAAGTGTTTTGTTTCAAAACATCGGATGTCCGCCGTTGAGGATGACAGTGTTCCATGTGAGTGAAATTTCACCTCTTTCATATACTAGCAAAAAATAGTTTCATATCGCTTTGTCTACAGTTTGTATTATGCTGGAATTTGACTTTCTATACAGGAAATTTGAAGCATGTGACTAATGAATTTAATTGACAACGTATTCTGTCATAAATGGATTTCAAAATTTGATTTGTACCAATACTTTAATCTACTGCTTATACATTTCAGTCTGTTATTTACACAGCGTGTAACATTTGATGACATGAAACCCGTATCTCCATAATAGAAAAACATTTCAGTGAAACAAATTTATCCAATGATTCAAAATCAGTTTTTGATACGAAATGTTTGTCTACGATTATGTTTTCCTAATGATTTTTCCATACAACTCTAAAAAAGAAGAATTTAAAACAAAACAAAATTTATTCATTTGGGAAAATTGTGTCAATAAATAATAGTGATCTCAACTAAATAACATTTATTGATACTAGTTTGAAATTGTAGTACTAACAAGAACCGGTTAGTAAAATTAAAGAATAATTTAGACTTTGTGAGTGAATGCTTTCAATGGCGTTAATGAGATTTTTAAAATTTATCAGATTTTCTGGATTTGTCTCCACTATGTTGATAATCAGTTTTTAATGACTCTATGGGTTTTTCGGAAAAGTAACTGAGATAATAGATTCTTTGGTAATTATAGTAATTCATCAATGCACTGACCATTTAATGCACTGTCATCTTCATTATCATTCAGACGTCATTAGTCTGTAATTGACTCGCATGCCTACGAATGATTATCAATGACCACTTGAATATTCTTTAAACCGAAGTCTCACATGCCTTATATCATTCAAATTGTTGTTTATATCATCTATTTTTTTTAAATCGAATGCACATATCTTTATAACCAGTTTTATTATAGTCCCTTTTTTTCCTTTGGATATTTCGATGACAAAGTTGAAATGTTCCTAATAAATAATGAAATAAATGGGACTATCACTATGTCTTCTAATGTACAAACTGAATGGAAAAATTGATTTCGATTAGTTCAGTATTCATATAAAAGTAGTTGTTTGGAAATGACTTTTCCTTTCGAGTAATTGAATGTTCATTTGAAAATAGTTGTTTCAGAAGAGTTTCTTCTTCTGGGTATTGAGCATACCCAGAAGAAGAAACTCGACCTAAGGAAAGCGAAGGTCTTCTGCTTTGATAACCTGAGACCTTCAATATTATTGACCCCATGCATATTTTTATGCATCCGCGGATATAAAGTGATCCCTGGGACTGATCCCTGATGTATGCCTTTTGCTGAACTGGTTTCCAACTCGGTGACAGAGTTACGGCCACCTCGTTCAGTATCAAAAACTGAACTAAGTTCACCCGCTGCTAGGTCAGATGCCCTGAAGAGAAATGCGCCAGTTCCTGTTCTTTCATGACCGCGGACCAAATAGAGAAGTGAATCCTGATTCATGGTGATTTTGGATGCCTCTTCCAGTATTATTTTGTTATGTAGACACTCCAAATTCAAATCCAATGCCTGTATGTTATCAGGAAATGTATAAACGTGGAACAGGTGATTTGGGATACATACTCCTCTAGAGATACATATTATGTATAGTCGAGTTGGTTTAACTCTATTACTGCAAAGGAGTAACGTAATATTGGCATGGCAAGCATGTTTGCATTAGCAACTTTGTTCTCCCGGGCAGGTCCAATGACCAAATCTGTCGGACTTTGTGCTGATACTTGCAGAAGTTCTTCACTGCTGTTACCTCTTGTAAGTGGCGTTGTTCCACCCCGAAGTAAGTATACGTCTCTCCGGCATCCAGATGTTGTAGCATGCTTCCATCTGCGACCTGCACATACCGATAGCATGCATCCACCATCCTCGAGAACTGATAAAGGTCCTTTTCTCCAGAGGAGTAAAATTTAAGATAATCTATATGAAACAAACGGGTGACTTTGTGCCTCCGATTTCCGGGGGTGCCACAGTTACACTTTCGAGTATTTCTGAGCGCAACGGATAATGGCAACAGTTAGATGCAGAAAAGGAGACTGAGGAAATCGCTCGGGAATACACCCCTACGCTCGTACTGTATCGAGTTCTGCGTTACACATCTATCGATGGGCGGGATTTCTTTACATCTAGCGGCTTCTCTCTTCGACAATTTCTGCTCGAGTACTCGGTCAACTGTGTTGAGTATAAGTGTGTGTTTTTGGGGATAAGATCGGCCCGCCTCTCAACAAACCAATTCGGAATCGGCTGCTCTCCATCCAGCCGTCAGTTGAAAACTCTGACCAGATGGCGGTAGGTGCTTGATAATTTTTTCCCGCAATAAGTGTTCAGCCCATCTGAGCCTGGAACATCATCTGGAAGTATCGTGTTGCACAGTTCATTGAACTCAGGCTGTCGAAGCTCTCTGCTGAAAGCTTTGAACTACGCTAGCGCTGGAGTGTTTAAGTTTTGTGGCTGTGGGAGTTCATGAATTTTCCTTCCAGACGTATTACATCTGATCAGTGGTCAGCAGAATATCCACACACGGAAGCTCTTGGACTAAGCAAGAAAGTTTCTTGCTTAACCTAAGTTTTTTCGCGATACTTCTCGCTCACCTCACCAATGACTTTTTAGGACTAGCATTCGTGGTTGTCAGCAGCACGCCTTGACTCAAAGTGTGCGTCGTGATTTGGCGGCTATTCGCCGCACTGTAACCTATCACAGATCGCCAATGCTATCTTTGCCTCCATCTTGTGGACCCGAGGATAAATCCTTCGAACCGCAAGGCCGGGATCTCGTCCTTCCTATTCGGAAAGCTATTATTATTATATTTAGTCAAAAATAAACACTTTTGGTATCATTCTATCAATTTTTCCTAATGCTATATTGTCTCATTCTATGAACACCGAGCAACATCTATACTATACTGATTTCCACACTCTGTGCAAAGGCTAAATATAATAATCGACTATTAATTTGAACTGTATGAATTCGGTATCCCTACCAACGCATCAAACAGAACGCCAAGCATATATCTACCAGCAATAAAACCGGTCCAAGTTCATTTCAGTTTAGATTTACTTCCTATGCAATAGTAAAATAAAATCTATGAAATATTCTTCTCGAGTGCTTCATCTCAACTTACATTTAACGGCAGAACCCTTTGGTAAGTTGATATTGTATACCCTAAACTTAAAAAGAAGTTGATTTCTTTGAAATGCGAAATCTTAACTCGCCATAACTGGAATTGATTTCAAGAAAAATGTTATAGGTTATCTGAACAGTTCATTCACATTTTAAATTTGCAGGAGAATATGAAGCGGGTCAAATTAGCAAGCTAATTGAACAAATTATATGACTTGGCGAGGTTTTTCCGTGACATCCAAAGAATCTAATTGGTATAGTTCAAGTAAACGTAAACGATATAGTGCAACCTACCTTCCAACAGTTTTCCTTTAATAATATAGCTAGGGAGCTAACTAATTTTGTTATTCAATAATCATTTCTGGGGAAGTAATTAGGGGAATATTACATCAATAATGAATTTATTTCCACCATTACGCCTGATGCTTTGTTTCAATGTTCCCCAAATCAACTCGATCGGATTGAAAATACAAAAATAGGGGGGAAGTCTCAGTATGGTGTGTCCATACATTTCAGCAATACTCTCAAGGGCATACACTTTTTCAAATGTTTTTGTCTGTAAAACTTCAAGTAGTTGATTTTTTGTATAGATGTATTGTTATCCATTAAAAAACTTTGTATTCCATCTTTCCTCGACATTTATTCGCTACTTTAATGAGCTGTCGCGAATGACGGGAATCGTTGTCAAGAACTATTACACTATTCGCATCCAAATTTGGGATCAATGTGTTTTCAAACCATTCCTCGAAAATATAAGCTTTCATGTTCTTATAATAGTCAACATTGCATTCCTCAAGTTTTTTTTCACATAATTTCAAAGAATTCGGAACCCAGTGATTAGTCGCGATCCTTTGTTTCCAGCCATGTTAGGCGTACACATTCTCGAACCATCAGTCCACCCTTTCGTAACTGTGTCGTGAGTGTCATACCAAGTTTCGTCCAAAAAGAAAATTTGCCGTTGTTCTTGTCTAGATTCAGTTATTTGTTCTAAGCATTTGTTACGCAATTCCACTTTTCCTCTGCTTTCCATAACTGCTGGACGTTTGTTTATTATTTTAAATGTAAATCCTTGTTTCTTTTTACAATTCTGAAGAATTTTGTTACAGCAGCTCACGTTATGGCCGGAAGAATTCAATTTCTTCCTTATGATTTCAGTTGTAGGAATTTCATTGCTTTTGTAACAGGCGTATATTGTTTTTTTTAAATAATTTTATAAGATGAACATCTAAAGCTTTTGGTAATCCCGTATCATATCGCGTAATGAAAAAGGAATTTCGGTCAAATATAATGTTGCTTGTAATAGTTTGTTTCCTTTGAAACCAAACTTGAGATGTAGATTGAAACATACTCTTTGTGTTTCGATATTCAAATGCCTCCGAATCTTATTCACTGGTATCTCTTTTTCGCATCGTTCACCATCGCCATTGGAATCACTACACAGGAAAAAGTCTGCGTTGTTTTCACACTCGTTATTACTATTAGTACTTCTCCAAAGACGCCATATTTTATACAGATAACAAAAATTTTAAGTAATTAAAACTGCACCAATATCGAATTTCAACACTCAAATCGCGATCAGTTCCTGAACTGAACATTGACAACATGAGGGTAATAATCATCCTCGCATTCTATTCATCACCGTGACATGACTTCAAATTTAATTTTATGACTCTTCAGCCAATCATAAAACTCGGTTAGTAAAAATTATCCAATACGAACCGCCAATTCTTCAGTCCACGTGGACTAGTTGGCAGCGGCGTTATTTCTCTGTATTGTTTTTTTGCCTTTGATAAAGTCGACAGCTTTAACTATTCACAGTAAAGCTGTGTTACAGGTTACTTCGACTATACTATTAATTACGAGTATAAATTCAATCGAAGTGAAAAGACAATTTTCAAAGGTCCTTTTTCACTAGTGGTTATTGTAGTTCACAAGTTGAAATTCGTGTTCAATAAACATAGAGCTCCAAAAAATATTGGGGATAACTAATAGGATTTATATGATGCGTAAAAAAGTGTTTCAAAAGATTTCTCAACACACAAAAATTGTAATTATTATCAACTTGACTGTTATTAATTAAGCTGGAAACAAAAAGCATTTACTTTTTAGTAAATGACTAAAAAATTATCAGATCTTCGGGCGTCACAATACTGCTTTTACAAATTCTTTGTCGTGCTCTAATAGTAATTTAAATTATTATGATTATTACTACCTGACAAATTCCTACATGATAAATTCATTACCTAAACTATTTACCTATCCAGGAGCAACTCACAAGATTGGAGAATAATGAATAGAAATTTGACCTGAGCTATACATCATTTTACTTAGTTCTGAGATCTGTCCTGATTACCAATTTCCTCGTTGAAAATTGAATTCAATAAAGGGGAACAATTCTATTTGATCATTGAGCAATAATCCCGAATTTTCACATCTATTGATTTCTAAATATTCCAAAAGGTTGAAGTTTGAACATTTTCCTTTCAAAAGCAATACGCCATAATCGCGATTGAACTCATGCCTCTTTGTCAAAAGATGATTCGCAAATGTTGAAATGGTCTTCCCATTCAAAAAACTACTTCTAGGATTGTTTTATCCCAAGTTAAACGAGGAGTTCAAAAATGAATTTCAGTTGAGAAAAAATCATAGGCATATAATTTCGTTCTTCAACAACAACAAAGTCAATTCCCGTACTCACGCCACTGTTGTAGTTGAATTTTTTTGGAATATAAGGACTTCTACTGCTGAAATATCCCACACGATTTCGGAAATAATAAATAATTTTAATTTTTTCTTGAAAATGTAACACCCCGTATTTTAACAAAACATCTTTGGAGCACAGTTTATATAGCAACCTATCATTATGTTTTCAGTTTTCATTTAGATTTACACCCTTGAATACTGGCATATCATTTGAGAACACCCTATATTATAAGTGCACCAATGAACGAGTGTATCATGAAAGTGTATGTATATTATTACGTTTTACCCGTGGGTTCGACAATAGTTGACTACATGATACAATCAATCAAACTCATCTTCATTTTACTGCTACACTGCCAATATAACATGAAAACTTCAACTGAACTTCAGGTCAATACTCGAATGTCTATCGCCTCGTTAGCTCACTTCGTACCGCACTTTCAACTAGAGTCCCTCATCTGCCTGTTGGTAATGCTTATATATTCCAATAGAATTCTTCGGAAGCCGATAGGATTATTCTAGAAGCGACACGAGAAGCACAAGTAGAGTTGAGCGCGACCTTGGCCAAGTCTTATTCGATTGAAGAGGAACAGAGGCGGCCGGCGTCATTTTTTGCAGTGGATAACTTACAACAATATATTCTCGGGTGACTTACAAACCTTTAGGCCAGAGACTTTTGTTTAAATCCTCTATGAATAAAAAACATCCACCCAATGACCTTGGCAGATATTTTTTTTGCAGATTCTCCTTCCAGGAAGATGCTTAAGAAAGTGAGGAAGAAAGGTACGTTTTTAATAGTTGTTACCTACAAAATGTTATACAATAATTGTACAAGAGTTATTATTAAATAGCTTGTATGTGATTCTTGATGTCCAAAATTGAATGAATTTAATTTACAATTTCTTTAAGACTTCTCAGCTCAAGATTTCGTCGATCAACTTTTAAGGGAGGGGGCCCAAGAGACATGTGACGAGACAAACGAAAGCTTTGTTAGAAGTGATAGGTTACCACCTTTTTATGACGAACGTCTTTTCAGAAAGTAAGTTTTTCGTTATGGTTCAGAAGGTACTATATAATGTATTTTTACAATAGAAGTAAGCCAATATTAACTGCTTTTGAATTTTGACGATTCATATTGGGTTGAAATTCATTAGTTCGGACTTCCATTGTCTGATATTATATAAAATGATTTGAAATCCCTGAAACAACTATAAAAAAGAAATAAAAAAAAGTAGCTGAGAAATAACAATTATATTCAGCAAAGAAACCTGAAATGAAATAACAGTGAAATACAATACAAGTTAAAATAGAGTAATTGAACAAAAAATAAAAAATTGAGAAATTCCAAGCCAAGGTACTTCTAAGACGTTTTGATTGTTCGTATCTACAATCGTCTTCAGGTGATGACTGGACTAATTCCTCCCAGAGATGACTATTTACTATTTATGACGCTTTCTTTTTTCCGCTTCGCCGGTTTACTGAGAGATGCCCGTTTGGCGGGAGTTGGCCATTTTTCGCTTGATTATGGGTTTCCATATGTTGCGAATCTCTACTCTAGCTTGGCTGAATGCATTGTTGGACAACATGTATGCGGCTTCTTTGAACTTCCTCCTAAACCAATGTTCCTTTCTGTGTATGATCTCAGCTTGGGACCACTCGATGTTATGTTGATGGGTCCAAACATGATCTGCTATTCCTGATTTGCTAATTTTCCCTTGCTGTGTGTGTTTCTTGTGCTCGACAATGTGAACCTTGCCTCTTAGTTTCACCGATATAGGATTTTCCGCACTCACAAGGTACCCAGTAAATGAAATTCTTGGAATCGCAGTCCGCGTTTGGTGGCCAGGTTTTCCTGAGGCTGCTACGGATAGCGTTTCCGGGTCTGAAGCAGGTTCTGATGTACTTTTAACCAATTCTTCTTATCCTTTCCAATAATCCTCTGATGTAGGGAAGTGCAAGCACTGGTTGTGACGGCTTCTCTTCCTTGCGTAGCTCCTGCTTTCTTTCAGCCAGTCTGTTCCATCATCTCTTTGGAGTAGTCATTCCGTTGAAGATAATTTTTGATGATGTCTAGTTCCTTTTCGAGACCTTCCTTCGTATTACAGAGTCTTGATGATTCCTCTTTTAGTCTATTGATGGATTCGTGGTTCAGATACTGTTCCGTGTGAGTAGATTTTCGGTATACAGATGTTTCGCACTTAATGTCGGTCCTTTTCACGAATATGTCTAAGAATGGCAATTCGTTGTGGACTTCCTTCTCCATTTTGAACGTGGTGGAAGGTCTTATGCTATTGATGTGGTTTAGGAAGGCATCTAGTTCAGAATTCCCATGGTTCCATATTATGAAGGTGTCGTCAATGTATCTCAACCAGACATGAGGTTTCTTGTGGGCTTCTTCAATGGTCAGAGATTCAAACAAATCCAACCAATGAAAGTGGCAATCCCATTGGCAGTCCATCATTTTGTGTAAAGAATTCATCCTTCAGTTGGAAATAACAGTTTCGTACGCAGAATTCTAGAATTCTAGTAAATTCGATCTATCTTCCAGGTCCCCGTCTTCGGATAGCTTCCATTGTATGATTTGGAGTGCTTCTTCGACCGGAACGGTCGTGTAAAGGCTTTCCACGTTATTTATTGTTCGAGGGATAAAATATCAAATATACGTGGTGTCTCAGAGTCATAGATCTAAAAAAGGGAGTAACGATAAGGATCATTTTCGATCCAAAGAACAAATTTCTTCTTTTGTTCGAGTTTCTGTTATTCTTGCACATTTTGAAGAAAAAATCTAGTAGGATTTGTATGTTGTATTCTGAGCAACTGTGTAATAACAACCTTGTTTACCAAACCTGAATTTTATTGATTTTCAACTTTTCACTTGGAGATTACTGATCCTTTTCAGAAAATCAGTGCCTCGTTTACGGGGTCACAGTAAGGATTGATTTACAGATAGCAAATATTTCCGTTTTCAGGGGACAGGAGTTTTTCCACAAACATGCATTCTCGATGTATTCTGCCTGTTTATACGGCCTAGTAGCGATATTATCGATACCGACCATTTTGAGAATTTTAATTTTCACTAAACAGTCTAGCAGCGCCGTGACAGCCTACAAGAGATACGTAGCCACAATTTTCCACATGACGATTTGGTATGACGAAGATTTTAAACCCGGATCTAAGTGAGTATTCGTTAACAGTACAACGATTGCTTTGAATAAATGTTTAATTGCCCAAGTAATTTGATTGTGGTGAAAACAGCGATATTCCTTATCTTCATTTGAAATGCATTCAAAGTAAACAGTTTCACTCTTTTAGAAAGCATCTGCATATATTCAGAAATATATTTTGAACGTTCAAATTACATTCAAAACATCTTCAAAAAATTCCATCGAGAATATCTGTTAAAGTCATTCAAAGTAACCACTCTCAGTCTTCCTGTCTATAATATGTCTACATAATGGGACCAATCCTGTGAAATGTCAAGTTCATAACCATAACAAATGATAAATTGAGGCAGAAACTGTACTCTGTCCATCTAAACAACACAGTGCTCCAAAACCTTATCATGCATAATAAACGTGATTTCCCAGACAAGGCTGCTTGTCCAGAGTCGGTAGAAACAACCAAAATTCATCTATATTAGTACTTGATATTCTAAAAATTTTAAACTTCAAAATACCGTTACGTTTTAACACCACAGGCGTTAAAACGTAACTGACCACTGCGACACTGTAACAATGAATTCCGCTAGCCGATTGCGGTTCAATCTTATTGGCCAGCGTAGGGAAGCTTGTTTATTTTACCCAATAGATGCAAATGTGCGTGGTGATCATGCTTCGATCATACATCAATCTTTGTTTGTTGAATGGATATACTTCAATCTAAACAAGTTTCATAAAGAGGAAAATTTTGTGTGATTGATAAAACTACTCAATCACTTTTGAATTATATTTCAACTCTAAATTGCATCCATAATAGACAAATTGATGAATTTTTCCACATTGAGAGAGTTTTCACAATAGCAAAAAATATGTTTGTAAGTGTATTTTATCAAACGAAATTGTAGCTCATCCCTCGCCCTATACAAATCTTTGTTGAGATAAATTACTTGATTGCAATGACTTTTTAGTATTCCAGTTTATGCATATGATTGGTAGATGTCGAGTGTTTTGTAGTTCACATGTGGTATGATGAAGTGTTAGCAATGTACAATGAAGAAGAAGAATAATAGGTTAGGTATAAATAGCAGTACGGTTGTAAATATACCTGTCCGAGATGCTGTCAAAATTAAATCAAAATGGCCGCCTGTAGGCACACATGTTGTTTGTTCTAATGGAAATAAAACTAGAAAAGTCCATGATCAACTTATCTTTGTGAGTGATTGTGTTGCTGCTTGCTGAAATTGGTTGTCTGAGGCTGATTTTACATATCAATCGTCCTTCATAACATAAAATCTTGCCTACAACGTGTTGTGTTGTAAATTGCGGAAGCTGTGGGGATCGTGATTGGTGGATTTTCACAAAATACCTAGTGAATTTCTGCTTTTACCAATGGTAAGAAGCAGATGCATCCAATTGAATTAGCAATTAGAAGCAACTAGAGCTATTGCACATGTCAGGAGTCATGTAGAAAGAGTAATAGGTTGCATTCGTCAAAAATATAGGATTATATCAGATTATGTGCCAATTTCTCTGCCTGTTTGTGGTGAAGATGATAAGATCTTGGATAAAATAGTGACTGTGTGTTGTAGAATATTTTTTGTACAAACACCTTCAAAGATACATTAATTTAATAAAACACAAAATAAGGTCATATTGTTTTGTTTATTCTCCCCGTCAGACGAGGAAGTCAGTTTCAATATACATTCATTGAAAAAAATGATCCACAATAATGGTTATTTTAAAAAAGTGATTTCTCTTGAAGAGTCAAAAATCAGTTAATAAGAAATAAAAAAACACTTGAATATGAACATGAAAGCCACATGCAAAAACTGTTTACTGAAAAAAAAAACTGAAAAATATCTAAATACCTTGGCAATCACAACAATGTGCTCTCCGATTGACTTTGCTTCACAATCATGCACGAATAATCCAGCTTCAAAATATTTGTAGCCAGTCAAACTTTTGTAGGCCTTCATCTGCTGAATTGTATAGAAACTATGAGTTAGCACCAGATAAGAACTCGTATCGAAAGCAGTAACTGGTGGAAAACATTCTATAGAACTGTTCATTTCTTCTGAAGTGAAAGTAAAAGAATCCATGCACTGTATCACTCTGATTTTATCTTTGTAATGCACAGCAATGTCTTTGTTTTCACATTCCAATGTTAGTAAATAATCACTTTTATTACAAAAAGCCATCATAATTATTTTCACAGCTTCCAAAGATAACAAAACACGAAAAAACCGTGTGAAGTACCTATGTCATTATACTCTTCTTCTTCTTCTTATGGCTCTGCCTTTTCGGCAATTTCCATTGTGTGCCTACAGGCGGCCATATTGTTCGAGAATTGGTCACGTGTTCTGGACATCCTATAACGTCGCGTTCCCTGAAAAAATAATTCCGCCGATTTGAAATCGGCGATTTAAAAATAGAATAGCACTATGACAGTATTGAGAATTTGACAAAATAGTGGTTTTAGCGAAAAAATGTCCAGATAAAAGTATGAATTCTGCAATCGGTCATGTGAACCAGAATACCAATCAGAACGACTGACGTCACGCCTCAGTAAATGTGGAGATATGTATAGAATCTGTTTTGCTCCAACTTTGTAGTAATTACAAGCTAACTATTTAATTTCGTCACATCATGTCAGCAATTTCTCTAATAGTATACTCTAATGATAAGAAAAAAAATATTATGCTGCTTGGTCTTTTTCCCTAGACTATGGAAATCTATAAGTCAAGTACGGCACGTGCATAATTCAGCGAGCAAAAGAGGTAGTAAGGCTGGTGTTCACAGAATCTTCCAGAAAGACATGGCACTCACACAGTTTGGCTTCATGGGGTTCCAGTTATCCAGAAGCCATCTAGTGGGTATCCATGACGCCTCAGAAGAAGAGTGGAAGTCGTTCCTGCATGTGTGGAGAGTAGTGGGCTACTTGCTGGGAATAAACGACAGGTAACAGATATATACAGTGTGTGAAAGCCAAATGGAATAAATTCATTATTTCGGTTACGGTACATATTTTAAGGAAATCCCGAAACACGTCAAATTTAAATTATAATTTGACATACCTCAACGGAAAAATGCTACCCCTACCTTCAATCCCCGTCGAATGACATGGTACAATTCCCAATTTTTTAAATGGGAAGTATAGGTTTGTGATTTATCGTTTGAAAGATCTCTTTATTCTCTATTAAAAAATATTATCGCTTTCAAGTTCATTGCAACAATTGAGATAAAACAAATTAAAATCATGTGGTTACCGAAATTCGATAAAATACACTCAAAACTTATTGCAATAAACTCAAAACTGAAATGTTGAGGTATTGATAATAAGAAAGTAAGCAAAAACCATAGCAATTTTCTTTTTAGATGGTATCCTTTAAAAATTGTAAATAATGTGCATGGCAACGTTAGTTTAAAACGCCTTGTCTTGTTTTGTATGTAACAAAATTAGTTGTGAGTATTTCAATTTAAGTTTAAAGTTCGTTAACTTGAAGTCTGACAAATGGTTAGATTAACGGAAATGCATAAAATAAGTTATACAAATAATTGGTTACGGACACAACAGGAAGTAGCTCGCCTATTTCATGAAAAATTTACTAATTCGTCGCGCATATCTCAAGGAACGATAAGCAAAATAGAGAAGCAGTTTCGCTCTAGCACCTGTAACATAGTTCGTTGTAATGTAACGACCACCCTGTATATTTTTACGTGCAATAGTGGCAGAGGTACAAACATTTCGGTTAATTGGTGAAATCTGTTTCATAGGATGTGAAAATACGAGGATGTTTGATATTAATCTGACCTGACCATGAAAACGTACGTATGAATTAAAATGGCTCCTTCAGTTTTCTCTCCAGCGTAACGAATGAGCGAATGCGTTAACGAAACGATTATTAATCTTGATATAGGGTCTTCCAACAGAACTCCACAGCTTTGACAATTGATAACGGCCAACTTGTTGAAGCTACATCTGTCAAATTAGTTGTCGTTGATGGACGGTATAGCATTCAACAATAAAATTGTTTTATAAAAGTGGGTGCTCTGTTCGAGCAACGTACCGCGCGCTTCGCCCATCTTACGGTCGCCATAATAGTCCTAAAGAGAGGACTATTCGCAATGTGGTGGATAAATGTGAGTCCACTGCTACGGTGAACGATCGACCAACACCCGTTCGTCGACAAAAAGCAAGATCTGTCGGAAACATCGCTGTTGTCTGTGAGAGTATGCAGGAGAATCCGAGGCAGTCGATTTCGAGTCGCTCACAGGAACTTGGCTTTTCGCAGGACACTTGATTGATTGTGCATCGTGACTTGAACCTACACCCGTACAGCTGATCCAGGAACTGAAGGTAAGCGACCATTGACAACGACGTGTGTTAGCTGAATGGGTTCTGGAGCCTAATTTTTATCGAAAAATCCTCTTCAGCGATGAGGCCCCTTTCTGGAAGAATGGGTTAGCTTAGGTCTAAAGTGAATGGGTCTATTCGACCTTCCACCGCAAACGAAGCCGATTAGTTTGTATGGTGAGTGGTCTTTCAGGTCGAATGGTGAGAGTACGGCTCTGCCGAACTGCAAAAACCCGATTCGGTCCCCAGCGGGGCAGGCACAGGGTATGTGCTCTGCTGTTTCATCATTTTCCAAATAGAGACGATACACACTGTCTCCCGACAGTCTGAGTCTCTGCATATGATGATTCGAATGACAATGACCTATAAGAAGGCCTGTTAGACATCGTAGTTCATCCCTACTGTAGTTCAACAACTGTTTGGTATGGGTGATTAAACGCCTTGGAGTGAGCCACTCCTGGAAAATTCTGCCAGAAGTCCATAAATCTTCTTGTCATCCAGGTGTTCAATGTTTGTTTGGCAAAGTCTAAGGCGATGACAATGACTGGTTCTGGTCCGATGGAGCTGCTTGCAGCACCCTCTTTTACGTTAGGAATATAGACCAGAGACAATTTGTTAGGTCTTCTTATTGAGGAGAGTCGTTTTTGTCAATTTTTACCAATTTAGACGTTGCTTGGTAGCCGCCAAGAGCTCCAAATGCTGCTTGACTGAGTACGAATAGGTACCCAGTCAAAATTGTCGAATTTGGGACGATATTAATCCACATGAGATCCAAGAGCGTCCAATGCATCCCAAAAATGTCATTGTGGTGTGGATTTTGGATTGGAGGTGTAATCGGTCCATATTTCTTTGAGAACGGAGTTGGCCAGGCCATTCACAGGAGTGAGTGGTGAGCACTCTAGGTCGATGCATGATTATCAACTTCTTTTGGTCCTAATTGGATGATCTGGACACCAATGACATGCGGTTTCAACAGGACAGCGCTTCGTGGCACACAGCTCATGCCACGTTGGATACTCTGCACAAGCGATTTTTGGGCATGATCATCTCACGTGGAGGTGATTTGAACTGGTCACCGAGATGGTGCGATCGAGGTTTGGACGTTTCAAATGCGCTTTACCCAGAGAATCCGTGGCGGACATATGAACGATTTTATATTCAACACATAATGAGATCAATAGGTATTTTAAACGAATAATGTGAAAATCAGACCATTCAGTTGAGAAAACTGTAGAACGTGTATTCACAAACAATTAACTGGTTTAGTGATCCAAAGATGTTTTTCAAGAAGGGTTAGTTGGGTAACAGGATCAATTTTTCTTAAAAAAGAAATAATTGTTTTTCAGCTAACGTTTTGAATTCAATTAATTTTTTCTTCAGGTCTCTGTAACAATAAATATTCATAAACATACCTCCCATAAAACTTATAACTGTTATCATTCCAATGATTCGGGAAATCATGAATTCTCAAATAAATTACTCATCGAAAACGGGTTTCTTCGTGTTGAAAATGTAACTGTCTTAAAAAACATCAGAGATATCAGATACAGTGTGTCTCACTTCTCATGGAAACACCCCCGTATCTTCCGTAATATTCGAGGTAGAACGATGAAACTCTCTGGACTGATGGAAATGCTCAAAATGCACCTACCACCTGAATGGGGTTGGCCAAAGCGATATACACTGTCCGCCACTCGCGATGGAACACCCCATTTTTACGGTAAAACATATTAGGAGGCAAAATAGGCTCAAAATTCCTNAGGAATTGATTTGAGTACCCTCAGCAGCTTCATCAGGCCAGAACCTGTCATTGGCATCGTTTTAGGCTTTGCCAAACAAAGATGGAACACCTGGATGACAAGAAGATTTATGGACTTCTGGAAGAATCTTCCAGGATTGGCTCACTCCAAGGTGTTTATTCACCCTTTGAAGCTTGATACCCAAACAGTTGTTGGACTACAGTATTAAGGATGAACTACGATGTCTAACAGGCCTTCTTACAGGTTACTGTCATTTAAATCATCATATGCAAAGACTCAGACTGTCGGAAGACAGTGTATGTCGCCTCTGTTTGGAATATGATGAAACAGCAGAGCACATACTTTGTGCCTGCCCCGCCGAGGACCGAATCAGTCCATCTGACCTGAAAGACCACTCACCATACAAACTAATCGGCTTCGTTAAGAATCTGGGTTTATGTGGTCGAGTGTGAATAGGTTTGAGCCACAATAAACCCTCGCGGGTTGCGATGGAGAGTCGAATAGACCCACTCATTTTGGACTTAACCTGACCTACCCTAACCTAGTGTTTTACATTTATAATGAGCATTCATTACTCTTTATTACCAGGAAACAGAGTCATCTCAGAAATACTGAAGTTCTTTGTCTTTTTGCAGATTCAACCTCTGTAGCGGATCTGTCCAGGAAACGAAGGAAATCTGCGAACTCTTGATCAGTCAAGCATTCAAACCAGAAATTCTAAAAAGAGACAAAGACTTCCTATCCATGGCCAGACATGTCTGTTCGGGACTGTGGCCCGTGAGCCCGATTTTAAACTTCAAAACTTCCCTATGTTTCCTGCACGCATTGGTCCAGGAAACGAACGGATTCAAGGAAATACCAGAACCGACTTTTTTTAAATTGAGTTGGGGCTTGAAATTATCATATTATTTCCAAATGTATGTATTTCTGTATTGGATGAAGAATCATTATTACCGACTGTATAGAAATTTCATCCAAAAATTTACGTTGTGGTTCTTTAAGGTATTGCCGCTGTTGGCGTTTTATAAGTTTGGAATCGCTCATTCTTATGTCGATATTAAAGTATGAGTTTCCAGTATTTCTACTTCTTTTTTGAAAAAGTTTTTTGCATCATTCTGCTCAAAATACCCCTTATATTTCAACTAGAGAAGATATGAGCTAATAGAAGCTAATAAAAGGTTCGAGACCTAATAAGCAGCGTTTCAACAACTTGTTGTTAACCGTCGAAATTATCGAACGGAACGAGGTAGGTACCGATTTGAAATTTTCATTAGCAAATGAAACGAATCCAAAAAAGGGAAAACCCATTTTCGGCGATTTCTCTAAAAAATGTTGGTCCATCAAGATGGGAATAACTGCTAAACCAATAATGCGAATCAAAAAAGTGGCAAATATTTATTCAGACTGAAAGTGTAGCTATTGCTTCATTTTTTTAAATTATTGTTAACAAGAAAACTCGTGAAAAATATAACACATTTTTTTTGAATTCTGTAACAGAGTTTTACTACTATGTCAAAAAAGTTCCGGGAATTGGTTAATGAAAATATGTATTATTCATCCAAATTCAAAGTATCGCCTCCTACCGAAATAATACTCTCGCGCCAATGAACAACCCAATTATCAAACCATTTTTTTTAACACTTTTTTGAAATCGACTTCTATCGGCTGAAAACGGGTGCCTCCGAGTGGTAATTTGAGTTTCGGAAAAAAAATCTACCCGAGCCGTATCAGGTGAATAAGGTGGCTGTTTGATAAGAGTTGTTGCCTTGTGAGATGATGCGTTATCGTAGGGCAGAATACATGGGTTTTCTTTCCACATATCTGTTCAGATAATATTCTTCGTTTACTCACCTGGCAAGAATTCCGAGTTCACAATATTACCGCGATCACGAAAAAAAACTGTTTAGATAACCTTCAGATAACTGAAAATAATAGGTATCCTTCAAATATAGTAGATAATGTTATTTAGAAAGAGAACTTTTGAGAAAGATGAATACTCAAAATGTATAGTTCTTCCATACGAAGCAAAATACACCAACGGATTGGGTCTGACCCCTCTGGACCTGTAGGTTGAGGAGGTGGCGTTAATGGCCAAGTTACGATTTCGACGGCTGGTGTAAACCTCGAAGTTGGAATGGGTCAGTTGAAGCTGGGCCTATACCGAGGAGCGCCTACTGCGCAACCTCTGCTGCAGGCAACCTGTGATGCAATTGAACCCAGGTTTGTGTTTAATAAACCTACAAAATACAAATAAAACAGAACACAGAGTCAGATGCTACAAATGCAATACAGACGGCTCAAAAACCAAAGAAGGCTCAAAATGTGGAGTGTACTCCAGATTACTAAGCCTAAGGATCAAGTGGGGAAATGGGAAAAAATACCAGTGTGGTCCAAATAGAACTGGCTGGCATCTCAATCGCCACAATAGAAATAATCAGGAAAGGAATTTCTGGCACTGACGGCAGACAAGCCATATTAGCCTTGAACAGACAACAGGGCTAGTACTAGAGTACCGCACCAGACTTACCTAAAGCCTCGGTAGATAAAAACATTATCCTGAGGTGGGTTAAAGGGCACGACAGGAGTAAAGGTAATCGCATTGCCGACTCTTTAGCCAAGGAAGCGGATTGTTTCAATTTTTTTTTTTTTGCTTTCAGGATTTCAATGAGAATATGTGGGTCGAATTAAGCGGCCTGTGATATCTTGCTACAAGGAACATAGACTCCATAGATCAGAGGAATCGTGTTGTTCAAATTTCATAGAGAATGGCTACAGAATAAGTGAGGTTGTTGAAACCATTATATAAAATCAAGGTTTCAGATGCCTTCAAAAGTTTAAAAATCAAAAAGAACGAGATCTATGAACGGCGATAATGGTCCTATTCCGTACTCTTACATAATTGAAGGCGGAAAAAAGGTTGAGATTAGGTATCAGTTAGGTAGTAAATAACAAAATAGGACAATAACAAAATACTAGGAATTGATTTGAGTACCCTCACTATGAAAGGTAATGATTCGTCTAGGTGCATAAAAATTTCATCATAGTTGTAAGAAGCAGTTTTAGTCACCTCCTGATGATGCTAATTTGGTTACCGAAACACGCTTCAAATTTTGTCCTGTGAGGAAAAAGTGCTTTCAATAGATATGAGTATATCAGTGAGTTCTATAAAATAGTTCAGACAAATTTTTCCATTACTTCAATAGTACGGAAAATATTGACGAAATTCAGATATTTGCCATTATCTTCCGAGATCTCGAAATATCGAAAATAGGCATAGAATCAACTTTATTTATCTGAAAAAGTTCTACAGAAAGTACTCTTGGTTCAGTAAATTTGTTCTATCTTGTCCTATCTTGTAACGGAGCATTCAAAACGAACTGATATCACAGTAGAAGAATTCAGTTCACTTGATATGATTTCGATATCAGCCATCTACGTATATTATTTATATTTTAATGATCGAAGAGCATAATATATGCCTACATATTTATTTCTGTCAAAGGGTGGCATCAGCTTGCAATTAATAATAATGGCCAGTCAACATTTTTAATGTACTTATAGGTAAACCTAACTACCTGAAAAAAAAACCAAACAAAACTGACACTTTCAAAGTAACTCACTACGTAAAACAAAACCAAGACTTCTTACGAATAACATAGTCATATTTCAACCAATTTACATAAAATATTAATTAATTATTGGTGGAAACTATATGAAAATTAATTCGTTACTTTTTGAGTATTATCGCGTTCAAACAGACAGACGAGACAGGAGATACTTTTTTATTTTATGTAGAGCACCAAAAGAGCATGAATCCCCAGACCACTACGCCTATGAATTAAATTAAATGTACGTGTTATCAAAATGTAGAGTCTCGAACGCAGTCATGGAGAGTCATTTCACAATTGTATCGTTGGCATCCTTGAGATAAGATAGACATCAACAATGTGAGACTAAAAACAATTCAACGGCCCAAAAATATTGAGAGTTTGAAAGTGACCAATACCATGGATTTACCAGAAACATACGTGCCTGGTTTCCATTACGAAAATGCTGTTAGGAGAATGAAATACAACGAGTTAGGAGATACAGGAATTAATGTTTCTGAAATATCACTTGGTACAGCTGGATTCTGTTATTTCTATGGGTAAGTTTTGCAAAAGAATCATTATAACATAAGTAAACTCAATTGCAATAAGAAAGAACTTGATGATTATAATTCCAAAAATATTTTCACCCATAGGCGTGCCAATTGAGGTTATTTTTGGTTAATTTATTACAGTGAAATGGGGTAACTAGAAACTGTGCCTAAAATTGGAGAAATTTTGTGCAATTTTGTCTTATAGGTTGTCAAAAGTGTTAACTTCATGTTATGGTGTTTCTAATGTTTTTTTTTCATAAAACCGCGAACAGTAGTTTTCGGCAACAACTGATGATGTAAAACTGACCTCTTAAGTATTTTTACCACCATGTAAATAGATTTAGACATTTTGACCTAAAAATATACTAAAACAACCCTTATTTCTACAACCTAAAATATCAAATCGGTAAGTATTCGTTTTGAGGGTACCCGGCGATTTTGAAAAAAATTTCGAGTGTCCTTTCGTATTTTGATGCGTAGATTACGAATCCGAAAGAAAAAAGCGGCACTCTCCCTTATTCACAAAGTTACGGCCCTTCAAAGTTCAGAAAACGACAACTTTTCAGCCTTCTTTTTCACAAGATAAACTATTTAAAAACACAAGCATTTATTCACTAGGTCACCTTTACACCTTATTCCTTCTTCCTTGACACTTTTCACTTCAACAATCAACAATTTGGCAATGATAGTGTTTTATCCCAACACCTCGACACGTGTTTCGATCACCAAGTGATCATCTTCAAGGGGAAGAGTAAACTCCAGTAATATTCATTACTACTCCAAAAGTTCCAAACAGTGCATCACAAAAATGATGGTGTTAATGAACGCACTGTTGCGAAATTTCGTTTCGGAGATATCCACGAAGATGAGCTCCGAAGTGGTATTTGATGCGGTATTTGATGATTTTAAACGTATTGGAGAGGTTAAAAAGTGGGCGCCCCACGATTTGAACGATCGATAGAAATTGTCACGTTTCGAAGGCAGTTTTTCCTTGCTTTTGCGCAACCAAAACGACCCTTCTTTGGACCGAATCGTCACGTTTGATGAAGAGAGGATCCTCTACGACAACAGGAGGTGTTTAGAACCGTGGTTGGACACCGATGAGCCACCCAGGCACATCCAAAATGCGAAACACCACCAAGATCGCGATTACTGTATGGTGGTCAACGGCTGGTGTGATTCACTATAACTTTCTGCAACCAGGCAAAACAGAGTCCTATTTTGAGGAAATCGGCAAAATGTACTGAAAATTGCGTCAGCAGCAGCCGGCATTCTGCTCCACGACAACGCCCGCCCGCATATTTCACAAATCACCGTCCGAAAATCAAACAATTTGAGCTTCGAAGTTCTGTCTCACCCACCATACTCCCCAGACCTATCGCCAACAGACCAGCATTTTTTCAAGCACTTCGATAACTTTTTCACAGGCAGAAACCCTCGCCAGTCAGGACCAGACAGAAACAGCCTTCATCGACTTCATGGAATCCCAAGCACACTATTTTTTTGCTGACAGAATCAATCTACTTATGTTACATAGGGAAAAGTGTACTGTTTCACTGAGATATTACTGTAAACATTTAAAACAACCTAATTTAACCTAACTGTCAGCTGGCATTTCTTATCTCTTTATAAGTAAGGATCTTCTATCTCATAAATAAACTAATTTGGTTATTAAAAATACTGACACGTTCATTTTAGCTTTATATATGTAGGATAGGTTTCCGCGGTCAGCAATATGAGAGTATGAAGTTGGAGTTGAACCGCTCATGACGCTTTTTGTGTCATTCGACATTTTGGTTTCTAGGTACTTTAAAGATATTTTCAAGAGCTGAAATGGGACAGTATGGCTAAACTGAGGTCCCAATCTGCCTCAAGTAGTGTCATACTTTTAGGGTTTTGTAACTTGACGTTTAAGTGTGTGGAAAAAATATTCACTCATCAAAAAAACATGCAACATTTATAGTGTTGTAAATCATGCCCAAAAGGAAATAACGCCGGCCGCCACTGGTAACCATAAACCGAACGTGACGTAGCTAAGAACGTGGGAATATCCAGAGCAAGAAACATGCTACCGATGTCGATAGAACTTCGGCGAAATTCTACGATGTTCATTGCGATATTTAAACGCTGACTGCAAGCGTATTCGGACAGTCAAGTACACAGTGAAGTGGACGTAACAGTGCGGTACGCGAAGTGATCTAGTAAGGCGATAGACATTCAAATAATAGTTGAATTTTTAGTTGATGTTTGTTGTATTTAAAGTGAAATAAAGTTAACTTTGATTATTCAGTGTAGTCAATTATTTGTGAACCCACGGGGGAAAACGTAACAGTATATTACTAAATGAGGAGAATATCTGCCAAGCAATAAAAGAAGATAGGTATGATGCAGTGTTTCTCCATTATTCCGGAGAAAAAGGTGTTTTTGTTCTCCATTAGAAATATGGGAAGTTGGAAATGTCTAGTTGCTATTTTTGTTCCTAAGCTTTCATTCTGTGATACATACTTTTATACCCTAGTATTTCAATTTACCCCTTACCATGCGGTAACTTGAAACAAGAAATCGTGAAAAGCTAAACTTTTCCAGTAACTACGATGTAGAAGAATGCAGAAAAACCGTTCACGAAGCAATAAAAAATGGTATAAATTTTATTGATACTGGTCCTTGGTATGGCCATGGAGTTGCAGAAGAAATACTGGGAAAGGTTTGTAATAAAGAGAAGAAGTCTGGAGCGAATAACTTCTAATAACTTTTTTTCTGCATGTTTTATAGTGCTTGAAGGGGGTTCCTAGAAAGGCCTATTATATTGGCACCAAGGTAGGGCGCTACGAAAAAGACCCGGAGCTAATGTTTGATTTTTCTATGAAAAAGACGAAGGAGAGCATTGACATTTCTTTGAAGAAGTTGGGAATCGATTACGTTGACATCCTGCAGGTGAGTGGCTTTCAAAATAAAATTTCCGGAGAATTTCAAGAGCGCCCTTCGGCTTCCTACGGTAACTCATAATAAAAATCACAGTGAAGTACTAAACGTATCGTCTGCTACTGCGGCAGACGTCATCGGTGGTATGTGCTTTAACTGCAAAGTATCAGCAACGACTGACTGGCGAACTACGTGTTCACTCGTATTTATAATTTCAGGGTGATGGTGATAGTGGCGGGGAGTGAGCAAATGTTCACTCCTGATTGGTCTGCACTGTTACTAGGTTATTCTGATTGATCCACGTTGTTGACAGGTATGCTACTGATAGGATGTCGATCGGAGCTGTCTATTTCTGGCCTTCTTGGACACTGCATACCACATTCTTTTGACTTGTATACCTTCTTAATGCGTTGAATTTGCATTTTCTTGGTATTCTATTACTTGGTCTGTTTCTCCTAGGACATTTTCTGCAATTGTGGATTTCTCCGGTTGCATGAGGCGGCAGCTAGGCTTGTGTTCTTGTATCCTGCTGCTTGTTTATATTATGCATTCGTATTCCTATATGTACTTTACTGCCTACCTAGTTTCCTAGATTTAATACTTTTTGGCAATGCAATCTATTTTATACCACCACAAAGCATTTTAATTGACAGTTTGGTACTTTCAGATACACGATATAGAATTTGCTCCTAGCCTGGACTTCATCTTCAACGAAACTCTGCCCGCTGTGGTAGATATTGTAAGAGCTGGAAAAGCCAGATTCATCGGGATAACCGGATATCCTGTTTCCACTCTCCTGGAGTTCATCCAAAAAAGCAGCGTTCAGATTCACACGATATTGTCTTACTGTAGACTAACTATGATAGATGATACATTGAAGTCATTCATACCTGAATTGGAGGTTAGTTTTCAATTCCATTGTTACCTACTAAAAAATTTTCTCTAATAAGAGTGAAATCTGTCTCAGCAAAAACAGCGATTTTTCCTCTGATTGAATTGGCTTACCTTCTAATAGATTCTGTGAAGTAAAATTGAATCGATTTTTGCATTTTCTGTCAAACGCTTTCTTGGTATTTTAACCGAATATATGAAAGATGGCCCTTGTAACGAGTTATTATAATCTGCTTAGTTTGACCAACTTACTTTTTATCGCAAACCTCACAGCTTATTTCGTAATTTCCCAGGATTTTCCTTTTTATTCGTATTAAGAGCAGTTTTGAAAGTTATTTTCTTATTCAATTTTTTGAAATATTTGACCAATCCCTTGGTAATGCCTTTTGCTGAACTTACCAGATGGGAATGAATTAATAAATTAGGGCTCACTATGCCTCCTATGAACAAATGGATCTTATGAGTAGATGATGCCAGTCTATGATCAATAAATAATAAATCAAATAATAGGTTCCTCTTCTTTGAGACAAATTATTCATTGTATTTTTGGAATTATACTTTTCAGGAAAGGAAAATTGGCATCATTAATGGCGCACCGAATTCAATGGGATTATTGAGTAATTTCGGACCCCAAAAATGGCATCCTGCTTGTCAAGAAATTAAAGACATATGTTCTCAAGCTAGGAATTTATGCAAGGTATATCAATATGCACCGTTTAATTTAAGTTTATATAAATATATAAAAATTTGGTTTATTGGATTCGAAAATTTGAACTTTTAAAATTTCATCAAAAAGAGTATAATCCCGAAATTCCTCTACTTCTCTTTTATGTGTCTTAGCTGTTCTGTATCTGTAGAATAGGGAGGGTGAGTGTAGACCCATTGTATATCCTTCCGAGTAGTGGTCCTCCTAGGTCATCGTCCATTCTGTCCTTTCTAGGAAGGTGGACATGTCACTAGGAGACATCTCCTTTATATCGGCAGGTGAAGGCCAAGACTCGCCGAACACACACTCTCTTTGGCAACCTTGTGGTGTCTCACGGCGGCCTTCGTGAAGGTTTTGGAAGGTGCAGCGACATTACTGTTGTTGCGCGGCTTCTTCAACCTTCTTGGGGTTCCCTCCATGGAGGTGCTCAAGTAAGAATGCTTTCCTGCAGGGACAGCCGGTTCCTTGCTGGTTTGCCCGGTTCCCCAAGGGGATCGTTCGTAACTACATATCACCCTACTGCCATTTAGCTGTCGGCACGATTCCTTACACCTTAGCTTGTGTAGGCTAGTTCACGGTGTGTTAGCTGTTAATTCAAGAGAACGCAAAACTAATGGCCCTATTCTCCATAGAATATTAAACCTGGCTTCGACCTCAGGCTCTCTCAATTCGTGAATTCCATTTGCATCGTAACAAATGTCACCTTTAATACCGCTCAAAGTTATGGCCACTACTTTGGTGGCTTATACGGCCTTCAAACCAAGCTTTCATGAACCTAACCTAGCTTTCTGTATGTGATCCTGCGGTGGGGACATGTACCATCATAACTTGTACTTACAAATAAGAGATATTCATTCACCTACAACATTCAACCTTACGTCCTCACTGTTTAACGAACAAAGTTTTTATTTCACTTTTTATCTTATCTGGTCGAGGCGGAAATCAAACCCACGATCTTCCGATCGTGAGTGGGGCGCACTACCACCGCGGCCAATTCCACAACAATAAATAAATAACCCATCTTTCTGAGTTCCTTTTGGATTTTCATGTTTGGTGAATGAGAAACTGATTTCCAGAATATGGCCGAAAAGAGATTTCAAGTCGTCATATATGAAGTTGGGGCTACAGAATGAAGAATCAGCTATGAAGAAATATAAGATGGTCTGTCCCAATTATGTCCCAAGAATGAAAATGCTGAAGGAATTCAGAAATATAGGTTGATTATTCATCAGCAAATGTCAAATGTCATTATTTTACCGCAGTTGGCAACCATGGGGTCGCATCACTTAATAAGGTCAATTGCACAAATTTGACATAAAATTCTCATTTCCTGTGTTTATTGTGCTTGCTGAGCATGATTTACATGAAGACTTTCAGCAATTTTCAGGCATTGCCACATGTATTGTAGGTTTTATTAAGATTGGCCTAAGTAATTTCAGCGCAAGACATGAATACAAATATTACATAGTTGCTAATCCAAAATCCAACACACGATTGTGGTTAAGTTATGAAAATAGTCATATTCCGTGTTCGTTTCAAATACGATGAAACGCTCAGATCTCACAACTAAAATCAAGAGAGAGAGAAACAAAGCCATGTGTGGTCTGTTATTCAAAAATTTGGAGTTACCTTATGTCAATTTTGCGAAAACGCTGTCAATATATGAAATATCAAATTGTTGAAACACTATTTTGATTAGGAAAATGACATAGAACTGGGAAAATTGGCAGTCTACTACAGCCTGCAACAAGAAGGGCCAGCAACTGTGCTAGTAGGAATGAATTCGATGAAATTGTTGGAATGCAACTTGGATGTTGTATTAAATGGATTGTCTGAACGAGAGCGAGATGTTTACGAAAAAGTTTTAAAGTATGTATAGTACTTATTGGTAATACACTAAGTTTCCTTATAATATTTTTCAGGATTTTCGCAAAGTTAACCACTAAGCACTGGGAAAACTGAAGTAAAGGGGAAAATGAAGCAGAATATTTCAAGTAAAATAGAAAAAACATATAGTCCTTATTTCAAAACCATACGTTTACGTATGGCTGATTCATACAGAAATAATAAATTTTAAAATTTTCAACATTTTACATAAGATATGTTATATACTCTACCAATACCATACTTGTAATGTATTGTGCCACCGCTAAGAGACAACTGGCTGAAGCGGTGTATTGTAAATAAAAAATAAATAAATGAACTGAAGTTACTTAAACCGGATTCACACCTTTGTGGTTATTTCAGAAGTGCCCTTTGTTCTGAATTGGAAACCAATTTAATGTTCCACAGAGGGAGAATTTTGAGGAAACATTATGGAAATTATACCATTCAGTTGAGAAAATTGTAAAATCTTAAATCATAACATTCAACATATATTCATTGTATTTATTTGATGATAACACCATAATTTTTACTCATACCTAATATCTTCTAAAATAAGCATACCTACTTCTGTAAATATTTCAAATTGAAATGTTATAACAATATCAATTATTAGTTTTGAAAAGATTTTGTTGAAATACTCAATGATTTGTCCAAATTCTTATATATTCTTTTCAGAATATTTTGTTTTGCAGCATTTACTTTGATTTTTGGATGTTTCAAAACGGTTCTAAAATATATCACACTGAGTATCTACCATATTTATATTTTGAGACATTGCCTCCAGACTATGAAAAAATATCCTATTCTCAGACTCGAAATATAAAAAATAATGAACTCGTGGCAATAAATTCATTTACTTCTCGACAAAACAATGTTTAAAACTAGCATAAAAAATTGATTTCAGTAACTCGACACAGACAACTTTTCCAAGTCACACGACTTCACAACTTGTTGATCTAAAGGTCGGTTTTGGGGCCTAGCGATAATGGTATAGCGGCCAGTTCTGTCCTGAGACACAAAAACTCCCCGCACACACACATCAATGTTGCGCAAGCAACGTTCAGAGCCCACCAAGAGAATGTCGTGGGGAAATGTTCATTGTAGAACCAGCAGACGATAAGGTGGATGAAGTGCCAGGTACAGCTGAAGTCCATGCATTGTTTCGTCCTTTCTACGATGTACCATATCGCCACAGCTCTGTTGATATTTCATGGGTATCAATAGTGGATCTTATCAAAATGTCGAATTTACTATCATTAATTTAGTTTAGTATTCAACACACCTGACGAAGCTATTGTACAGTGAAAAACATATGTTGCGTTTTTGTGAACTGTTCATGGATTTTCATCACGTGTCGACACCGTATCCATAACATATATTTCAAAAAGCTACCAGTAGTACTTACCCAATTAATGAATTCAAGACAAAACTTGAAATAACTATTCTTCCACCAAAATCACGAATTTGAAGTTCCTACAATTCAAAAATTAAAAGAAAAATCGTGAAGAAATTGAGATTCTTACATGGTATTCAAATATATGATCTAAGGTATTGGGTTCTCCAACCAAGGAACCCAAAACGGCTAATATCAAACCTAAAGAAACGTACAATATACACTGAATAGAGACTATCTGGAATATTATTAGCCATGGATCCCACTGGCTGTATCGAAATGAGCCACTCAATTTCTTCATGGTTTAATAATCAATTCGGAGTGCATACTTTGGAGTCATTTTCGAAACTATGATGAAGAAAGAACCTGTTGAAAACTTTGGGCAGCAACAGAATTGCTAGGTGGAAATTGGTTATTATGACTTCATTTTCCACTTGGGCCTTCCTCAAACTCTTCTCTGGTCATTATTTGTGGGCCAACAGATTGAATTTAATACCTGAAAAACTAGCCCCGATTACTCATCAAAATAACATACCATATATCACCACAACTTTGTGACATGCACAACACATACATAGACATGATAGCATGATAATATGGACTGGCCGTGACGTCACTTTTATATATATTCCACCTGCGGATCACACAATGTTTTGGCCACTGCGTCACAGCACCATGTGACAAATTAAATCAAATAATTTTCACAATGGAAATATGCATATCATAAAACATCGTGAGGTATGAGTGATGTAATGCCAAAATGTGTAGTTTTTTATCTCTTTTTAGTTGTTGGAGTCGATGTTCTCTTTTTGATGACTAGTCCATATTATGATGCCACTGCAACATAAGACAGCTCTTGTATTAAATGTTAATTGTCAAGTAGGAAATTGACAGAGAATTATGTTAGAACCTGTTCCGAAATGGAGACAACAAAAGGTAAATTGCTTATATGAAAAATGAAACATAAGTGATACCATTTCTGAAATCGGCTAATTGATAGTGATATTTATCAAAGTTTGTCGATCATGTTTTGCTTACTAGTGATGCTGCACAACGGTACATTTGGAATATTTCTTATTTGTCACTAACTTGAGAACCACATTTGTGAAAAATAATTTTTTTTTGTGTTTTTTCATCAGAATCCGAAAAAATTCGATTTTGAGAGCATATTCAAATAATGACAGTTTTATAAATCTTTTGTTATTTTTGCTGAATTTATGAAAACTATAAAACTTCGAGTGGAAAAAAAAAACGAAAAATACATTTGAAAAATATTAGTTCATTTGTGAGAAAGGAAATATCATTAAAGTTTATTTTTTGAAAATGAAACATTTATTTTCATCTTCATCTTACTCTTACTCTCGTTCACTCTTACTCATTGTGGAATGTTCATTTTCGCAAAAAAATAATAATATTTCTGTAACAATATTTATATCTTCATGAATAAGAATACGAAATGAAACCCCATTTTCACGAAACCGCCTCTGATTATTTACTCATTGGTTAGTTTAAGGAAATGAGAGAGATGAAGATTTTTTGTTTACTGTTATCTAAGAACAGTTTATCCCCGTTAGGATTTCTTCATCTACTATGTGGACTCGAGCTGACTCAATGAAAGTAGGATACCTTACAGAAGATGCAGCACAGATCAACCCCCGAGCCTTATTTTCAAATAAGTGAACCAGGATGGATAGAACCATCATGGTGTAATCACTTGAACGTCTGCCTATGTAAAATATTTTGATGAAAACAGTCGACCTACTGGACTCAACAATCCAATTTTTCTTTCGATGTGAGAATTCTCCTGATTTGAAGGTAAGGATGGGGACATATCCCTTTGATATCATTCCGTGACCGACCTTCACCATGGCACCGTATAGAAGTAAACTCCTTCTAATCTATACGGTGACCATGGTTACTGTGGGTAGGTTCTTCCACTGTTCTATAATTATACTACAGAACACCTTCTCTTAGCCGACATTTTATAAAAACACTAGCGTCCTCATTGCTTTCTCGTTCCATGCTTGAATTAAATTTGAATTTAGTTTCACATGAAATTAGTTACACGTTATTAAATTTCTGAGAGTACTGTATTTTCTTGGTTGAAAAATAATTCAAATAGAAATGGATGATGAAAGCAGATTATCAGCTGATGAATATGAAAAACAATATTTTGGGTTTAGTTCTACCGAACTGATTGAAGACTGTAATTCAAATATCCTGAAATATTTTTCTCATTACTTGCTCCTACTTATTTTTTTTTCAGATAGGGAACAAGTAATCGTAGTTATCCAAAGAACTATATCGGATATTTTTACCACTATTTCAGAGCTAGGAAAATCGGAACCTGCCAAAGAAACTCTTTCACTGAGAATTCAAGACTTGTATGATGCTTTCCGGGAGAGTGCTAAAAGCCCCTTGGAACAGTTTGAAGTATATGCTTACTTTCATTATTTGGGTCTGTTGAATCACCATCTCTGTTTTCAGAATGAAGTAAGGAAGATATTTGCGATACCAAAGAATGTTCTTCTTGATGAAGATAAAATACGAAGTAATGCGTATTCAGACGAAGATGTGGATATGTTGAAGAAAGAGATTGCTGACTTGAAGATAGAGATGATACAGGTAACAACGGAATTTATTATAAGTTTCAACACTTTTTTTTTATATGAGTGTATGAAAAATATCAGGTATTTCAAAACAAACCCCTGTAATGAACAATTACAATACCTTAAAAGATAGTAATTATACTTGTTTTTCAGGAGAGAGTTTTTTTAGCGAAATGCAAGCAAATGAAGGAAATTATTGATTCTAGAATTTCTCCCATTTATGAGAAAGTTAATGGCTTGATTTCAACTGCCAAAGTGGTATCCAAAAACATTGACGAGTGTAAAGAAGGTAAACCACAGAAATTGATAGAAACCCACAAAAAGTACGTTCATCATTACTTCAGTCATGATGGGAACTATGATGAGTATTTTCAAAAACTGAGTATCAAATTTTTAGTGAAAAACTAGCAAATAGAACAAAATTTGTTGAAGAATATATGTTGAGAGAATAAAAGTACCGATATGTTTATTTTGAAGCCATATAATGTGATGTAAGTGTAACTATAGGTGATAATGTATGAAGGAAAGTTTGTGTATTTTGTCAGTGAAATGACTTTCAAGAAAATGATTTTTATATGCAAACTTAGTTTGTATTAAGTGTACAACTGCTCAATAGCGCTATACATTTTTTTTGTTCTACATTTCAGGTAACAAAACATAAATATATGAATTATTCATCAAACAAATTTTGCTTAAATGAAAATTTACTTTCACAACTAGATTTCAATTATTCATGTTCAGAAAATTGACTATTCTTGTACTAGAATTGTAAACCCTTTTCATCTCCTCTCAAGGCGTGTTGAGCGCCTCTAGATTTTTCTGGTCTTCAAAATCTGATATATATGGTGTGTTCTTTGAAACGAGTTTTATTGGTTCACACAGTCTGTCACAGTCCCAACATTTACTTAAGTGAGCAGCAAGAAGTTTTGAAGGCTACTTTTATGTTCAACTTGAAATAAACATTCTAAACCAGTAGTGTATCTTGGTTCGTACCAAAGCACAATAAACTTGTAATCTGTCTTTTTGAAATCTGGAAGATGCTCCCTAAATTTACGTGTCGTAATTAACTTGTCTACAATATTTGAAGAATACCTGTTGCTTTCAGTTATGTCCCTGGTAACATTCTTCTCAATATCATACCTTTCTTTACTCTAGGGAAACTAACAAGTCTATGGAGAAGAAATTTTAGCCCTGCCATTTTGTGTTGTTGATAACGCTGTGCGCTATTAGGAACGTATGGTACTGGTATTCTTTCTGTAGTTATGAAATTCTAGACCCTGGTTACTTCTATTCACTAAGACATCTAAGAATGTTGTTTTTGATTTCAAGTATAAACTTAATAATTGGGGTTTTGTTAAGAGTTTGAACATTCTAAGTCTGAACATGTACATGACATTAATAATTACAGAATAAAAACAATTTCTAGAAGTAATTTTTAATTTTGAGATTGATATTTTGAGTCAAGTCTTGGTTTTTGTATGCTTGTATAGAATATACAGAAACAAGGCATCAATATTATTTTGGACTTTCTGAAAAGTGATTAACAATCTATATGAAAGTAGCTCCAGCTACAATTCTGATGCCATTTTTCTTTAAGCAAAGAGATCTGATCAGCTAATGAAAAATATTCCATATCGGTTTGTTTCCCTAGAAACATACATATTAGAAGAGAAATATTGAATTAAAATAAATCTTTATGGTGTAATATTGAAAATATAGGAAACACATTGAAATAAGAGATTTTGAATTTCAACTATATAGTAGTTTCATTTCAGTATGATAGATGGACTGTTTTTTTCCACATTTCTCTTACTTTAGGTTATCAAATTATTAGTGAACCTGGTCAAATGTCTACATTGGTTGCAAATGATTTCGAAATTTAAACATATTAGTTGCTTTTTTGTAGACAAGGTGAAATGAATAGTTTGTTATTATGCCACAAGCAGGACTTCTGGAAACTTACAAACTGCATGTTAAAATACAACAATCGATTCTAGATACAAACAGAAAACAAACATTGGAGTTTGTCTGGTATTGAAAAGAAATAAATTTACACAATAACGATCCACTGTGAGTGTTCAGAAAAGTGCTGAGAAAAAACTTTTCTGAATATCAATAGATTTATGAAGCATAATGGGGAATGTTCCTCCTGACGAAAATCAAGTAGTTTTCATAAAGGAGCTCTAAAACAACGCATTTTAAACTTATCATTTCAACCTTTTTCTTTGAAAAATTATTTAAATACCTAAAAAAGAAGAATGAAATAATGCATTCAACATTTAAAGGGATTCGTTTCTATTTCACCATTTGGCATAATCAGTTATAGCTAATAAAGGACAATGAATCTGTTACCTGTATGAGTCAAACAAAGATGACATATTTTAGAGGCGCGCTGTTCTGTTTACTTATTCTGAGTCATTCTGTGACATATGACATGTTGTGCACCTAACCTATCTTCCTCTATATAAATAAATAACAAAACAACTGTTGTTTATGTGGCTTGTGGAGGTGGTATTGAACTATAATTTATATTTTGACTAAATTGTTGATTTATAAAGATAATTTTTCTTTTTTAAAGTAGAATATCTAGGTATGTATAAATTATTTCAATTTGAAATAGGTGCTGTTGCCAATATGTGAATTAGAAACAAAACCCAACATTTGAAACATAAATTTGAATACTTTTCAAAGTGAATTTGAAAAACTCATGAATTGAACTCAACTTTATTTTGTTCAAACTTGCATTTGCTGTAATAACCCAAATTGAGGAACATTCCCCATTGACAATATTACGAGATTCAAATTCATACCTTTTTTCTCTACTCTCACTTTTCAAATTTGTTGGTTGCTTTTCAAAATATTAAGAACCGCATTCACAAAATGTGATTGTAATACACTGCAGTGACTTGAGTAAGTTTGAAACTTGTTACAAATGATTTGTGGAAGAATATTTTATGAAATTCATTTACAAGAAGGTAAAAATGAGATTCTATTGTAAAAATAAAAATTTAATAAACAATATTTACAACTAATCTGACTCAATTTCCAACTCTTCCTCTCCTTCTTCAGTTTCCAACTGTTTATCCCAATCTTTCATTTTTGCCCCCATCATGAAATCCTCCCTGAGAACGCTCCAAGTTGGTTCCTTCTCAGATTTGGTCTCTTTTTTAGACGTTACCAGTGATTCGTCAATATTTTGCGATTTTTCTCCCATGAGCACATCTAGAAATGCTCGCTTGTCAATGTTTTTCATCACTTTTTCTTTCCTTACTTCCAAGGGACCGGCCTCCTTGAGTTTTTGGTTGATGTCTTTCTGTTGCATATTCACTATGTTGAAAAAGTGAACAACACCTTTTGTTGCTATCCTCTGCAATAATCTTTCTCTGTCTTTTTCTAAAATGTTGGGCTTCACTCGAATTTTGGGTAACTCTTTTTTCTACAAAATGAATCGCATATTGTTAATTATAATACTGGTACATATTCGAATTTGAATAAAATTTAATTAGACTGCAGATCACAAATCTTTTCCATACAAATGATTTTCTTTTCCATAATTGTCTATGAAACTAGATAAAGTAACGTTTACATGTTGAAGAATGAGAAAGCTGTAAAAAAATGGATGATCTTTTTATCTTCTGAGCAAAGCTAAGTAAAATTTGGCAATATCATCATCATTTCTTGACTTTTACTTCACAAATATTGCCAACTAATGAAGACTCCAGTGAAGTAACAAAATCATTTTACCGTATATATACACCTAGCGTTACAAGTATTATTACAGACTACTGTAATTTTTAAAAGATCCCAATGAACTACTAAAAAGTTTTATTATCTCACCAATAGTTTTGGCAAATTCTGATCATCGACTTATTCTGTCTGTAATTAGTAATATGAAAGAGAATCAACCATATTCACATAAAAATGATTCCACCAAGTTCGGTACATATCAGAAATACACGATGGACTGTGGCTGCTCATCGTTATGAGGTTCAACTCTGTACACCTCGAACTCCACTGTTTAAGAACTCTTAATATTAGATGTTAAAAATCAGTGCTGCCAATAACAAAATTCCTGATCTATGCACAAGCATTTTTATGTGAATAGTTCCCCCCATGTAAGTCCTCTAATCTGAAAGCATAATATATTCTCAAAAATGTATGTGATATTTTTTCAAGGATGTCAATATAAATATTTTGATTTGGGTTCCAAGAATTGATCTTACAAAAGAAAAATATAATGTTTTGAAAGCATCACCAGAGAGGTCAGTCCTAACAAAACTCGACGTTTTCAGTGCACGGAAGGAGATGTCATGTAAGTGATGATTGAACATCAATTAATTGGAAAAAATGATACCTAGGTCCTTTATTACAACTAAGCTCACGAACTTGGTACTCCGATCATTTGTTCGTAATTGAATGGATCACTGGGCATAATAAATCTGATCTTGTGACATTTATTAATTTTAAGTTCAACATTGATTTCATAAATTTGTGAAATAGAACTTTCTCATTCTGTAAAAACATGAAATGGGTGCAATTTTTTATACAATTCCAATACTGAAATGGCTATTACCATCATTTTTAAGAATAGGAATCTAGGTGCTTCTTTTTATTCCTTCCTAATCGATAGAATTTTCGGAATGGGGTAGTGGAGAAATTCAAATCAAAGACTATTTTTTGAAATGTGTGTCCAAATTGTTAATACTGTAGATTTTATCCTTGACGTTTCTTTGATGTGACTAATTCTGCTTATTTTACCGATATCAGTTGACACTACAAAAACTTTTCTTTCATTACCCAGAAACAAAGAAGGTCCTGAAATAGATTTTTTACAGTTTCGGCTATTGAGTGGCCATATCTCTCCAAAAACGGATTGAAGTGCCATATATTGATTAGTGATCAAGAAACATAAGTATGTGGGAAAATTGACACTATAGTCATTAAAATATTTACCATTACCTATAAAGAAAAACATAATACACAAGATGACAAACCTTTTTTCTAGGTGGTTCTGCAGATACAGTGTTATCTTCTACTGTTTCTTTTTTTACTTCACCGTCAGGTGTTTGAATCTCGAATCCCGCAGGTTGGACTTTTACTTTCTTCAGATCAGTCAATTTTTTTGCCTTAGACAAAACTGGGGTTTTTCCTTTCGTTTTCGTTTTCAAAACTTTCGATATAGCATTTGCCCATCCAGCGTTCCCAACTCCATTTGTGTTGTCATCAGATTCTTCTGAGGAATTCTGGGGTATTTCGTTCTCTTCCGTGTTAGAATCTTCATTTGATTGGGAACTTTCATTTTCGGAATCTAAGTATCGATAAAAAGAAAATCTGTTAGCTTATAATTCTAAAAGACACTGCAGAATATTGCTCAAATATTATTTACCTGATGATTCAGATTGGACGATAACTTTTGCAGCTGTCATGATTGCAATACGATGTTGAATAGTCTTATTATTTCATAATTTTCGAAGACAGAAGTAATAAAAAAGACTAATAGCTGGTTATATCAACAATAGATGTTAATTTTTGGAGGTTAGCTTCAGTTTGTTGAAGGTTATCTTCAGTTTGTTACAGGTTGTCTTCTTCTCTTTGTGAGGATAGAATTGGCCAAGTTCCTTGATTCTTTGTGTCACTGCAAAATAGTAAACTGTACTTAATGGCGTCACGTGAAATTCTTGTAGAAATTAAATGCAAGTTACTGATAGTATTTTTTCTGTGAACAACGAATATTCAAAATAGAATAACTTATTGGGTTGAACCAGAAGTTATCAAGTCATTGGGAGGAAAAATGCCGACAAAACAATTCGACAACCTTCCTGAAATAATTTCATTATAGTTTGACACTTTATTACATTTTGATGTTGAAACATTTTTTGACAAACTATTTTATATGGGGAAGGGGTCCGAGTGATCACATCAGGGATATTGTATGTATCTTGATAGAAGTAAAACACCATGCAAAGTTGTTGCTAAGCAACGGTTTTGAAATGTTGATGTAAACATAACCTCTAAATCGTAGTTTATGTTCGAACATGAATAACTATAAATTATTAGGTCGTGCCGGTGAAGGTGCTCATGGATTTGTTTTCAAAGGCAAAGACCTGAGAAATGAATCGATCGTAGCGTTGAAAAAGATTACGGTTAACCCAAATTTGGGTATCCCAAAAAGTGTAATGAGAGAAATATGTGCCTTGCGGGTACTGAAATACAAAAATGTAAGTAAACTTTCATTTCAGAATGCTGCTGAATCGATTACAAAAATTACAAGAATTAAATCAGTTCTCTTGGACTTGCATGATTCGATTTTTTGTAGATTGTGAAACTATTTGAAGTTAGCTGTGTTGGAAGCTCTGTTGTTCTAGTCATGGAGTATTTGCCTTGGTCTTTAGCCGATCTGCTGAAAACTCATGAAATCAATCTGAGTCTCGCCCAAATCAAAAGTTACACTAGAATGGTATTGAATGGAGTAAACTTCATGCACCACAATCATATCATGCACAGGGTAATTAATATATTTCGTGTTCCGTGTTCTTGAGATATATTGTTTCTAGAGTAACTATTATTGGTTTTTTCCAATTTCTCTTTAATGTTTTAATAACCCAACCAAAGGTTACTTTTAGGAGAAGTATTTTTGACAATATAATTGAAATAAACTAAACTGAAAACATTTAATGGACGAATGAACTAACATTTCAACCAATACACCAAAGTTCAAAATGACCTTTGATTGCTCATAAATGAAATCGCTGAATGAAACATTACTTATTAAGTTGGAATATTTGTGTATTTTGAGTCTTGGAGATCTTATAGTATTCTCGTGCGCCACCTGTCGAAATTTTGATAATTCATTGCTTTGAGAAATTTTGGACAGGCATATAAATCTCAAAGGTCCAATAATAATTAAAAGTTGTGTCTATTCTGGAAGAAAAACTAATTCGCTCAGCACATCACTTTTTATCGTCGCCATTTTGGAATAGTTTTGTATCCTCATCCGTTGAGTTCTTTCACCAAAATACTTCTTGAAATACAGTTTCCTATTGTATCGATACCATAGTATATTTAAACTTTGCATATAGACTATCTGTTATTCAAAGATTTAAATATCGAATATACTACATGGGCTGAAAAGTTAGTAGGTTACCACACAGATGGCGATACTAGTATAAAATCCATGTGATTTTTAGATGACCTAACCCCCAAAAGATAACCCCAAAAAATAGAAATTTTTGAGTGAGGAAATTTTTGTCAGCTTGAAGAAAATGAATAAAAATGAATTTCGTGTGGCGAAAAAAAATACTGTAGATGCATAGGCTTGCTTGGCTCGATAAACATTATTCGTACTTTGCTCAAGGAAAATCAACCGATGAGAAGTGGTTGATGACTCCCATCATTTCACACTAGGATCAAAACGATCGTTATCTGAATGGACTGCACGCGGTGAGCCGACCCCAAAGCGTGCAAAGAAGCACGCTGGCAAGGTTGTGGTATCAGTATTTTGGAATGCACATGATATAATATTAATAGACTATTTTAAAAAGGAAAAAACATCAACAGCCACTATTATCGCAGAAAAAGTGCCCCATTTGAAAAAAAGTGCTGTTTCACCAAGCACTGTGTCACATATCAATGAAAACAATAGTAAAATTGCATGAATCGGTATTTGATTGCTTTCTCATCCACCATATTCTCCAGTATTGGTCTCCAGTGATTTTTTTCTGCTCTCAGACCTCAAGAGAATGTCTTCTGGAAAGAAATTTCGCGCCGATGAACAGGTAATGGTTGAAACTGAGGCCAATTTTGAGGCTAAAGACAAATCGTACTATTGTATTGCCCTCGAAGACAACTATATTGAATAATAAAATCAAATTTTATCAAAAATTCTTTTTCTATGTTAGCTTACGAACTTTTCAGCCTTATTGTCATATCATAATTCCTATTTTCAGGACTTGAAACCGGCTAATTTGCTGATAAGTCGGAAAGGTATTCTAAAAATTGCAGATTTTGGACTTGCCAGAATCTACGATATGGACAAATCTAGACTTTATTCACATCAAGTAGCTACCAGGTGGTATAGAGCACCTGAACTTCTTTATGGGTCAAGATCTTATACTCTTTCAGTAGATATATGGTCAGTGGGATGTATAATTGCCGAAATGATCAGCAGACAACCTCTATTTCCGGTAATTCTTTCAATTATGAATGCTGTTGATGAACATTCAACTTGGATATTCATTCCAGGGAGAAACAGACATTGAACAATTAGCAATCGTTCTGAGTACTCTGGGCACCCCTAATGAAAGAGTCTGGCCAGGGCTCACTCAGTTGCCAGATTATAATAAGATAGCATTTTCACCAAGTGTTCCTAAAAGTTGGAGCATAATTCTGCCAATGGCTGATGATGCCACATTACAGCTCATCAGTAAAATGCTGATTTATGATTATTCCCGAATTAACCAGGTATTCGTCTGAAATTTCATTATTCACACTCATAATCCAAACTCTATTGCGTTTGAAACAGAATATCAGCTTTGTGTAATCATTCAAAACAAGTATATATTGTTATAAACCATGCCCTAAGGAAAATAACGCCGGCCGCCACTGGTAGCCATAAACCAATTGTGGCGTGGCTAAGGGCTATCCCACGTTTCGCGGTTCTTCGATAATCGCATCCGTTCTAGACGTGCCGAGAATAATGCTACCGGTTTCGATGGAATTCCGAAGAATTTTCTACAGCCTTCGATTGCCAAATATAAACGCTTCCACGCGCCTATCGATACAGTCAAGTTTCGCGGACAGTGCGGTGCAAAGCGATCTTATAAGGCGATGGAAATTTGAATAATGGTTGAAGTTATAGTTAAAGTGTTTTGTTATAATAATAGTGAAATAAAGTTTAGTTTGATTATTGTTCAGTGTAGTCAATTATTAGTAAACCCACGAGGAAAAGCCTAACATATAAAAAAAATAAATTCACTAAAAATTTGAAGATAATTATAATCGATACAGCCTCTCGAATTCTGATATCAAGCAATAGCAGTAATAAATATTATTTCTCAAATACAAATCAAAATCAGTGTTCTCTCTCTAGTCGTAGAGAGAAATATATTTCAAAATGAAATTTCGAAACATTCACCTTTTCCGACGTTTCTACACTATATAATCTGGTTAATGCCTGCCGGAAAACAACTACTTTCCCTGATTTATACCATTGGACATTGCATTATATCCGACATTTATGCACGTTTTGTTGCTATTAATCTTTGTTGGTTCCAATGTATACCTTCCCACAAGTGCACGGGATATGATATACCCCTGCTGCTGATAGTACGTCTCTTTTGTCTCCAGCCGATCTGAGGCTTTGTTGTATCTTCTTGTTGAGTTTCTGATTGGTTGATAATATGTTTATTGTTTAAGAATAAAATTCTTGTTACAAAGACAATGTCAAATAAATATTAATATAAACATGAAGTATAAATGTATAAAATGTAAATTATTAAAATAAAATATAAACTATATACACACACATATGCAAAGGTTACATGACAAGAACTAGGACAACGAATAAAAATATGTTTTTCACACACAGCACAATCGGAATTTCCACACATTCTAAATTACAGGGCATCATTAAAATATTCTTGTAGGTAATAGGCTTTATCACTTGATAGTTTTGTACATTTCTTTCTAAATATGATAAAAGGAGTCTCTTTGATTTCATTGGGAAGTAATCAGTCCAAAGGGTAAGGTAGCCAGTCTCCAACCTGTCTAAATTCAAGATGACCTTCATTAGGAAGTTTATTGTATATCCTGATTCCATTATATATCAACGGGTCTTGAACCAAACATGTTTTTGGGATTGGTAGATTCAGTTCATTTGACTGCCTTGTGTGGTATGTGGCTGTAGCTGTAGATTCATAGTTCTCCCTATTTTTATGTATAATCGATACGGTTTCCAATATAAATATTGAAATAACCATAAGGATTCTATGTTCTCGAAAAAGAGGTTTACATGAATCCCGCCATTTCGCTTTACATAATTAATAGCCCTTTTCTGTAAGACCAAAACCGACTGCATAAGTTGTTTACTGCAAACACCCCAAAAGGGTATACCATACCTTAGATGAGAGTCTATTACACTAGTCTAGTACACTACTTTCGCTGCTGCAAACCCCAGTTCCTTTGAGATGTTTCTCAGTGCAAAACATCGTGAACTCAATTTTTTGTTGATGTGTGCAATATGCTGAACATTTTTAATTTTCATCTAAATAAATTCACAATAATTTCAAAGTGAACTTATTTTTTATTGTGTTATTGTCTAGGGGGATATCAGGTATATTACACTTGAATGCTAATATGTTTGTTTTGCTGGTATTCAATGATAACAGATTCTGGTCAAACTAATTCTTCACTTTTTTCATGTTTTGACACATTTTGTTATGTAATCTGGTTTTGTCCTTGCCATGCCACAATAATGTGGCATTAATATATAACAGAAACAGTATAGGACCTAACACAGAGCCTTGAGGTACTCCACAATTTATCTCTCCAACGAGTTCTAACAAATTGTTTTCTATCAGTATAGGTATGAACTAATCCAAATATCACTGTTGTCCCTAAAACCATAATATCTTGTGAGTTTCCGAAGCAATATGCTATGATTGACACAGTTAAAAGCTTTGGATAAGTCACAAAGCACTGCTGCAGTGGCTTCCCCACTGTTGATTTCATTATACACCAATTGCAATACTGTTGATANACAATGAATTCAAAATAAGCGCTCTCACATAATTACGCTAAATTGGCTATCCCTGCTCTCAAAAAACTTAACAAGATCGGACCAATATTTACAAAAAACATCCCTAAGCAACAAGAAGGCGCAGAATAGCCGTTCTCACGTCAAAACCCAACTAATTCTTTCATTTCATATTTGAATTCTTCTGTCAACGTTTTCTCCTTATTTTTTGTTTTAAGAGATAATAAACATAAACTAAACTTTAATGATTTTGTAGGCACTGCAACAAAAGTTTTTCAGAGAAAAACCATTTCCATGTAAACTATCTGAAATGCCAAGACTGGAAGAAGCAAAAATTGAAGATTCCTCCTGGGATTTTCGCGAATTTGAAGAGTTTTTTGGCCGAATCAATTGCTGAACTCCAAAACAATCCAGAAAGAAATCAGTTACGAAGTTCAGAAAATAATAACCCATTGATACCAAAGAGAAGTTGATCTTTTGTAGGAGTTGAAGAATAAAAAAAGCTGAAAGTTACTCAATGTTTTTTATTTAAAAATAACCCATACAACGGTCGGCTCTAACAAGATATAAATCATTTCATATTTTAGGGCAGCAATACCTCAGTGACAACATATTTATCAATGCGTCACCTAGTAGAATATTATAGATCACCATACCGGACAAATTTATGTGAGTTCTCATTCAGTTTGCCGAAAAATTAAAAGGGCGCCAAAAATAATTGAGGTTGTTTTTAAAATAATATATATACACCCAGTAAACAGCTCTTTTTTTCAAAATATATATCTCATAATACTGATTTCAATTCATTGTATAAAAATCAATAAAAAAAACTGATATCTTCAAAAGTTTGCGACTCGTGGGAATGGTTTGCCCGGTATGGGTGAAAATTAAAAAATAATATTGATATTACGAAACATGATAAATCATAAACTAAGCCATCAATGAAGCTTTGGTACACGGTCTAGTGTTCATTATTGCACTTTCCGTAAACCATACAGGGATAGGCGCAACAATAAAGATAATACTTAGTGGGGATATTAGTAGATCGTCTTGACAAACAGGAGGGCTTTTGAGTTGATTGTTCCAAAACTAGGATGAACTCCAAAAAATCATTTACTACCTCCCAGAAACCTAATAATCACCGTAAAATCAACTCTGACTATTATATTCCTTTTATTTCATGGCAATTGGTTATACCTCCTGCCCGTCAGTTGAATAGTAGTTCATTTCGTAGTTATTGGCATTAAATGATTTTCAAGTGTCAAGAACAATACTTTTTTTAAATAAAATATTTATAATATTAGCTATAAAGACAATTATAGATAATTCATCTTGATATTTACAATTCTTGTGTTGAAACACATTTTTTTATTAGGACAGTTTGAATAATGATTCAAAAGAGTGTGTTGCTGTTCTGGAAAAACCTTTTTTGGCTCTTTACTACATAGACCATTTTTACACGAGCATATAACATCCATTATTATAACAGCAACTGGGGTTCCAACATTCCCTATTTAGAAAGAATTTATACAGATCAAGCGTAAAACTACACCTCTGTATGAAACCTGCCTGTCAATGAGCTGTCAGTTAGTATATCTACAGTGCTCAAAAACTTACACTTCAATGTTCTGAAACGTGTTTGATTACATATGGCAGTTTTCAAATAGGCAGTATTTGTTATAAGTTCAACTGAATCGGAAAATATTCGATCAATCTTAATGTTTTCCTGCTTAATTTCATCCAACATTTGCTTTTTTATGTCGAGTCAAACAGGCATAGGGTATCTTCTGTTTATTATGCATTACTTTAAAACATTTTTTTAATCTCACTAAATTATTATACCTTTAAGGTGCCGTGTAAACGTGGTCATAATATATAAAGAATAAAATAATGAAATTGAAACCTCATTCTGGAAAACTCTACACAACACCACAAGTAATAGTAAGCCTTCGATAAATTGATCACAAAATTCAAGTAAACTACATTGCTAAATTAGTTATTAAAGGAGTGTTTATATTTGGTTCCAAAACTTAGAAACCAATTTGCCAGAAAAGAAAAATTAATCTGGAATCTGTGCCCTTGTAGTGTTTCTCAGAGATCTCCTTTTACACAAAATTTATATTTTATCATATTTCACAGACGTTGGAATATGGGTGTTCATACATTGCGAGTTCTTCAAAAATTGATGTTTCGCCATCATCTATGATGGCATTCATCAATACTTGTTATTGCTTTTGCCACAAAGGGGAGTTAATGATCTACTGAAATAAGTTATTTCGATGACGACCCTACTGAACAGTGAACTACTGTGGTATCCAAAAAATATTACCAGAAAGGTGAAAGATTGAGATGAAGTTAATGGTCTCACTGTATTTCGTGCCATTTTTTGATTCTATGAGTTTGTTTATATCGACAGCTTTGGTGTCCTTGAAAAATCGACTGAAACTATTATAATTTTAATCCGTCTTTGAACTGTAGTTGTTTTGGAAAACCTTTCTTCCAGTGTATATCTGAAAGAAAGTTACCCATTTCCCCAAAGAGTTTTCAACTATCTCTCAGTAATTTTTTTCATATTTTAGCAACAAAGTAGAAATCCACAAAAGGTTTTTCAAAACATTATTATTTATAAAAAAATACTTTTTTGATGTGCCAAAGGGTTAGAAGAAGCTACAGAGATATAGAATTAATTAAATTGCTTTACAGTAAAAAATGAACTCCAATGTTAATATAACTTTTATCTAACTTAATCTACTTTAAAAAAAGATACATCAACGAAAGAGCTGAATTTTAGAGCAACTCTAACAAAAACTAATCGAAATAGGCCAAACTTCTTTTTTCTTTGTTAAAGACAATCAAGCACCTATCACGTAAAGGACATACCGAATAGAAGACATTAATAAAAAACAACAGATTATTGAAAAAATAATAATAAAATAGTAGATAGTATAAAAAGCTCACCGCAAAATTGCAATAGAGAAGGAAACGATGATTCGGTGTGACAATGAATTCAAAATAAGCGCTCTCACATAATTACGCTAAATTGGCTATCCCTGCTCTCAAAAAACTTAACAAGATCGGACCAATATTTACAAAAAACATCCCTAAGCAACAAGAAGGCGCAGAATAGCCGTTCTCACGTCAAAACCCATTAAAAGTGAAACTCATTCATTATTCTGATGAATATTCTTCTCTAGGACTCTTCAAAACAGTGTTTTTTGATGATTAGTGTTTCTATAGAAGTTGATAAGAAGCTAAAAGCATACAAACGTTCCTAAAACATGGTAGTTCGACACCAACTGTTGTTTCAATTATTTTTACTTTCCTGTGCAAAATTCAGAGACAACTTTGACTTCCAATGTATGTTATGTAGTATATTATATTGGGAGAGGTATTCCAGCATGGAAAAACAGATAATTTATGTAAAAGAGATATTTTTCAAACATATTTTTAGTGCTTATTTGCAGTTAATTCAAGATAAGAGTTATTAGCACAAAAAAAGAGACTGAGGCATTGATGATGAGTATAATCTACTATGAATGAGATTTTTGGTTGTCTGATCATAAAGGCGTACACCTTGAAAATAGCAAGAAAGAGGAAAGTATTTTGGACAGATATAAAGGTGATTTTTCGGAAAGTAAAGAGACATATCCAGCTTTGAATGTAACCACCAAGTGTAATCGAAGACTAAAACTGCCTTTACTAGTTCCATTAAAAAAGCAATAATATAGAAAACTTTTTTTTGTAACTGAAAGGTTCAAAAATTTGAAATAATACTTCAAAACTATTGTTTGAAAAAACAAAAAACATTATTGAACGCAGGTCTGACAAATTGGTGCAACTACCAGTGTCAAACAAATTTGCATGACTACTTTCAATCAGTGTCATATTAGTGAAAATCCATAAATCATAACAACCTGGACTATTTCCTTTGCCGTTTGAGCCTCGTTCGTTACCACTACTGACTCTTTGATTTCCTTCGTGCTAACCAGCTGGACATTGCCTTCCTCGTAGTAGTGTACCTGCACCTTCAACACACCTCTAACTTCTGCCACGGATCCTCCATTCAGAGAGATCGACCACTGCGACCTCCACCTGCCGTTCCAGAAGTTCTTTGGCTGGAACTGGTGGTCTTCGATGCAAACTGTCAAGACCACGTTGCCCCCTTGGTTCCTGCCCACCACACTGCACACCCCGTCCCGGTAATGATTCCTGGTGTACTGGATGAACTCAGCGTCGAGAGCGGAGCGCCAGGGCTCCGCCGCTGGATCCGGGGTGTACGTCTGGTAGTCGGAGGCCTCTTTTCGCAGGTGGTCATACTTAAAGCTCTGCCTGCTTCGCGGGTCGAAAAATCTGTTGTTTCCCTGATCGTTGTATTCGGTGATGAGCACTAAGTTATCGGAGTTTTCTATTTTCACTGGGGTCAGTTGGTCTTTGTTGTACTGGGCGAATGCCCCGCTGGCGCCCTCCTTTAGTAGGTCGTCATTATTGAGGAGTTTTCGTACGTCGTTAAAGACTTCATTAAATTCGCCAGGCGGCGAATGGAGAATGAAATCCGATACTATTTTAACTTTTTCTTGGTCTGTGATAACATCTTCACCGTCGGACGCCATGTTTAGGTTGGGTTATTTGCTTGTCACTTTTTGGTTGGTGATGTCACGAAAGTTTCATCACAGAATTTTGAATGTATACCGATTTGGCAATGACGCGGGACACAAGTGAAGTGAAGCAATGAACTTGTAACTTCGTGATTCACAGTTGTAATTCACGACCAACGCCCATGTGAACTTGCCGGAATTCATTAGGAATATATAAACTTCATAATGCATTTTCAAAGGAATAAAATCTTGCCTGTAGTCTCATCTATTCATCCTTGATGCATCCTTTCAACTAAACGTCAATAGTGCATTATAAATTCATTTTTACAATTTTTGATAGAATACAATCTAGAAATACCAAATGTTCAAACATCTCATACAAATATGTATTCTTCTATTAAAAAATATAAAATGAAAAAAATGAGAATTTAAACTCATGACTGCTAAGATGCTAATTTGACTACCAAAGGTATATACTGACTGAAAATTTCTATTAGCTTTTGACGTGCAATGTGTGTTAATAGGTAACTCTACATTGTATTCATTCTTGTCTTTTCTTTATCAACTGTGATAATGTAAGGCAAAACCTGCCCCTTTGGTTGCAAATATTCTAACAATAATTATCGTCAGTATCATTGAATCATCGGGTAACATGAAATGTAAGAACTCAAAAATAACTTTGAATTCACATGGAAGAAATAAGATGTTTTCTGCAATAAAAAAAATATTTCATGAAGCTTTTTATTTACATCATAGAACACATCTCAAAACGTCAGTGTCAATGGTGTCTGCAATCTGCCAAACTCAGCAGTTTACAATGTATTTTATGATGTAGAAGTCGTAAATGCAAATTGAAAATAAATTGTTCTTGATGGATTTTCAACTCGAAAGTGAGCAAATGTGCGGCATTCAATGGCTATTTTCGAAAGACAGACACCCAATAAAGTTTTACTAGACGACACTGAGCCTATAAAATGTACGATTGAAAATTGGAAAAACGTCAATGGACACACAGTATGTTTATGCGGGTTTTCATCGATAATTGGATAATTATACATAATTTCCAGGAATTCATCGTGAGAGTTTACAGAGGACCATTTTCGGACCAGACTTGGAAAATCAGTAAAAGATACAATGACTTCTTCAAATTGCATAATGCTCTGCAAAATTCAGGAATTCCCATCGAGTTTCCTCCTAAGAAACTTATTGGTAATATGGACCCACATTTTATTAGTGAGAGACAGCAGGGTTTGCAGGTACGTTTCTATTGATTACATTATTGGTGTGAATTCAAAAATATCTAGAATTATCCATTTATATAAATATATTTCATAAAACTATCACAAATTCCATTTATCATTTTTGTTTCTCACTGTTAGGAAAATTTTTGAAGATAAGACATGAAGAATAACTACATATTATAAAAGTCAGTCCAAATAATATGTAACCAAATTATAAGTCAGTCAAATCAAAATAAACAACACAATAACACAAACAGTTATAATCATCCATAAGTAATAAAAGTAACATATAAATATGAAAATATAAATGCAACTAGTATAGACCATAAAGAAGCCAACAAAATATAATCGACACACAATTTCTCAAGTATTGAAAGTAAACCAAATTTGTTTAAAATTATTCCATGATTTTGGTACTGCTGGAAATATGGTCTTGGAGACAAGTTATCTTGATTAAGTTGGCCTACAACAATTATATTTGAGTGACTGCTAAAAATTTTTTTTTTTTTGAGAAGTTCATTACATGAAAAATATTTGTATTCAAATACAAAATTCGCTATAATAACAATTCATACAATTACAATTTTTGTCATTATATTACATCATTGACTTTGTTATCCTTGATAGCCTAGAACTCCTTGAAAAGTGAATTTAAATTATTTCTATCATTATTTAATTGATACATTCAAGAAATACCGAAATTTCAATTTTGCATTAACAGTAAAGTTTCAGAAATTCTTATCGTATTTATTTTCAGAATTTGGTCTAACTGTCGAAGGCTTCCACACTTCCATTTATTGTTCTTCATGTCTCACTTTTCAGAAAATTTTCCAAGAGAGACATTCTCTGAATTAATATATTAATTATATCGGTGCAATTTTGTGATAACTTCTGACCTTTTGATTTTGTTTATACCTAATGTCTGGAGTTATTTATAAAATTTGTTTCAAATTAATTAATGATTTTGGCCTAAAAAATATGGCCTTGGAGACAAGTTTCTTGGGCAGATGAATTGATGGATATAGCCGTGTTACTATGCGGTAGGGAATTATCCTGAAAAATAAAAATTAAAACTGTCTTGTATTGTATTTGTACCTGTAGTTTCGTCCCACAAGAACTTTTTCAAACAAATACAATAAACGTTTCAAAATGTCCTGCAGTAACGTTACTTATAAATACAAGTCACATAAAAACAGGAAATTTTAATTCTCATTCTTCATTTCTTGAGTTAGTTGACTGACATAATTATCATAGCTTTATGTTACTGATTGTTTTTCAATTCAATTGAATTATCATTATTATCATTGTTCAGATTTTTATGGTGATAAGCTTGGTTTATCCCCATCATGAAAATATAAAAAAATGCTTTATTTGGTTTATTGTTTCACAGACAAGATATCGAATACTTTTGATGGATCAACATTATGTAACAAACTGCTAATTCAATATTTTTTTATGTTTTTAAAGCAGTGTTTCATCTCTCAGGAAATAAAAATAGGTTGAACTTTCAAAGGTTTGTCTCTAAGTCTGACTTAACATTTTCAGAAATATTTAGACAACGTATTCATGAATCCGATTTTGGTATCTTCTTTACCAGCTCGGTCATTTGTAGACCCAGCAAACTACTGCCAACCCTTCGGAGGTGAGTATTTATGACGATAATAATAATATGTATGTGTTTGTCTCGTTCATCTGTCCATTAACTTAGCAATTACTATGATTGAAAAATGTATTTTCCAGAGTTGGCTCTGCAGCATGTTTCTCTAGCACTTCGAGGAGAAGTGGGATGGGAAGTTGTGGGGCCCATAAACGATATTGGTTGGCGCTTGAGAAAGCATTACTACCAACTGAAATGCAAATCGATCCCAAAGGAGGAACTTTTTGGCAGCTGGACTGATTACGGTCCAGATAAACATTTAGATGACAAGGAAATGCATGCTATTTTCAAGAGTTTGGGTCAACTTCAGGTTAATAACTGTCAAAATGACTTTAATAAAAAAAAATCAAATTTTTTTTCTATTTTCAAGCACCCTTATATACATGCCATCGAACTGAGCATTTGTACCGAAATAGGTGGTTTAGTAGCCAGATTGGGGCACAAGAACGGAACTCTGAGGGACATTCTGTGTGGGGCCAAACCTCGACAATCTTTTCTTAAAAAATATGGCAACCCCAAGGGTCACAAAGGCTTACCCATAGAACAGATATCTCTCTATGGGCGACAGATATTGGAAGCTTTGAAATTTATGCACGACAAGGGATTTCCTTACGGTAATTATCCAACATGATTTGTAGGGGGATTCAGAACATATTCAAAATATTTTAAATTATATGTTGATTCCATTGAAATGTATATTTTTTGTTGCTCACATTTGTTAATAATTATATTTATTAACCAATGCTGAGACACTTGAAATTTATGGTAACTCAGGCTCATGTATTTTTAGAAAATATCCCCTGTATATGATGAAATCACATTAATAATGATTTTGAAAAGTAATGGCATGAAAAAACATATTGAACATAAAATAGATGAATATTCATTTGCGTATTCAAATTTGTTTCAAAATAAACTTTGAAGACTTTTGTGAACAATTTTGAAATGTTATAATTCACATTCATGTTGTCAATTTAGCTTGACCACACTGGATCAGGTTTTGTCATGGTTTCTTTGCCATTTGAGAGAAAATTTGTGATACATATTTGTAAGATTACATAGATAAAATAAATAATACTGCACAAAAAAATACAAGAATTGCCAGAAATTGTTTCTGTACTCCAAAATTCTCTTTGAGCTACTGGTATGATTGTTTTTTTTAATAATCTGGTTGCAATGAGAGTTTAGCTAGTTAACCTATCAGATTGTTCAATGTTTTTGATAGATTTCAAAAATATTAATTTCATTTTGGTTGTTTTTTGGTAAGTTGATGAACAGAAAAATATCACTTGCTATTTCATGTTGATAAATAATCACTATTCCTAGTTTTTCTATACGTACATAAAATTACGTGAAATTTGATATACAAGTATTGTTTGCGAATATATCACCAGAAACCGTCATAATTGATCATTAGTGGCTTCACGAAAAGATAAGGTTATCATTTTTAAGATTGGTAGAATGTCGCAATATACATAATTGTCAGGAGTTTAGATTTCATTTGAGTTTAATAAACATTTTTTGAGGTGCTTACAAGATCAGCGCAAATTTTTAGACAAACCCAAAGTTTATTTGTTACAATTATCTCTGCCTGTGTATATACACAGGGTATATACCCATAATTATTGTACATTGTAGTTCTTCCAGTTCAAATAATTTCATTGATTGCAAAAAGTTGAAATTGGGTAATGTTTTACTAATTGTAAAAAGTTCTCATTTCCTTTCATCAAAGTTCATTCAAAGTAGATTAATGTTGAACCAATTATTATTTTCATATTACTCAATGCCTTGTGAAATTTTGAATTGAACCTCAAGTTGAAATTTGGGATAATGAAAGTATACGTGAATACTTTATTTTGAAGTGAAATTGACAGATGACACTTTCAAGATGGCAACTGGGGGCTATCTGGGAAAAAAATTGAATGGAAAGGGGGCCTTGTGACACATCATTTTGAAGCTCCTGGGGAATACTTCACAACCCGAAGTCAATATCTTCAACTACTACAAAATGGCGAAACATTTAATAATTTCCTGAAGACAAACACATAATTATCGATATTTCTAGAAATATTCCTTTTTATCTGCCATATAGCAGATATGGCAATCGACAAAAAATGTCAGTACGACAATGAACATCATTGTTCATTTAGAATATTCTCATTTAGTTTTCGGTTTTACTAGTAGAAAGATAGCACATCAACAATCTCTAAAATGGTCAATTGAAGCGATTTTTATTTACGGTGCGACGCGTAACTTTCACGAGACCGAAAGGATTTTCAATGAACGTAGAAAATATTTGAGAGAACTTGTATACAAATTCAATACTACCGGTAGTGTATATAACACTCCCAGGTCATCCGTCCATTCAGGAAGAACACCAAGTGCAGATAATTGGTGAGATGGTAGTAAATTCTGAACAGTCTACTTATTCCGTCGTGAATGTTTGTGAGGTGTCTCCTTCTACTGTGTGGAGACTTTTGAAGATGAATAGGTATCATCCATACAAAATTAAAATGGTACAGCAATTAACTGAAGATGATCCTGATCGAAGAACAGAATTCGGCGAAATCATGACGAAAACCATTGCAAATCCTACCTATCTCCGCAATATTTGTTTTCGTGACGAATGTACATTTTTTTTAAAAGGCAATGTTCACAGACAAAATTGCCGTTACTGGCGTTACGTTTTCCGAGAAACACGTACCCAATATCCAGAAAAAATTAACGTTTGGGCAGGAATCTTGGGAAACCATATTGTAGAACCGCTATTTATTGATCAAAATTTAACAGGGGAACTGTATTTTAATATGCTGGAAACTACTGTTGACCCTCTCATCACTGAAATCTTTGAAGCGAATCCTAATGAATTCGATATGGATATTGTATTCCAACAAGATGGAACACCACCATATTACTCCAGACAGGTAAGAAACTATTTGGATACTACTTTTCCCGCTCGTTGGATTGGCCGTCGAGGTCCTACAGAATGGCCAGCCCGCTCGCCAGATTTGACACCTTTGAACTTTTTTTATGGGGCTATTTGAAGCAAAAGGTGTACGGAACTGAACCTGCTTCAATATTGGATATACGGCAGAGAATAATAATTATTTGTGGAGATATTGACTTTACTGTGTTCGAAAATGTTCGGCGTGATATATCGGATAGGCTGTTCATATGTCAAGAAGTTCAAGGCAACCATTTCGAGCATCTTCTGAAATAACAGCAAGCTTATTATCTCATATTATGTAGTTAAATGTCTATCTATTGAGGCAGTTATTAAGAGTTCCGCCATTTTGTAGTAGTTTAAGATATTGACTTCGTATTCTAGGGTTGTGAAGTATTCGCCAGGAGCTTCAAAATGATGTGTCACAAGACCCCCCTTTCCAGTTAACTTTTTTTCTAGATGGCGCCCAGTCGCCATCTTAAAAGTTTCATCTGTCAATTTTACTTCAAAATAAAGTATTCATGCATTAATTTCATTATCCCAAATTTAAATTTTTTGATTTGACTCGTTCAAAAAATAAAAAGAGGGGGAATTAAAGATGTGCACTGTATGTGCTATAATTCTCTATGTTAAAGGTACAGATCACCCTGTACCTTGTTTCACTGATGAACATTTTTGTGATTTCTCGTATATGTTTAAGGTCATCTGCACACAGGAAATATAGTAATAGATGACAATCGCGTGAAGCTTCTTGATATTGAAAACGGAGTTATGGGAGTGCCGTCGTATTACAGGCCGTATTTTATGCAACACAAAAAAATCAACAATGTAGAAGCGATAGATGTCTATTGTTTCGGTCATGTCTTGTACGAGATGATGTTTGGAGCCCCGCTTCATGAGAGTATCGCTGACAATATTCCAGCTTGTCCTATGAGTAAGTAAAAAACGACATCTGTTTAGTATTGTGGAGTACAAGGCTCCATTTTAAAGCCTTTTGCTGAATATATCTTTATTTTGATAATTATTACATGCATCTATCCCATTTAACAAAATGTTGGGGATGTAAATCAATATAGATAATATTTAAACTCAACAACATGTCAGAGGTTTACATTTTATGAGAAATAGATAGTTTTTCAAAATCAATTTTGATAGCTTTCTTCAAAGAAACTCAGTCTTTTCTACGTCATACTAAAGTGGTATCATCAGCAACTAGTGTAATTTTTTCATTAATATTGATATTAGGAAGATCATTCACATATATAAGGCATGAGATAGGACCTTGCACGGATCCTTGGGGAACTCTACCTTGACAATTTGATTTCTGTCAGAGATATAGAAGCTCCAATATGAGACTGGTTCTCTGAAAACGTGAAGGAATAATTTCTTCTAAATTTAAAACTTCGCTCAAAGTGCTTCTCACTAAACCATCTCATTGCCCGACTTCCCTTTCGGGATCTTACTATAAGAACGTTTATAATTATCTATCGTATCTATAGTTTTTAAGTGTATACCTGTTCATATTTCTGCACTGTTAGTTTAAAGCAGGGGTCTCCAAACTTTGAAGCCTTCGGGCCATAATGATTTTTTCAGTTNTGTTTTGTTCTTCAACTTATCACAGCAATAGTAACAACAATTAGGTAATCATTGGCTGTTGCGGACCAGATTGATGACAGTAAATCATTGGCTGTCGCGGTCCGGATTGATGACACTGGCGGGCCGGATTTGCCCCGCGGGCCGTAGTTTGGAGACCCCTGGTTTAAAGGAATTGTATTGTACTTTATTGATATTTAATGAACTAGGCTCGTCCAGTTAATAAATAAATAAGTATTTATTTCAGGTACCTCTTTCTCTTAACACTAGTGATGAGAAAACATAAGTTTTTTGTCACTGATTCAGTAATGGTCATTTGAAAATTTTGTTGTCAAATACTTTTATTTACAGGAAACATCCTCGTTAAAATTCTGACGACTGAGGCGTGTAAAAACGGCCTTCCTAAAATTATGGACCTCTTGGCGGATCCGTTCTTTTCGTTTGTGCAGCTAAGCCTGTTGCCTACGGACAGGGCTCACTTCAAGATCCCCAGCTCGACGAAGGAGCAGCTGAAGTCGGTAGTAGCCAAAATGGAGGAAAGACTGATAGGGGAACAGAAGCTGGTGCGAAGCCAGAAACGTTTGGCGAGGGTACAAGAAATGATGAGCTGTGAAGAGGAGAAGAAGAAGCATAGGCACAAAATGGTAACGTACCATAGTTAATGTTGCCTTTTTTTTATAATCATAATACCAGTTTTTCAATTAGACCTTTGGCTCTGAAATATGGTCGCATAAGTGCCTGGGCAGGCTGTCATGTCTGTTCTGGGTCTGTGCCAGAAACTGCAGCTTTCTTTGACCATTCAGTGAACCAACAGCTATCTGATCTTAGTATTTCCACCTCCTGGATGGTCCAATCCTCTTTATTTAGGATTAGGACTTTATAAGGTCGTTCCCAGATTTCTGGGACTTTCTGTTTCGACCAGTGATCTGCTATGCTTTGCATGAGTCTGTTTTGTTCAATTGGCAGTGTGCACGATTCTGTATGTTGTCCATCTAACATCTCTTTCCAGAAAGATGTAGAGACTAGAAAGCTTCTTCTTTACCAATTGCTGTGTAGCTTTTGGACATTTTGAACAGAAAGGTTTTGAACTCAATCTTTTGGAATACTTAGAAGAATCAATAATTTGGAACATTTATTCAATGACCAAATAGAATTGTTGAATAGAACTGGCCGATACTTGATGAAATCCATATTAAACAACTAATCAATACAGTTTATTTGTATGATTTTCACTATAGCGAAACACGTGTCGCGGTTTTTGTAAAACCCTTATAGTGAAAATCATACAAATAAACTGTATTGATTAGTTGTTCAAATAGAATTGAATGATCGTCGTTTGTTGAATTTGTTTTCTAATGCTGGAATTGATAATTAGTTGAAGATTTTTGGTGAAAGCCTTGTTGCAGTGAACTGTTTAGTGTAAAAATCATTTCATTTTTTCACAGGAGCGTATGGCTAAAGAACAGCACAAGCAAAACAAGAAGTTGGAAAAAGCTAACAGTGTGAACGGGGATCGACCTGAGAGTTTGAACAGCAGCGCAGCCACTTCTGTTGGTACTGCTACACCTCCTTCGATTGCAGGTGAGATTAGGCTTCCTAAATTGAATCCTGCTCTGTATTTGTGTGCTTTTGAATTTTCATTAGGCATCTCCTGACACAAATTTGTCTGTGAATTATTAAGTCACTTACTTGTATATGATAATCTATGTTTCTAGTTCAAAATAACACAAAACCCCCAAAAAAAAATTAAAAACAAAATGAAAACAAATTTTTTTCAGAAATGAACTCTTACTTTTTATAGATATGAGATTTATTTTGTCACTAATCATTTTTGACTATCTGAAATAAGATCCTATCCAAGTTAAATATAGCATATCTGCCAGAAAATAACTGTTTCTCTGGATGATACTGTTAGACATTTTATTGACGTTCTCTTTTCTTCCCCATCGTTCTCTTTTCCAAAAATTATAATTTATTCAGGTTCAAACGTACCATCGCCTCAGCCTCCGCCACCTCCCCCTCTCCTGGACGCGCCGGTGCCGCCACCTCCGCCCCCCTTGATCAACGGGGCCCCACAGACGATGCCGGGCGTCGACAAAGACCGTTCCCAGCTGCTGGGGGCCATCTGCAACTTCAACAAGTCGTCGTTGCGCAAAACCAAAGTTTCCTGAATTATCCAGCCAAGACTGTAAATATTATTGAAGATGTGATAAGAATTTTTTGTTTCCATGTGAATGTCCCGGAATGCGTCACTTGAATGTGTATATCAATAACTGGTTCGGGTCGGTGCAAGGGCTATTAGAGGAATGAATATGCTGAGAAACACGATTTGAAATTCCTGAGGGTTGTTTTCAGTCGGTTTCAATAATGATAATAATTATACTTTATTGTCTAAGGAAATAAGTTGTTATTATTATTATAATGACTAAATCTTGTTGAATAAGCATACTAGCCGAATATAGATGAAATTAACAGTTACTTTAAAAGAAATTATGTAAAATACAAACAGAAACATATGAACACAAACTCACAAAAATATCATAAATATACCCTGGTGTTTTATGGAGGAGTCAACAAAATTATTGAACACTGTGCCATCCGGTTGTTTGTCGGGCAAGACATTCGGAACAAAGGTATATTTCATTGGAGCCGATTTTAATGATGAAGAAATCAAAAACCTGTGTCGAGGCAACCAGAAATTAACTAAGTCGAGAAATTTAAACAGAATCCTATATATTTTTTTGTAATTAACGTTACTACAATATCGTCCTATAAGGACATTTTCATACTTCTACATTAAATTATAAATTTATGTATAACTTGGAAAATGTCCTTATAGGACGAAACTGCAGTAACGTCAGAAATAAAAGTGACAAAAACATAAAAAGTTTCAATTCTCTTTTCTTCAATAGGAAGTCATATTTTCAAACTTCGAATTGACGTGTATATCTTGTACTAAAAAAAAAATGTCCAAGATACTATGTGTTTCATTTGTCTGTGCCAGTGAAAAAGTGAAACTTTTAAAGCTCCGGTATCTCATTGCGAGTTAATAACTACTTACATATTTTTTGTCGACATTTTTTGTCTTACAAGTTCACTTGCCCAAACAAAAGAACTACATAATATCTTTCTCATTTTTTGTCGTAAAAAAAGGGAGAGTGGATAGGAATTCCAAGAATGACCTAGAGTTATCATCAACACTTTCGGTCGACGTGGATTTATAAAATGTTGCATAACATGCTGACGAACTGGATCGAGGGTAAACATACAAATGCATAAGGGTTTATAGGTTTTCTGTTGAACATATTCAATGATAGAATATTTGAGTTAATGGAGTTGGTTGAATGATACACTGAAGATGAAAAACCTCTCATTGACTCTGCTTTGAGCAGTCATTCATCAAGTAATGAGCGGAAGGTAATAGAATCAAGAAATGAAGGATATCTAACCAGAAAGACTGAATTTACCAGTACACCGAAAGGCGACATCTTGGGGGTAACTGAAGTCGAGCATTCATCGTGCCGGAGACCACATTACTGAGAATATTCAGCCTTTTCTCACGCTGCCACTCATCATTGAGAAAGTAAAGACTGTCAGGAAAGCTTTTGAGGTACTCGTGTCAAAAAACAGTTTAAAGGGGCCTACTTCGTCGAATACTAACGAGCAGGTCAAAGTGTGGGAGCAAATAATACTCCGAAAACTTCCTGTTATCCTTATATTGCATATGAAGTTTTTCGAATAAAACGACGACGGTTGCACGAAAATTATCAAGGCCTTGGAGTTTGGATTTGACTTGAGAATTGGTTCGACACTGAAACCGTCAGAAACACAATCTCCAACAGAGAAGAAGCACGAGCCGTTTATCACGTTGCTGTTCTGCAAGCGGAACGATACTATCCGATCTGAATAACGCCCCACTAGGGGATGAGGTTTTTTTTCAATCAATCAAACAACATTCATTATTATTACAGATTTACAACAACTAAAATCTATAAAAAGCAATACAGTTATGCATATACACATACATATAGGTATATACACATAAACGTACATACACATATATAAATAATTGTTTATATAATAGCATGAATAGTCGGACAGACTTATTCTGGTATGAGACTATTCACAAGTCTTATCATACAAATTTAGGGCATTTAAACTGAGAAATCAGTAAACAAAGAAATGAAATTGGTTTTTCAGAAAAAGAATATATTTTATTTATCCTAGTTTCTTTCCTGAAGTATAGATTATTTTAATGATTTTTTGAATTTTACAATATTTTCATTTTTTTATGTTATCAGGCATTTTATTCAAAGCAGAAGGAGAATCATGATTAAATCGTTTTTTGCTTGCAGCTTGAAGCATCGAGATGAAACATATTATGTTGCCTTGCATCATTATCATGAATTTCTGAATTTTTCAGTAACATGAGGTTAGATTTAATTTTTTATTGATCATTAAATAAGCAATTTTGAGTCTGTCTATTATGAAATGTTCTTCTAAAGAGGTTACTTGGGGTTTTGTTGATTTCAGTGGATTATTCATTCATTTATTTTGTTGTGACTACTATACATATTCATGCATTGAATTATACTTTCAAATCTCTTTCAATATCCCCATAGTTTTTATAATTCTCTGAAACACGTTAGTTCAGTCGTATTTTACAGAAGTAAAAACTCTGAATTACCCCTTTTTTTCTACAACAGAAAAAAAATTATTCTATTATGGTAATATTCAAATAATACTATTTCAGTACTTTTATATAACAAATAGTTTAGAACATTTGTGTATTTCAACTGTGACGGCGTTTCATTCTTTTCTGAATAAAAAATTTGAATCTCGTACTTCTTGGTAGATAATTCGACTTGCACCGACCCGAGCTTTTAGCTTCCCCTGTATATGAAATCTGTGCACATTGTGATTTGCGAGACTTCGGCACTCTAAGAGGAGGCCGTTCGTTCTGAAGTTGTAAGGGGCCACCATGTAATCTAACTGTAGCCGTTAGCTTGTGCGAAAGCGAGTCGCTACGAGAAGATGTAATCAATAAAAAGTAGTTTGCTTAACTCCTCGCGACTCGTTTAGAATATTTAGGAGAAGTATTTTAGAGCTTAAATACACTCTCATTGTTCCGTTTTTATTTTTCTCAGATTCGGAAGAGATCGGTTTTTTTTCATTACTTGTATCTATTTTTTTTTATTATTTGATTTATTGTTTCGTCCAGAATCAATATCAATTGAGTATGATGGAATTTCTTACTTAAGTGATTTTTTTCTGGAAGGGTGGTCGAAGAAAATACAATAAACTTCTGTCGGTGCAAAAAATTATGTGTAAAAATTGTGCAGTTTACAATAGGGCATAAAAATTTGTATTTCCTTATGATTTATAAGTACATCAAACTGTGTTTTTTGTATACGTTGTGATGGATTTTCATCAAGTATCGGTCAGAACTGTCCAATAAATTCATAAATACAAGTGTTCTACAGTGATATACGAGTTTTTGCATTTTGAAACTGAATTTAACATACAACTTTTTGCACTAACAGTAGCGAATGGTCCAAAGACCATGTGACTTAGAGGTTCATAAACGGCTTAATATTTTCTCTGCTGAGGTATCTTTCACGGGGAGGGTACATAATCTAATGGCGACATACACGTCCACTTCGGCCATTACCTTCAAGGTTATTTGAATGTCGCCTTTTTCCAAATGGCATTTTTTTTCAAATCGGCATCAAGAAAATTATAAATTTACAGTGCATTGTTCCTCATAATAAACTATTATTGTTTCATAGGGATAATCAAGTAACAACAAAACCTAAACTTTTATGACAATAAAGCATTTCTGCTCATAGTAACCTTCATTATCAAAAAAAAACAAAGATATAACTGATTATATTTTTTTGAGTTTAAATGATAATAAACCATGAAGAATAACTTGAATTCCTCATGTTTCAATGTAAAATGATTTTTATTGCCTACAAAAATGCTTTTAGATTATTGCTAAGGCACCTTTGAAAATATCGTGGCAGAGATAATATTTCTTATGAATAAAAGATTTTTCAGATTGCTTTTATATAAAAGAATGGCAAAAGATAAATGATGGATATTGAAAGGAAATCATTTTTGTGGAAGAAATCAGAGCTTTTATCGACCTTCTTTGGCTATTTTCACCTTCGACGATCTTAAAAATATGAAAATTGTAATGGAGAACACATGTAGAAGGTTAGAAATGAAGTGAATCAGATGAAGGCAGATTTCAGACTCCTAAATAATAATAATAGAAGTTTCTTCATGTTTTTTATAATATAAACAAAGGAAATTCTAAACAAACTTCTGAATAAACTGATAATAATCTTGAAAAGTGAAACAAGTATAGAGCTTCACACAATACGAGTGTATCATAGTTGCAATTTTTGTAAAAAAGTTTTCTTCAATTACCTCTAACATCTTTACAGGGATTCTTTTTTTTTAACTTCAGTGAACTATACTCCCAAATCGAATATCAAATTTTCAACTCCACAAACAAATGGTAATGAATATTACTGGAGTTTTATCCTAAAACCAAACCGTTATTTTTAACACCTTCGATCACCAAGTTATCATCTTCAAGAGAAATATTCTTCCTCTTGAAGATGATCACTTGGTAACTGAAATGTAAATGTATTCTTCAAATTATTGACTACTTGTAAAGCTGCTTGCAAGATTTTAGCATCATTATTACCAGTATAAAATAATTTATCCTTTTGATCTTTTTGATATGTTCACATAACTGTTACTTTTCGAAATATATTGTTCGTTATGGCCCCAGTATTCTCATAATTAGACTTTTCTCTCATTCCTGATATATTGATTGAAATTGTTCAGCGTTTGCTGTGATTCAAAGTCGGTTAAATAGAGGTTAGTTACTTGTTTCATGATTTTGAACTTGATGTGACGTTTTCATTAACTTTCTTCCCCTCTTCAATTTTTTTTTACAATATATTCTCAAACAAATTAATTGTAATAAGTTATTACAACAAATCTTTCACCGTCATGTCTTACTACAGGTTAAATGAATGAAATATTATTTATGAGATAGTTACAATGGCAATCGTTTTATAACTTGTTTTTTAAGTTATAAAACGACTGTTTCTGAAACAATTGTCATTGTATTTCATAGATGATAGTAGCAATAATATTTAATTTATTCACCATAAAATAAGATGAACACAATATAAAATTCCTTGATTTATCTTTCGTGAACAAATTTGTATCAACCAATGCAAAAAGAGTGCATTCTTTTGTTAATCCATTATTTATGGTTTGTTTAGTCTTGACAAAGCTTTCATTTCAAACTAGAGCAGTTTGTTGCAAAAGGTAACAATCATTTGATGGTCAATTGATTGTTAGTAACTTGCTTTCTGTTTCAAAGCACATTTTAGAAACACGACCTACAAACAAGTTATGTAGCCTATTTTCCAAGTGGTAAAGTCGACAAGACCCCTTACATTTTGTAAAATTTTTTGAACCTTTATTTTTGTATTCCATTTTTTGTGCCAAGAATTTCCAATTCTATTTTTGATTGTTGTATGTAACCTTTCTTCACCCTAGTCAAAAATTTGTAATAAGTAAATTATGTTAATCTGCAGGATGGCTGAAAAAAAGCATTGGACATTTGAATGTGATTGAATTTTTCACTTCCAGTTGCCTGAACACTTTACAAAGGACACCCTGTATATACTTTTTATTCTTTGAACGTCTTCAAAATGGAGCGAATTGTTAATACGAGCAAGTGAATGTTCTCAATGCTTATTTGTCGAGAGATTTAATAATAGTAATATTTGAAACATTGAAGGGTGATACTTCAGGAAGCAATTTACATGCCATCATTCTTTTTCTGGATTGTGTGCCTAATATTTTTGGATGTATTCGACCAGAATAATAAAAGGGCGTATACTCTTGGCGTTGTGTGCCATGTTAGAAAAGGTAAAAACTCTTGCTCCTAGATAATCATATTTAGGGAATGTCTTTTGAACCATTGTTTCGGCTCGGCTATCCTGTGAAGAGTAATTTTAATAATTGAAACAAATATATGTAATATTATACTAAAAAAAACTTATTGTAATAAAAAATATAGGGAATTATATTGGTATTTTTATTCTATATCTCTTGACCAGGTGATAGTTTCTAGGAGGTATAAGAATACATTTTCAGAGAATGGAAAAATAGATTGGTTTGCAAGGTATACATTTTTTTCAGTAAGTATCTAAAAGATATAGAACAAGCCATGGAAAAGGAGTGTTCATCCGAGCTAAATGTGAATTATGGAATACCACATGGATTTATTTTGGGACCATTGTTATTTCTTGTTTATGTGAATGGTATTAGTATCATCACAATTTAATTATTTGGAGGTACACGCATTTTGACACCCATTACATACTTCCACATTTTGACCTTACCTTCATTGGTGAAATTCAAAAAATAATTCTCAATGACAATAATGCATCAATTCATCTTAATTTAGAAAAGTAGTTCAAGAAAAAACAGACAGTTTGAGAAAAGATCCATACTTATTCCATTCTTCAAAGCCTATTGTGTGTTGAATCCATGTCATTCAAATAGATACATTAGCAAAAAATAAGCGAATCACGAGGCAACTACAACTAGTAAAGTAAAAGTTTATTTTAGAAGAAAAGACAGGGTATCCTCGATGACTGATACTTTATTTATCATCACTTTTATAAATCCATCATCTCATATTTGAGATGAGTTTGAATAACCACTTTAGTTTGACCAATATACTTTTCACCGCAATATTTTGAATTATATACTTTGATCTTGTTGACAGTTCAAACTATCACTTGTCCATAAACGGCAGTTCAAATATCAGTTGTCCATAAAGACACTTCAAACTATGGATTAGCCATATTCAACAGTTCAAACTGCCTATTGATCAACAATTCCAACCCTCAATTGTTTATCAATATAGGACTCTGTCAATACCACATTCAAATCAATTTGCCTTAATTTTTTGTTTCACTAATCCTAGATAAATTTCTCCATTATTCACCTAAGTTTGTTAGATAAACTATCGTATCAAAAGAAAAAAAGTTTACATGTCCTCTCACTTTATTCCTTAAATTACCATTACATAAAATTACTACTCTATCAGACTAGGAATTATTCCTCCTGCCCCCTGTAATTCTTGATATTGACTAAAACCCACGCGGGAATAGCTAAGATACCAACAGTAAGCGCTGCTCCATGTACCAATTGTTCCAAAGTGGAGACCTTGACTGTTGGGGGCCCAGAAATGGCACTCATCTGCCTTGCTGCTTGAACGGCCAAGGGTTGGATCTTGGGGGAGACTTTCGAAACAGTGGCGGAGAACATATCTAAAAATTGTATATGAATAATTTTATTATGAACTAATATTAAAAAACTAGCTTACTTGGATCCTTGATTTGATTAGGTAACAATCAATCTCTGCAAAACTACGTAAGACAATCGACAATCGCAATTTGACATTTAAATTTACGCCAGTGATGCCAAAAGGCCGAAGTGCGTTTAATTTTTACGTTCCACGATTGTTAGATGCTCAGAGTAACAAATATTACTCTGAGGTTAGATGTCGAATAAAATGTCACTTGTAGGAATATTATGAAACTTTATAAAGTGTTTCATTGGTAAAACCAGTGCACTAACAGAGCATTTTATTCTTTATTATTGCATGAGGAAATAAAGGACCGAGAAACACTGAAAGTGTACTGGTTTTAGCAATGGAAAACACTTTCAACTGCTGAGAGTTCTTGGTTTTCTGCCATCTCAAAACGCCACAAAAACAAAAAACCCGACACGGAACCAATATTTTGTTGACCAGCGCTCAATTCTTATTTAATCTACACACCGAGAAAGGTACGTCCAATTCAAACCAGAACTCAATTTGTACTTTTGAGTTAACAATACAAAATGTATAAATCGACAGTGTCGAGTTGATTCTTCCAGCGCTAGTGACTCACAAGAGCCATGCGCACTTGCTGCAGTTCCAGTGTGGTCCATACGGGGCCATGCGCACTGTACGTTGGTAAACTCCTCGCAATATACATTTATTGAATTTTATCAGTAATTTTTAATTAAACAAATTCTAACGTATCCAAAGTTGAATTCAACCTATGCAACTAGAGCTCATAAAATCTAACCTCAGTCTATCGTAGCCTTCTTAGGAGGCAAATGTGAAGGGGATTGTTTTTCTGAAAGTTTCGAACTCGGGACCATATAACCACTAAAGGTAATCGATTGAGAAATTATTAGTGCAAATCTTTTTGTTACTATGTTATTGATGCGTATTGTTTAACTGTAAAAATTTGCTGATTCACAGTTATAAACGTCAATTCAAAATCATAACTGAATTATGGTAAAATATAATTGATATTTGTGGCTATAAGTTATTAAAAAGCAATGCGTTTCATTATATAAATTCAACCAAATAATAAAAAATAAAACAAACAAGATATTTCAAAGCCGTTTATTTATTTTGTCAAACAAAAATGTGGGTATTTGCGTTTATTCCTTCATGAAAACAAGTATCTCAATGCAATGTTACAGTTTTATAGAAATATACGAATTTGTGGGCACTGAAACTTCTATAGACTAACCCATAAAATCAAAATGTAAATGAACATAAAGGTATCCAGAGAGACTATTAGAATTGTAGAAGATTCTGGCATTTTATTATCATATATTATTATTGGTAACACTACATTGTCGTCTACGATGTGACAATGAAATATTTCAAAATTGAAGGACTAGGCATCGACATCCTGAATGAAAGACGCTAGTTTATGAGAAATTGTAAACTTTCGCTTAGGAAAATTAATTTAGGTTGGAATATCATAACCATATTTTTGGGTATATGACGAAGGTGTTGACGCCCATAAAAACCATAACCATATTTTGGGGTTTTCGGTGAAAATAGCGACTGACTGGTGTGCCTTTGTTAAGACTTGAGGAAAATGTTTGACAAATTTTGAGTCGATGTAACTTTCCTGAAAGCGTTTTTATTGTATTGTGAAGTGTAATAGCAGTCAAAGACACCTGTTAGTGGCTGAATGGAGTCCAGCAATAAAAAAACCACCAACCTCCGCATAACCATATTATATTGCTGAGACAACCAGTTTCATAAGTAAGTCGAAAAATGCGACGAAATATGTGTTTTTTTATTATCTTTACACATTTTTTGTACTTTTTATACACTGCTACACACGAATCATAAGTACACTTTTTTGTTAAATGTATTGATCAAAACAATCGTTTCTGTTCTTCAATGTTCTGTGCGTCAGCCACAGCTCACATAATGATTAATGTTCCATGTTCAATCGCTTTACGACATATGACAGACAAACGGCAACGAGAAATTAAGGAGCGTTGACAAGAAATAAAATATACTTTAAGGGATATTCTGTGCAATGCTACAGAGTTAAATTTTTGGCGAAACGAACGGTTCAGAGAAATTTATAAAAATGTCCTGTGAAGCGGTTGGTCTATACTCTATATTTTATCCGCAAAAATGGTCTTTCTTCGCTTTCATAGAAAATTGGCGATGTCAAAAAAAAACCTGGTCTGCAGGTTTTCGAGCCAGGCGTTTCCTCTACAACTGCGGAAGACATCAAAGGCGATGAAGCATATCAAAAATACTAAGCGTGAGAGCCCACACACGCACTCTAGGTACTCATTTGATCTGATAAACAAATTTGTTTTTTCAATAACCAACTATCGTCCCGCTACGACCGACAACTCAGAATCGAAACTTGTGCAAGCGGACAATTTATTGAGGTCTTAGTTTTCAACCTATTGTTCCTAGCACATTGAGCAACATTTCAAATCTCGAATTCAGCGGGCTTTTTTCCAGTATGAGGATTTTTGGCATCAACCTTCACAGATAACTTTATTGGTTTTGCAACACTGATCATAACCTAACTCCCTAAATAAAGAAAAAGAAGATTGAAGTAAAAAAGCAAAGGTAAAACATCTTTGGTAGCTTTGCTTTTTTACCCAGGGCTCCAAAACAAATAATATAAAATTTTCTTCTGAACCCTCAAGCTGCATCAATAAAATATCTACATCACAAACATTTTGACAGAACGTCTGTTGGTCAAACTAAACAAGACATTAACATTTGTATCAATGATGATATGACACAATTTCAATTTCGTACGTTATTAACAATCTGTAGGAGGGGGAGAAATAGTAGACAAATTAGTTTGTTTCAAAATGGGACCCTAAAACTGTACAGCTGATATGAGAAATGGAAGCAAGACACGTTAAAGAGTTATCTCTTTGAATGATTTTCGAGATGTCTGCAAAAGGACAATAAATGCAAAAAATATTTTCAGCTGCAGTGAGGAAAAAACTAGGTTATGGTAATTAGCTAATTGAAAAAGTTCAGATATTCACTAATAGATACACTCACTGCTAGATTCAAAACATATTTTGTTACCGTAGATTAACTATGAATATGCAATTGATTGAATTTGTTGGGCCCTGTTGTACACTATATTATTTAAATGCTTGCAGTAGAAGTGTCATCCTTCCTCAAATACCCTCATTCTCCAAACTTATTAAAATATCAAGTAAAGAACAACTGAAATTTTGAATACTCACCGAATGCCTTGTGAAGCGCAGACACTTTCACAATCCATGGAACACAGAAATCAAATCAAAACTCCATACATGAATGTTTATTTTATAAACTATAGCTTTGTACGTTTTTTTCACCACATCTCAACGCCTAAAAGATGCCTTAACCTAAAAACAGTGAATCGGACAACTCAAAGCTGACGACTGTTCCAAAACTGATGCACTATAATTATATCTATAAGATTTCAAAAATCACTATTTGAAAAATACATCTACTAGTTTAACGCATCGATGGATGCGACAAAATCATGTTGAGACTGTACACGCCAAAAGTACCCTGTACAACAGAGTAGTAGGAAATCAGTGTTCTCAATTACATCAATAATTATTTACAGTTCAATGAAAGTTCAGGACAAAATCGAGGATTTTTTTAAAACAAAGTGGGTGGCTGGGATAACATAACCTCAAAATTAATTTCAACTCCGAAATCCAATAGGACTTACTCATCAGGGAGAACTAGAAGTTTTTTGTTCTTAAAAAAAAAGTCAAGTGAAGAATTCAAAGAATGTAGCGTTCTTGAAACAGTGTTTGTACATTGTACCCCTGTATATTGCTCCATAAACACCCGATATTGAGTTTGCGATCACATATCAGGAGCTGATAAAAAACCGATTTCGAGGTTATATCGCCATGTCACCCTAGAATTTTTTGTACAAGAAATAACCCAAATTAATGAATTCTGTCCTGAGCCGATTTCAGTTAACAATGTTATATATATCACACATGACATCCCAATAAAACGCATCAGGATCCAATAATAAAACCGTCTCTGCTATAGACTATTTCACTTAATCTATGGCATAGTTTGGTGCACGCTATCAATTTACATCCAAGTTCCGACAAAAACCTTTTGGTGACATTCTGACAACGGAAAAGCTCTATTGAAAAAAAATATTTCAAAATTTGTTCAGTTGAAGGTACGTCCGTCTTGAAATTGCAACAATCCCCAACAAAGTATTCACATTTCAGTTCTAGGAATTAACTGAAGGTTTACATAAAGGAAGATAACAAACCACATAGCTATCTAACACTTTTCATTCAAGAGTGAATTAATTAAAATAAATTTGTTTTATGTTGAATTCACAACCATATTTTTTACAAATAATCTACACCGTGCTGGGACTAATTTCCTTGTGGTTTTCCATGTTTATTTGTGTGTGAATAGATTTATTATTATTATAATTATCATCTAAAGAAAGCTACGGAAGCGCAGAAGGGCCACATATTTTTATTATTTCTTTCTTAGAAATTACTACTTTGAATCTCGAAATTTCGACTTTTACCTCGAAATTTCGACAATAAACTCAAAATTACGACTTTTCAACTCTAAATTACTACTTTAATTCCGAAATTTTGACATGTGACAGTTTGTGGCAGGTAATACACCCAAAAGACAGTAACTAGTTTTAATAAAATATTCTGTCATAGTCACAGCTGTCTCAAATTCGAACTAGAAAACTTTACATCTAACCTTACTTTTTGGCATAATACCATTTTCGATATATATTTGACAATATCAAAATATCAGAATTAAAAATCACGTTCCTTGTTGATTTTCACCTCTATTAAAGAAAAAACTGAAATAACAAAGAAATAACATACAAGCAACAACCAAAAAAAAAATAGAAATATTTAATAAAAGCTGAAAATTTGAAATATTATTAACAAAAAATTCAAAATTAAAAGG